TCTCTCTCTCTCTCTCTCTCTCTCTCTCTCTCTCTCTCTCTTTCTTTAAAGGAATGAAATCATAAAATTCATTAAAAAAAACTATTGTAATTGATCTGTTTCAAATTTTCTCCTATTTTTATCTTGAAAGCACATAATCAAAAATAAAAATTACTAAAAAAACTATTATAGTCAATTTAATTCATAAATGGTCATAAGAATGATAGTGTTATAAATGAAAATATCCCACTAAATGAAAGAACTAAAAAACAAAACTTTAAATAAAACAAAATAATAAATGGTTTCCTTAACTCTCAAGAAAAACATTGTAAATAATAAAAATGACTGATATCTTGATAATGATTTTGAACTGCAAACACAGTTTTAACAAACATAAAATAAATGATAATGACCCCGAAACTTTATAAAAAAACTAACAAATAAACTTCAAAACATTAAAAAAAAACTAACTTGAACAATATAGCTAATGCATAAATGAATGTATGTATATAGATAAACTTTGAATTAGCATATAAGCATTGAAAAAACAACAAAATTTCATGAACCAACCATAACATAACATTATAACTTTGAATGACTGACTAAATCAATGTAATTTTACACATAACAATGAACACCCAAAAAATCCAAAGTAAATTTAAATGATTGTGAACTTCAATATAATTGAACCTGCAATTATACTAATTATGAGGGTAGCAAACTAAAAAGGGGGTTTTAATTTAGCTAAAATAACCTAATTGGAATTCACCAGATGGGGGTGGATTACTTTGACCATTATTTGGATGTAACAAATTTGGTAAACCATTTGAATCAGTAGTTCCATTACCATTTGTAACATGAGTTTGTTGTTGTTGAACTTGTTGAGCTTGTTGATGTTGTTGAATGAGATGTTCTTTATCTTCTTCTTCAAATCCTGAACCTGTTGAACTAATTGATCCACTCTTTAACTTAGCATCACGTTCATGTAATTTGCGATGTCTAATCATATTTGATCTAACTGAAAATAATCTACCACAATTTTCCCATGAACAAGCAAATGGTTTTTCACCTGTATGAGAATATGAATGAGTTTGTAATGATGATGGTCTCTTGAATTGTTTTTGACAAATTGTACAACGATTACGACGTGCAGTTTCTGGTGTCATACCTAATAATGATGATGATGTTAATGATTGACGATTATTCTTTGGATTGATTGTTTTATTATCAAGTGTTGGATAAGTATTGGATCTTGGATGATAACCAGTAAATGAAGGATTAGATGATGTAGATTGAGAACGAGCATGAATATGTTGTTGATAAGCATTTGGATCTAAAACACCAGGGAATGGAAGTTCTTCATTTGATGGAACTGGGATTGGTAATGTATTTTGAACTCCATTAGCTTGAGGTAAAGTTGGTTGTGGTGGAGGTGGAATTTGATGTTGATCATGAGCTGGAAATTGTAATTGTTGTTGATATTGATTAAAATCTTGACTTGGTGGTGCAATTAATGGTTGACTAACACCATTTGTTGGAGGTGCAGGTTGGAAAAATGGTTGTTGATAGTAAAAAACTTGTTGTGGTGGACCTCCTTGACCATTTTCTAAAGGTGCACTTGGACCTGCTTGTAAAGGTAGAGGAGGTATTTGAGCATTTGGATGTTGTTGTTGTTGTTGTTGATCATAATAAACTGCTTGTGGTACACTTGGTAGGCTAAATGAGCTATTGGAACTTGGAGGTAATGGATTAGTAGTTGTATAGTTATTATTATATGTCAGATTAAAACCAGCAGTAGATCCTGGACCAGAAGTTGGAATTGAACTGTTTGAACCACCAATACTAACACCATTTGTTGTTGGAGTAGATGAATTTGTATTTATACCAGATCCATTTGAACCACCACCATTGTTATTATATAATGGGAAACTTGATTGAGGATTTGGTAATGAAGTTGGAGGAGGTATACTTGATGGAACACCAGATTGACTTGTAGGACCACTTCCTGGAGCAGCTTGTTGTTGTTGGTGATAATTGTATTGGTTCTCTTGAGAACGAGGTGAAATCATTATCGACATGTTGATCTGATCTTTTATATCTTAATTTTTAATTATATCTGCTTTGTTGTATTTTTTTCTTCCTTTAAATTATTATTATGCTAATATGCAACAGGGCGGTTAACAAAATAATATCAGATCTTATGGTTCTTTATAGCAAAATGATTGAGAAATGGCTAGTTTTGAAAGCAGTTTGAATGTTTTGTTATAAAGTGATAAAGATTCTTTTGAATTTGAAGGTGGCAAACAACGAAATTTTAATGGATTTTAAAGGATTTCAACTTGTTATTATAAATTGATTTAGAGAAATTTTGAATCATCATTTAAACATGTATAAAATCCCAAAATGTTTAAAGCGAATCAAATCTTTTGCAAAATTTGGGGGAGCATGCGGCGCATATCAAACTTTAAAGTGGGACTTTTTCTTTTCTGCTGCGTGGCACATTTTTGTTCCGTGATGTGCTGTGACGCCATGCAATGCATTTATATTGAAAATGTATCCTGTATTCTTAGCGGCTCACCATTTGGAAAACCAGGTCCCAGATATTTGATAATTGTAGGGAAAAGTGACTTATATATAATAAATCATTAAAAGAACTCATCTTAAGAACGCCATTTTTCTTGAAAAAACCTTGTTTTTTGTGTATTAGATCAAGTTGAGACCTTTTTTTGAAAATGAGTTTTTTTCATCTCCAGTAGTACCTACCGAGGGAAGTTTATACTCAAAATTATCAGACTGTAAACTTCTCATGGGCCACACAGACAAAGTTATAGCAGCGTTAAAATTTCTTTAAATCTTTAAATTTTGCAGAAATATTCCCTAATTGGGGATTTCCTAATACTCTTGCATGAGGTACCATAGAGATTTCATAAGTGGATTACAAACATTTTGTTAAAATAGTGGGAACTGGGTAACGTAATGCATTGCAATAGTGGCAAACTCCAATACGTTATATGATAAGTACGGTAATAAAATCATTTGCAAAAGTTTATTTATTTGTCCACTTATATTCGTCGCTTATTTAGATTTAGATCGATTAATTGTCCAAGACCATCAATAGTCCATCATAGTCTTATATTTTTGGTTATCGCGTACAAAATTTTAAGCAGCTTGTCAGTAGACTGATCATTTTTGAAAGGTTTTTGAAAAATTGTAAATCTTTTTCACAATTTGCATTTTTTATCTATTCAAAAAAGGGAAATTTTGGTGTTCCTGCAAGTCTGCAAGAATACCTCTCCGTGTGTGCAATTAACGAGGTGTCTTTCTACCTCTCCTGTTTCCTGCGCGTATTGAACTGTACTACCCGCCTAACTACGTCCTGTCTAAAATTCGTTTTCCTTTTATAGCTTCAGGCAACTTGCAAGATCTGCCTAAACTTCCAAGTTCCAAGTTCCTTCCAAGCTGCCTAGAAACTACAAGGGACCTACGAGTTGACCTCTGTGAATGTCCGCCTATTGTTCCATCGCCACCTTAGCCCCAGGTCCCTTGGGGGTCCCATTCCCCCAGGGGTCCCCCCTGGGCCCTGTGGACCCTTTTGAGGTTCGGAGCTTTTTACAAGGGGACCTGCCTATAGTACTTGCTTACTCTTAATTAGCTTAAATTTTATGCTCCCCTGTCTGCCTAATAATTAATTCCACCTACACACACAGATGATAGATCTTGTTTATGGCCTTAAAGGGAACCTACCCAAAATTCAAACTTTATGAGCTCACGGTCCACTTAGTTATAGCCAGATTCCAGATTCAACTCTAAACTTCATCTAGATCTTGTGAAACTATGGCCATACATCTAGATCAAGATCAAACAACACATCAGCCAATTCTAGCATTAGCGAACAACCAATACCTTATTCATGATCAAACTACGTTACAAGTCTTAATGTTCCTGATTTCTGTTCAAAAATAGAACAGTTTGTGATTTAAGGAAACTCCGTGATAACGTGGTAACCAAAAGAGTACTTTCCCATACTTTCGAATTTCAAGCTCGTGAAGTTCAATCGAACACTGCCATGAAAAGTGAATAAAGGTAAAGAGCTATAAAACTTCAATACAGGTCAACTGAATTCATCATAATTTCCAAATTTGGTTGAATGAATTGGGAAATTTTACAACTCGAAAAATACAAAAGACGAATGCACTTGAATGCTTATTTCTTATTCATGCTCAATTACTTTCATGTCGACGTCTGTGATTCGTGAACTTTTGAGTGAAATGTTTAATCATACTTACCTCAATGCTCACTGCTCACTGCTCACTGCTCACTGCTCACTGCTCACTGCTCACTGCTCAGGTACTTGTAAGCTGTTGTTTATGAGTTGGCTGCTGGAGCACTGTAGCCTGTAGGTAGTAGTAGAGTTGATCAGGTACACCGCAATTGACCGACGTAGTCAGAGCTTCTGGTTCCTGTTTACTTACTTATAGTACGTTAGCTTCGTCAAGTAGGTACAAGAGTCAAGTCAACTTTGACATGTATCTGAAAGCCTTGTAACAAATTTAAGTTCACAAGTTACTCACTTTCCTTACTTTGTTAACCTATTTGAGTAGTTTGCATATATAGAAGAAACAAATACCAAAAGAATATGGAGGCATTGGCTCAAAAGGGATCATTGTCAAGTTGTCAAGTTAACAAGTAATTGTTCTTGATCCATTCCATAAAGTTATAAATAACTATTGTTCACTGTTCAGCCAATTTGTAACTCTTATTACAAGAGATATACAAAGCACTCCAGTTGATTAACTAGAGTATGAGTGCTTGATAGACTTGATGTGTAGTGTTAATCTGTCTTGGTATGATTGATAGGTTATACGTTATACGTTATACCGTTACTACTCTTGAGCTTGAAGCATCAATCTTGAGTCTTGACTCTTGACTCTTAACAATCTTATCGACTATGGGATATCATACGCGTAGTCTGTAGGTACCAGTAATCAAATATTGTATATCAATTAACTACTGGTTCATCAATTTTTTAGTGCTGGAGAGTTTTTCCAAACGTTATCAAAGAAAACTTTCACCCTTTTTACTCTATTCAAAAAGAGATTTCAACGTGTAATTATGTAGAGAGGCTAAGTTTATCTAGAATGAGGTACAATCATAGCATAACCCAGTAACAGTCTGTAAGTTTATCGCTGATCATTTACACTTTGGTGGGAAAAGCATATACAAATGTATGTTGGTGTACCTTGTGTTATTTTAGCGTATACCTCTATATCTTTCCTTTTGTTTATGATTAGTGCATTTTTGATGAAGAATTTGTAAATCTTTATGAAATTAATCGGAAAAAACGTTGTCAAGGTAGATTAAAAGATTTACAAAAGGGCTTGAAGAGTTACAAACTTCTACCTGGCTTTCATTACTTTGGTTACCTGGTACTGGGATTCTTTGGGAAGCTTGAAGGGACCATTTTAGGCTTCTAGTGCTCTTCTAAAATGGTTTTGATAATCCATCCATCCATCAGAGGAACATCAAGAAGATTGTTGTAAAAGTTTACATCAATTGCAGCAGGGATTCGAAAGATTCTTCTGGCTTGTGACTCTTTTAGCTGGTGGTTTCCAAAACTTCAAGATCTAAAATATACTCTCCAGTACTTGGAAGTTGGAAGTTATAACTTACATGACTGGTCAGTTTGATATTTGTAATTTCACACCATGATTGTATCAAGTTTCAACTCATGAGATTTAAAGCTAAAGTGACTTCTTAAGTGCATATATAGTAATTAAAAGTAATTAAGATACCAAAATTGTTGTCCACTATTGTCCGTTTAATTCCCATGGGGATTTTTGAAATCACACAACAAAAAGAAATCATGGTACTATCTACGTAATTAAAAATTCGTCATTGGATAACATGGTTGACAAGCTTATATGATCATACAGGCTTGACTGTTGAGTCTTGACTCAACTACATACTTTTCAATTACGATACTCGAAGACATGAGTACCCACCTTACAAGTACGTAAACTTTTCATGAAATTTTAAGACCTTAACGTCAATTCGATAACATATGTCAGATTTGAAGAACTACAGAAATAAAATTTATCTTGATGTATCTCTGTAAGCTCATTGCATTGAGTTACCTCAATATTGATCGTAGTGATAAATTGAACATGAAGAATCTACAAACGTTTATTGGTTATATCGATGATCAGAGTCATAATGATGGACTCCAAAATTGAAATATCGATTTGAACTTATAACTTACAGAATAGGAACCACTAGGGTGATTAAACTAACAGCTCAGTAACATAGTCTATGTACACCTCAAAATGAGCATGTTTGACTCAAAATTACAACCAAAAATTCAACGTCTCAAAAGCTCCCCCATAGTACATCAATCAGTTTGAAACATTTCTTGGTTCTCAAAAGCAAATTATAGATAAGCTCCATAGATATAAAACCTTCAGTATTATGTGTAAAGTATGTTCGCTTAAAAATTAGTCAATCACGTAAAGTTGGCTACCTTTTTTACAATAAAAAAGCACAATTTGTTATTTTTTGAAATTTTCGTTTTCAGTATACCTTTTATTTTAATCCCGCTATAGCGGTGTTTCCCCTTTAAGAAAGTTCCGGTTGAGATTACGTAAGGATTTTTGTCTTAACTATATATGTGGATTTTTAAAGTTGTATCAAATTATTTACGCGTAATCTTCAAAGTTTATTGAAATTATGTGTCAAGATGAATTATGATCCATGGAAAGTTGAAAGTGTGATAAGGGATACTTTCCCTGATAAAATAATTGGATATGACGTTCAAGTATCAATCGAACCTAAAAATGTCCATGAATTTGTTGAATTGGTGTCTATAAATTTGGGACATTTTTATTCAAGGAATCATGGATCAAATTGGAAACTTGATAAAGTGAAAGAAATGGAAGAATCAGGTCTTGTGTTTGTTTCGATTTGGGATCATGATCAACTGGTTGGGTTTATAAGCTTCGTTGATACCATAGATGATGATATAAGAGTTCTTTATCTCTATGAAATACAGATAAATCCAAATCATCAAGGTAAATCATTGGGGAAATTGTTTATAAATTATTTCCATGATTTAGCAAAATATTTATCAAAGATTAACAATAAAATTTATAGCAATTATAACAATAACAACCCTCATGACTATTTAGATCGTACAGAAACTTTAAAAGGAACTAAATTAACTGTTTTTAGTGATAATTCTGTATTAGATTGGTATATAAAATTAGGATATGATAAAAGTGAAGATAGCCCTCAAGATAGGAAATTAAGAAGTGGTAAAGTAATAAAACCTGAATATTACTTACTGTTTAGATCTGCTGATAATGAATAATGAATGTAATAATATAGAGATCTGGGCGATATTTCCCGTAGTCTTTTAGTCTAATAGATTTACTATATGGTGATTAAATCCGTAAATCAGGACAATGAAGTATTCGAGTATCTATACTTCAATAATTACAAGATCTTCTGGGATGAGTGACTTTATGTATATTCGAAGGATATATATAGCATCAGTATTGAATTCTTTTTGGCTACTATCAAAATATTTTGATAATTTCCTTCATTTCATGATCTAATTAAATCTTCGTATCATGGGACAAAAAGATAATCATCAAATCATGGGACTAGATACCAGATATTGATGATCCGGGCCAACTCTAATCATATCCCTTTGTTTGATACCAAGATCTTCCACTTGAAAGATCATATAGATCATAGACACAATGGCTAAAAAAATGATCATTACCTAAGATCACGAGTATCAATGGTCATATCAATAAGTTTGTATTTAAAGAACAGCAATGAAGAGCAGTATGGAATTTTCTAGCGATGAGCTTTGACATAACGAACAAACATCTTGACACATTTTTTATACATTAGTTTGCTTTCTACTGAATCAAAGTGTTTTTTATGAATTTGTAAAATCTATTCTTGGTGTCACTTGTTTGATTTATTACCCACCGGAGATCAATAGTTTTACTAAATCAAGAAAGTCCTATACATGTGCTATTTATAACCACTTATTAATGAATCACTTCCAATCAAATAAATACATTTCTGTAAATCTTTAGCAAGGGAAAGGGTTTGTTTTAGACCATATCTAACCGAGAGATAAAGTATTACTTACACTTATTAGCCACGGTACGAAAGAAGCAGACTTCATTATATACGAAAATATTTAAGGATGACACAAAAAACTTAATTGAGGTCATTATGGTCATCTTCCTCGAGGTCATTGTTAAATCATAGCGTATTGCCCTGTGGCTGGCAGTAATTTAAAGCAAGGAACAATCTTGAATCTTCTTGAACTTTTCGAACTTTTCATTTGTACTCACTTCTTTTTTTGCTCAGGTATCAAGGAATTAAAATAAGGAGTTTTACGTTCCATAACATGTTACAAAAGAGAAAATTGGTATCTAGAGAACTGGAAAGTGGTACTTAGAGAGGAATATGGGGCGTGAGAAAGTGAGAAAAAAGTGAGGTTTTGCTCCTTTTTGAAAATACAGATTTTTTTTTATTATTCTCAATTTTAACCTCTCATTATATACTCAATCTGGGGTGGATACGATAAAAGGTGATCACATACGACATTTGAGATGTTTCTATGAGAATTTATGATAATTGGTGATTATAGGGGGTAATCAAAGAGATCAAATCGAAGTTCTTTCAATCATTTGAACAATGAATCGAAGATTGTTGTTAAGATTTGTTTGTATCAAAAATCTCAATTTTAACATATATTTCAAAGAATTGATAATTAGAAGCTTCTATTCATTATTCACCCTTGATTGATATGCTGTATTTCATAATGAGGTCTTTTGTTTATTGTTCTCATACATAATTTTTTGTTTTGTACACAAATACCAATATCATGTCATTTACATATATTTCAAAAGTGAATCGTAAATCTTTTAACAAAGAGATATATTACTCAGAATAATTTTCTAGAAATGGAATTCAATAATCAAAGGAGCAAGTATGGCCCCATCAACATTTGCTGGGAAACAGTTATTGCAACATTTAAGTCTGAGATTTTAAATCGTTTTATGGTGAAGTCATTGAGTGAACAATAGGACAAATTATGCTGTAAAAAGAAGTCAACCTCCAGATATTATACCTACGAGAAATGCTAGTCCACAAGCAAGGTTTTATATACATTGAGATGATAATGATCAGATTTATAATTGAAAAATATATGACATTCTGTTTTTCCTTTTTAAATTCTGGTAAATTATTAAAATTATGAAAACGTCTGATATTATCTATATGCTTGTGTCCCGTATCGATATTTTGCATGGAGTTTAACAAATTTGGAAATAATTTCAAATTTTTGTACTGAAACATAGGTTAAAAAAACGTTTAAAATTAAAATAAAACTTAATTAATTATAATTATGCTTTGAAATTGCAATATATCATACCTTTTATTTTTCAAAATTATCATTTCAAAAGAATTATTGACTTCAATATTTTTATATTTACTTTACAATCAAAACATTCCAAAAAGCTCAAAATTTTTAATCCAAAAAATACAGAAAAAAATACACTATAATACTATTTAAAATCTGCTAATTATTATAATCAAATAAAAAACCATGTATTTTTAACAAATTTATTTAAATAATTTCAATTTTAAATAATAAGTCACGTGAGTATAAAATGTCTGCCCTTAACAAAAAACATCACCAAAAATCAAATTTAAGAAACCCCATAAAATAACAAATCCTTCAACATTGAAATCAATAATTAGATCAAAAGATTCATCAACCGAACTAGGAAAACAAAGGATCACAATGAAAGCTACACTATGGAGACTTGCAGGTCATGCACCTAAATATGTTCGTGGTCAACCAGCACCATTGCCAGGTACACCAAAATGGCAAATTTATACTGCAAAATTCCTTGGTGCAAATATGTCTTTTTGGTTTTTTTATCGTTTAAAACAAGATTGGAAAGTTACATTTGTAAGTATATTGTTTGGAGAATACGAGAGATTGAAGTTTGGGTTATGGGTTATTAACTGATGTTTTTAGGGTATTGCTCATCCTTGGGATCATTGATGGTTTGTGTTTGGTATTTTAGAGCTCCGAGAAATATGAGTTTAGGTATTGGGCATTGAACTTAGTACTATTTATTAAATTATTTATTATATTATTTATTACATTATTTATTTATTTATTTATTTATTGATACATGATTCTCAAAACATGATTAAGTGCCTTGTAGTATCTACAATCTCGGATTTAATCAACTATAGATATTTATTAATCATAAAACTATTAGATTGAAATTAAGATTAAGCTGTCTTGTATATATATAAGCGTGTAAGTGTGTGTGTCTTGATTCAATATTTTTTATAACCACCTCTTCCACCTCTATTACCACCTCTTTTAAAACCTGAATTTCCAGGTGAATTTCTAATATTTGTTGTTGAATTTGAATTTGAGTTTGAATTTGATGTTGATGAAGGTATTGATGATTGTTTTAAATTTAAATTTTGTTGATCATTTGTTAAATTTTCTCTATATTTAAAATTAAAACCTTTGGAATTTGCTTGAAATTGGAAATTCCCATCTTGAACATCTAAAAGTATTGAACCAACTGAAACATCACAAAGATTAAAATGCCATATATTTTGAAATGCAATATAATATGAATCATTTTGTGAACGAATTATATTTGAATTTATATCTCTTTTAAAATTTGATAAAGAAATTGGTATAATTTCTTCATTTTTATTTGTTGTTACAACAGGGATTTTATCAAAATTTGATAATGCAATTGATAATAAATTTGTTAAATGTTCATTATTTGATATGATTTGTTCCACTGTTTTGGAAACATTTGTCCATATATTACTTAATTGAGTTCTTGCTTCACTAAATTTTGATTTATAAAATTCAAAATTTGGACATATACTTAATTCATTAAAACTTGAAGGATATAAGAAATGTAATCCATTTGATATTGTATAATCCATCTTGGTTATAACAGCTAAATGTCCTAATAAACCTTCACGACTTGGTGAAGGATGTGTAATCATAATTCTAACATCTTGAGGTGAATAATTTTCTTCCACAGTTTTAATAAATTGACCAATTTGAACCATTGTGATCCAAATATTCCCCGGATCACCAGAAACTGGTAAAAATTCATCATTTATACCACCAGTATTTGAAATTGATTCATAACTTTGATTTATTTCATTATTAAAAGTACCATGATGAAATAATTTTTGATATGATAATGAACCACCTAATCCACATAAGAAAATTTTTGTACCATCAATTGGTGATGTTACTTTAAAAGTTTGATTTTCATCAATTATAAATAAATTTGGTATAGAATAAATACCTAATTTAAATTTATCAATAACGGTAGAATCTTCAACCATTCCATAAATTGTATAAACTGGGATTTTTAAAAATTTATAACCATTAATAAAATCCATTAATTCAGATAATTGAACACCTTCAAGATATTTTTTCAAATCTAAATCTTTTTGATCAACATTATAATCACCATTTATACCATTACTACTACTATTAGAATTATCAATTTTAGATAATTCACTAACTTTATCCACAATTTCTGAATCTAATAATGGACAAAATGCTATAATATGCCTTAGATAACTTTCATGAATTTTACTTATACTTTCATTATCGAAAAATCCAAAACTTCCAGTATGTATAATCAAATCTGCATTAAAATTTTCAGCAAGATCATTTAATAAACTTAAATTACCACGAATTTCAGCAATACAAAGAATTCTAAGACCTTTTGTTTCAATAAGTTTATGCATGGACATTATGAATACTTTTTTTCTTCTTTTTCAGCTGTGTTGTATAATATGAGGGAATAAAAATTGACAAATTGATATATCCCTATTATCAAATATGATTAGTTTAAATTTAAATACTTTTGTATTATAATGATTTTTTATTTTTTGTTGTTGTTGTTGTCTAATATTGTTATTAAATTGATCTTTGAATATGATCTTTCCAAAAACCACCACAAATGCAAGCCAGCTATTCAATAAATAAAGTAGTTCAAAAGGAATTCAGCTATACCACAATGCCAACAATAAATCCAATGGTTTCTTCCTAAATATATCTGGTTTTCTGAGGTTTTATTATCCATATTTGAATCAAAATTGTTAATATTTATTTTTCATTAAAAATCTCGAAAAAAATTAAAAAAAAAAAATCAGAATCAGAATCGCGAAAATTTGAAAAGGTGGACGTGTGTTCGATTCCCGAGAAATTCATTTGTGAGTTTTTATAAGTAATTTGAAAATTTTGATTGAATAACATGATATTCAAGATGGTATAGGTTTATTTTAAAGGGTTTGAAAAGTGAGTTCAAAATAATAATTTGTAACTCAGTTTAAGTGTGAAATAAAACATACCAGATCCGTAAATCCCCCGGATTGATCATAGACATATGCGAGATGTTACAAAAATTTTCTAACGTCAAAATTCTTATTTAACCAGGAAAGAGGTGAATAATAATACATTGCTCATATATTAGGGGTATATGATAAGTGATTCATGAGTGGAAGGTAAGAATAGGGTGCTTAGGAGCTGAAATTTAGAGCTAGTGATTTGTACGTTATGGTTGGTAATTAGCATCATGAGTCCTTAATTAACAAGATCGATCATGGATTTTCCATGATATTATGATAACAGAGACGATCATTGATCCTCCACTTGCCAGAAAAACAACTGCTTAAATCCTAGATGTTTATTCTCCACTACCATTTGATTTACCAAAACAAAGTAAAAGGTCCAGTAGTAGCCTAATGTTTCTTTTTAATCCACAGCAATATCATCCCTTCCAATGTTCATATGTCCCTAATCACATAGACAAAATGTTTAATTAACAAACTTGAACAGTTTCAATGTGTGCTTCCTTTCGGTGATTATACCCTCATGGACTTTCATATTCGGTGAATAATACTTCATGAGATCCTTTAAATGCAGGTTAATTTGAATATTTTTAGAAGTCGATCTAGCCCATTATGGTACATGATGGTTGTCTATTTGAAAATGGGTATTTGGGTATTCAAATTACATGAAAGTGATTAGGATGATATTTTCTTCTTAATGATGAATACCATGAACATTACACTGGTTATTCTGTTGCTTATTTTCTAGTGTTTATTGTTTTGTTTTTGTTGGTTTATTGTTTCCAAATGCAAGCGATTATATCCGAGATCTGAGAAACCGTTGAAAAAGAAACTTTAGCATAAACTTATACGAAGATCGATTCCAAACAATTGTATAAGAAAACTAATGCATTCAGGCGCAGTGATGTTTTGTTTTATGGAGATTGGTGACTTGGAGATGAAGGCTCTTGTGTTGGAAAAAACATATACATGGCTAAAAATAACACAATGGGTTGAAGTGTGGTATGAATATAAAAGGGGATAGAGTTGTCTAGAAAATTCTGAATCTATGGTATCTAGTTTTTGTCAAAACAGAACAGCAACTTTTGAATATATAAAAGGGTTTATCAGAACTACTCTCCCAGATTACAGGTGATCGCTAAAGAGCCAAAGTGTTACAAAATGGATCAATTAAACCCTCCTCAACGTCCAAACTTGATATCTTTTGATTCTTCAGCTACAGTTGTTAGTACATCACAATTATTAGATTCAAATTTTGATCTTGAATCACAATCTAATCCACAAGAGCCAAAGTCTAACAAGCTAGATGATTTCACAACTCATGATAATGAATCAATACTTACATTCATTGGTGAAGATGAAACCACAGATAAAAAACATAGTGAAAATACAATGTATTTAGATAATGTTGAAGATTTCCCAGATGGTGGACTAAAAGCTTATCTTGTTGTATTTGGATCATTTATGGGTCTTATACCATGTTTTGGTATATTTAATATCTTGGGTGTTATTGAATCTTATGTTAATGAACATCAATTATCTTCAGTGGATTCATCAATTGTTGGTTGGATTTTTTCAATTTTTTCATTTATAACTTATACAACATGTATTTTTTCAGGTACTTATTTTGATAGAAATGGTGCCAAGTTCCCAATTGTTATTGGTTCTATTTTGGTTTGTTCTGGATTAGTTGCAACTGCTTCATCAACCCAAGTTTGGCATTTTATTTGTTCATTCAGTTTATTAACTGCATTAGGGAATGGATTATTAATGTCACCTTTAGTTTCAGTGGTTTCACATTACTTCCTTAAGAAAAGAGCCATGTTTTCTTCAATTGCAACATTAGGTGGTTCTTTTGGTGGTGTTATTTTCCCAATTTTACTTAGAGAATTGTTTCCTAAGATTGGTTATGAATGGTCAATGAGAGTTTTTGCATTAATTTGTGGGTTTTGTCTAATTTTCCCAATCATATTATGCAAGGAAAGAATTAATAATTCTAAATCTCATGAAATGGAATCATGGAAACATAAAACAATCACATATTTATCATCATTTGATTATAAATCTTTTAAAGAACCAAAATTTTTATTTAATTCACTTGGTGCATTATTTGCAGAAATTTCCACAGTTTCGTTATTAACATTTTTTGCATCTTATGTTTTACAAAAAGGTTTTACAACTAATGATACTTATTCACTTGTTACAGTTATTAATGCAGGTACTATCCCAGGTAGATTCATTTCAGGTTATTTAGCAGATAAATTGGGGAGATATAATGTTATAATTTTCACAATTGCCATGACTGGAGTAGTTAATTTAACAATATGGATGCCATTTGGATCAAGTTTATCAGTTTTATATGCATATGCAATTATTTATGGGATTTTTTCAGGTTCAATTTTTTCATTAGTACCAGTTTGTATTGGACAAATTTCCAAAACTGAAGAATTTGGAAAAAAATATAGTACAATGTATTTTATTATTGCATTTGGTACATTATTTGGAGTTCCAATTGGTGGTGCTATAATTGGTGATAAATCAATTGATAACTATAATTGGTTTATTGTGTATGCTTCAATTTCTGCATTTTTAGGATCAATTTGTTATGGTATTTCAAGATTTTATTGTGTTGGATGGAAAGTTCTAACAAAATTTTGAATGAGTATCAAATCAATTACTTATACACTTATGACTTTTATGACTTTTAAACGGGTGATTTCTCTTGGACTTTCGAGGAACATGCTCTAAATCAAGCAGAGATCACAAATATTTTAATAACTAATGAATAATTTTAAAATTAAAGGACTTGTAGCATATTTTGTGGAATTTCCCCATAGTTTATTAATGTTTTTGGAACCTCGGCTTTAATGGGCCCTGCACAAATCCGACGGTCCCCAATTGCACAAATCCGACGGCAGCCAATTTGTTTATAAAAGAAAAGGAAAATCCTTTAATTTCAAATCCAAAACATCAACAAAAAAGTTGGATCTCAATTGGAAATAGGCTGGGAATCACTGGGAAATGAGTGCACAGGAGTCAGATAGGTTGATCCAGGAAAGGGCCATTGAGAGGGCTGGAACCTCTTTTAACGTCCAGGATTTGATTCATTATTTAGATGATGGAGAGGAAAATACTAAAATTTATGAATCAATGTCACTTCAATTAGAAAGAGATCCAATTTTTAAAATTAAATCTTCACATTTAGATTTAAAAGCCAAAAGAGAATTAGCTTTCAAAAAAATTGTGAAATTAGCTGGTTATTTCCAAAACTCTGATGAAGTTGAACTACGTAATAGAATTAGAATTCTTTCACTTATTGATCCGGATGTTGCTACAAGAATTGGTGTTCATTATGGGTTATTCATTGGTACTCTAAGAGCTCTTGGTTCTTCAAAACAATTTGAATTTTGGATCAAGAAAGGTGCTTTTTCATTATCAAATTTTTATGGATGTTTTGCAATGACTGAATTAGCTCATGGTTCTAATGTTGCAGCTTTACAAACAACTGCAACTTATGATCCACAAGATGAAACTTTTATCATCCATACACCTTCATTAAGTGCTACAAAATGGTGGATTGGTGGCGCTGCTCATTCAGCTACTCATGCTGTTGTTTATGCTAGATTAATCTCCCAGGGAAAGGATTATGGTGTTAAGAATTTCATTGTTCAATTAAGAAATTCTCAACATGAATTATTACCAGGTGTTTCAGTTGGTGATATTGGTAAAAAAATGGGTAGAGATGGTATTGATAATGGTTGGATTCAATTCACAAATGTTAAAATCCCTAAATTCAATATGTTGGATAAATATGCTAAAGTTGATAATGATGGTAAAGTTACATTACCTCAATTCCAACAATTAGGTTATACTGCATTAGTTGTTGGTAGAGTCTCAATGGTTGTTGATTCTTATAACACTGGTAAGAAATTTTTAACAATTGCATTAAGATATGCATCAACAAGAAGACAATTTGGTAAAGATTCTGAAGGGAAAGAGAAAAAAATCATTGATTATACACATCATAGAAGAAGATTATTCCCATTATTAGCTAGTGTTTATGCAATGAATTCAGCTGCTTTAGTTATTTCAAAATTTCAAGATGAAGCTAATAAACTTGTTGAAAGTGGTGAAAATTTAAAACATGTGATTCCAAATTTAAAAGATCTTTTTGGTCTTTCAGCTGGATTAAAGGCATTTTGTACTTGGGAAACTGCTCATATTATTGATGAAACAAGACAAAGTTGTGGTGGTCATGGTTATTCAGATTATAATGCTTTTGCAAGAGGTTATAATGATTGGGTTGTTCAATGTACTTGGGAAGGTGATAATAATGTTTTATCAATGAGTTGTGGTAGAGCTTTAATTCAAAATTATCTAAGTGTTGAAAAGAAGAAAATTGTGGGGAAATATACAAAATATTTAGAAACCACAGATATTTCAAATGAATTTGAATTAAAATCTCAAGATTTAGAATATATTGAAAAAATAATTAAAGCTTGGGAATTTGTTTCTAAGAGTTTAATTGTTAAATCAACAAATAAATTTAAAAATTTTGTTAAAGAATTTAATGGTGATGTTGAATTAGCATTTGAAAAAATCTCATCATATAGATTTATTATTGCTAAAGTTCATACAAAATTAATCCTTTTGAAATCATTTTATGAAAGAATTTTGGAAGCACCAAAGAATTTAAAACCAGTTCTGTCATTATTATTACAATTATATTCTCTTTCCATTACATCAGAAAACATTTCACAATTTTATTCATTCAATATAGTTAAAGGTTCAGATTTTTTGGAAAATTTAAATTATAAAATTGATGAAATTAATGAATTATTAAGACCTGATATTATTGGATTAACTGATGCTTTCAATTTATCAGATTTTGTAATTGATTCTCAAATTGGGAAAAGAAATGGTGATATTTATGAATCTTATTTCAAACATGTTAATGATAATAATTCTGATTTGAAACCTCATTATTATGATTCTATCATGAAACCTTTTTTCCAAAGAGATATGAAACCTAGTGATAATGAAGAAGTTGATGAGGAGGAGGAAGAATAGCTACACACACCAACCTCTCAACAACTTATTATACATTCTTCTTGACTTTTCTATGACTTTTATAGCTTTAAATAAATTCAAATTTGATACTTTATACTGATTACGTAATACAAATTCCCCCGGTAAACACACACTTTTTTTTGTTTACTTTTCAAAACATCAACAAAAAATTTAAAACACTTTGAACGCCAAAAAAGAAGGAAAAGGAAAACCATCAAAAAGATCGATTGAAGAAGAAGTTAGAAGGATATTAAGGAAATATGTCAGGGAAATCACGTACAGAGCTATTGCAGTGGATCAACACCACTTTGGAATTGAACTACACCAAGATTGAACAATTGGGATCAGGCGCTGCTTATTGTCAATTATTTGATTCGATTTATCTGGATGTTCCAATGGCAAAAGTCAAATTTGACGCGTCTAAAGAGTATGAATATTTGGCCAATTTCAAAGTATTACAAAACAATTTCCTGAAACATAAGATCAATAAGACAGTGCCCGTGGAAAGATTGATCAAATGTAGATTTCAAGATAATTTAGAATTTGTTCAATGGGTAGAGAAGTTTTGGCAAGATAATAAAGATGAATCGGATTATGATCCTAATTCAAGAAGAAAATATATGCCTCCTGCTGGTGCTGCTGGTGCAGGTGGTCCTTCTGGTGCTAGTACGAGGTCTTCAAGAGCTTCTTCAACTGGTCCTTCAACTCTTAACCGCCGTACTGTGTCAAATTCATCAACTGGTTCAACTATAATTGGATCAAATAGACCTCCACCAAGAACAGGTTCAAGAAATACAAGTTTTGGATCTAAACCACCTTCTAGGATATCATCTTTGAATGGTAATGGTTCTTCCTCGTCTTCAAATGCTATAAATACAGAATTACAAAATGAATTAACTATAACAAAAACTAAATTATCAGATACTGAATTAGCATTAAATGAAGCATCAATGCTTGCAGATTCATTAGAAAGTGAAAGAAATTTTTATTTCAATAAATTAAGAGAAATTGAAATTTTAACTGAAAATACAAGTGATTTTATTGGTGATGCACCAATTGAACAACATCCAAGTTTAAAAGAAACTTTATTGAAAATTCAAGAAATTTTATATAATACTGAAGAAGGATTTCAATTACCTAATGGTGATCTTGAAATTGATCAATTACCTGTTGATACAGATCCTATGAATATTGAAGAAGAAACATTTTGATCAACAGCAAAAAAAGGAGGGATTTATTTTGGGAGTTATTTGATGGTGCTATAATACACATTCAGCTTATTTTTTTTTTACAGAAATTTCTATTCATTTCAAATATATCGTAATAAATTATATCCTATATACAAGATTTTGGGGGGACATATTAAGTGATTAATTTTTTTGTTTTTTTTATTTTTGATTTCATCATGGTTCATGGTCATAATTTATGCTGGTGTTGGACCAGTTTCTTCTGGTGGTGGAGGTGGTGCACTTTTTTCACCACCTAAATATTTTTCAAAATCTGCATTTTCTTTATATGCTCTTGGACCTAATAATCTAATCATATCATCTCTTGTTAAAACTTCTTTTTCTAATAATAAATTAGCAACTTTTTCCACTTCAACAGATTTTTCAATTAATAAATCTTTACATCTTTTATGACATTCTTCCACAATTCTTTTAACTTCTAAATCAATAATTTGTGAAGTTTTTTCACTAAATGGTTTTTGAACTTGGAAACCACCTTCTTCATCTTGATTAAATGCTAAATATCCAATTTTTGGTGACATACCTAATTTTTTAACCATACTTTCTGCAATATTTGTAACTTTTTTAAAATCATCATGTGCACCTGATGTAACAGATTTAAAATGTAATTCTTCGGAAACACGACCACCTAATGCCATAGTCATACGATCATTAAATTGATCAGTTGATAATAAATATTGATCTGGTGGTAAATATTGGGCATAACCTAAAGCACCTTGACCTCTTGGAATAATTGAAACTTTTAATAATGGATCTGCAAATTCTAAATACCAACCACAAATTGCATGACCAGCTTCATGATATGCAACAACTGTTTTCTCTTCTTTTGATAAAACTCTTGATTTTTTTTCTAAACCTGCAATAACTCTCTCAATAGCTTGTTCAAAATGTTTCAATTCAACAAATTGATCACCATATCTAGCTGCAATTAAAGCAGCTTCATTACATGCATTAGCAATATCAGCACCTGAAAATCCTGGAGTTAAAGCAGCTAATCTACCACTTAAGAAATCATTTTCTTCTTCAATAAATCCATCTTTATTGATTTTTAAAGTTAATTTTTTCAAATGAACTCTATAAATTGATTTTCTACCTTCAATATCTGGTCTATCAATTGAAACATGTCTATCAAATCTACCAGGTCTTAATAAAGCTGGATCTAAAACATCTGGTCTATTAGTACCAGCTAAGACAACAACATGATCTGAAGTTTCAAACCCATCCATTTCAACTAATAATTGATTTAAAGTAGCTTCTCTTTCATCATTACCACCCATACTACCACCTTTACCTCTTTCTTTACCAATTGCATCAATTTCATCAACAAAAATAATTGCTGGTGCCATTTTACGTGCATTTTTAAATAAATCACGAACTCTTGAAGCACCAACACCAACAAACATTTCAACAAATTCTGAACCTGAAACTGATAAAAATGGAACACCAGCTTCACCTGCTGTAGCTTTTGCTAAAAGTGTTTTACCTGTACCTGGAGGACCTGATAAAATTGCACCTCTTGGAATTTTTGCACCTAATTTTTCATATTTTTGTGGATTTTTCAAAAATTCAACAAATTCCATAATTTCCTCTTTGGCTTCATCACAACCTGCAACATCTTTAAATTTTGTCTTTATATCAGTTTCTTGATTAAATAATTTTGCTTTACTTTTACCAACGTTAAAAATACCACCCATACCACCACCGGCACCTCCAGAACCACCTGGACTTGCTCTTTTAGTTAAATAGTATAAACCACCTAATAATAGGAAAGTTGGTAAGAATGGTAAGATATAATTGAAAATTGAAGCTTTTTCAATATAAGCAACAGGAATTCTTTCATTTGGTGTAATTTTTAAACGATCTTGAATTTCATCCAATTGTTCTTCGAAAACATCAACTGAACCAATTGTAAAGGCAACATTTGGTTTACCACCAAATGAATTGACACCAGATTCAGGTCTTAAATCAGCTTCGACTAATGATTTATTAATAACATAAATTTTTTCCACAAGACCTTTTTCTAAATATTTAGATTTGAATTCTTGGAATGTTAAGACATTAGAACCACTTCTATCACCTGGTGTTATAATATAAAATAATAATGTGAAACCTAAAGTTAAATATAAACTTCTTTGAAATTCTTTTGATTTAATATATTCACCAACGGTTTGATAATCTTTCCCATCTTTTTTGTTCTTGTTCTTATCATCTCTATTTTCTTTACCATCTTTACCATTTAATTGATATCTAGTACTCTTGAATAATAAAGGTGATTGATTTGAAAATAAACGAACATTTTGTCCTATTGATCTTTGAATGAATTGATTCTTTAATATGGATGAATTTCTTAAATTTTGAGTGAATTTTGAAGATAATGCACTTCTTTGCATCATCAGACCTACTCGAGGCCTTAGAATATTCATTTTTTGTTAATTTATTTGTCCCTTTTCGTCCTTCTAATATCTTGATTTCCAAATTCTTTGTAGTGGCAATCTTTTGATAGATCTCTCTCCACTAGATTTCAAAGCCCACCAAAAATTTCAGCAATTTCAAGCACTTAAAAAGTAGTATTCCAGGAGCAAAAAAACAATACCAATAATAACCAGCAATTACCTCAAAAAGCAAATAAAAAGAATGAAACAAATCAATTCGATATCTTTTTGAACTCTAGAATCAAGTTTCCTTTATAATCTTATTTTGACGCTTTCAAACTCCCGAGAAAAAGTGCGGGTATTGGAAAAATTCGCGAAAATATTACCCGGATGATAAAGAGCATAAAGATTTAACAAAAACTACAAATTATCTTCATATTTTTGTATGTAAAGGATGCAATTTTATTAGCTCATTCTGATCTATATGATGTGTTTTCTCTATAATAGCTCTATGTAATTCTCCACAGGTTCTTGTTGAATCCCATCAGATTGTTCATGAAGATCTAACCATGAAACATTTTGGAAAATTGGATTTGTTTTAGTAGATCCAATCAAATTATCAATAGATTCTTCTGCCACTAATAAACTAATAGCATCATAACCACCTGCACCTGGAACAACACCGGATATCACACCTTTGATTTGAGAACATTCATCTAATAATTTTGTTTGAGGTTCTGGTTCAATTTCTGCACCTGATCTTGATGTAATTGATCTAAAATTTGAACGGATTATATTTGTAGCATTGATGAGTTCTTTGATTGGTTCTAAGTTTGGTGTTGATTGATCATTTAATATTTCTGTTGTATTGTTATTAATTATGAAATTTATTAAATTTTCATATTCATCAGGATTTGTTTCACTAAATTTATTTAATTTATCCAAGGATTCAACATATTTCATATTTGATGAATCTAATTCATGATACACTTGAGCACTTTCAGGATCTGATTGTCTCCATTGAAGAACTTTTGAAACTAATTTTGGTGTGTTTGAACCACCTTTAATATCCCCCATTATTAATTTAATACCTTTTGGTAAGGCAACTTTATCATTCTTTATATCCCAATCATGGAATTTAACAAGTTTTACTAATTGTTCATGATGCTGGGATTTGGTAATATCTGATTGTGGTTTTAAATTATTAATTAATGAAGGATCAAATCTTTTATAAACAATTGAACCAAAAGTTGCAGCTGCAACATCAAAACCAGAACCAACTTTCCCCTGAGCTTGACAATGAGCCACTTGTGCAATATTATGAATCAATTGTAATTGAGTTTTGGATTTGACATCGAAATCAGTGTTATAATATGAATAAATAGCTGTTGTTAATACAGTAACCAGTCCAGCGGATGAACCTAACCCAGTTTTAGGAACTTGTGTAAGTTCCTTTTGATGATATGAATATTTCTTAGAGCCTGATTGTTTCTGTATAGTCTCATCTTGTGAATGATATCCAGAATCTGAAAAAATTGTAATATTTAAATGTGAATGAATTGATGGATTAACAAAAGCTAAAACAGTGGAAACTGCAGATTCAGCAAATGGATTTTTTTTACCATTAATCTCTAAAGCATGAAATTTTTGTTCACCATCTGATTTCAATTCATATTCCCATTCACCGTTAGCAAATTGTGGACTTGATATCTTAACAATTGTGGTTTGTAAATCTGATGAACTTTTACCTTTGATAACAGCATGCATTCTTGAAGACAACGCGACGACATACGAGTTATAAGCCCTGTCCAAGACGAGATAACCACCTGCGATGAGCGCTTTCCCCGGTGCACTGAAAGCCTTGTAACTGTCACTCATTTCTTCCAAATTCAGTTGAATATTCTATGATTTGATGGGAAATTGAATGGTTATATTTTTGATCTGATTTCTTAGTTGATGATTTCAGGGAAAAAAATAGAAAATTCTGTCAATTTTAAGATGTTGAATAATCTACAAATTAATCTTCGGTAAGCGACGCATGAAAGTACAATGCTAATGTATGATGTTTGTAGTTACCGCTTTGGGAAGTCAAAGGTTAATCTATATACAAGTAGTATATTAAGTGATGTGGTTCTCACAATGCAACATATATAATATAAAAAAGATTGCAAAAAGATCAAAGTTATCAAACTTGTAAATTGTTTATTGTCGCTGGTTTATTTATAAGAATTAATTCAGGTTCCAAAGGAAGTAAACAACTAGGATCTGAAGGATCTTCATTCATAGACGCATTTAAGGTAAACTCTTTTGAAACTTGAGGTTTCCCATCATTTATTCCCAAGATTAAAATTGATGTTTCAATATGATTCAATCCAGTATTTGCATCATCATCTTCAATATTAATGGGTTCAACGTTGGTTAAGATCTTAATCAAATCATTTAGAATCTCATTAACTTGAAGTTCAGTTTTAAATTCACGGTTTGTGATTTTAACACAGGATTGACCAGTAACGATCATTTTGAAACAGCCTGCCACATCAAATTCATTCGTTATCCTATCAGAACAATTATCAACAAGAGTTCGAAACCAATGTATTACTGGATTAGCATTTTGGAAATCCATTGAATTTTTAAATTTACTCAATCTTCTTCTTAATATATTTGAATAGCTTTGATCAGAGAGTAAATAAACACTCAACAATTCTTTAAAATAAACATTCTGTGGGAATATATGGTAAATATCAGATATAATAGATTCACGGGTAAATTTGGTTTGGATATTATTCAAAACTCTACCAAACCTTGGTGCTTTATCTTCAAGAGGGTCTTTCCACCTTACCCTATCAAAGTTATCATCCAAAGGTGTAACATGAAGGTATTCATTTTGATCTGTCATAACTGAAACAAGTTCGTTTTTTTCTATTTGTTGATCAATCAATTCATCTAATGATTCTTGACCTCTAGTTGATCCATTCACCAATGAATTTTGTTCAAAAGTCATAAGCTTATCAAACCCATCAAACACACATATATCAAGCAAGATTTCTTTAATGAATTTCTTCATTATTGAATTTGGATTTTGCAAAATATTCTTTAGAATGAATTGAATATTCTTCAAACTTCTTATTTCAAACGGATGGTTAGATCTTTCACCTCTATCTTCGGACTTGAATAATCCAAAATGTTTATGTCTTTTAATTGCATCAAGATGTATTTCTTCAAAAAAATCTTGATCAGTTATTATTGAAGTATCTAAAAATTCATAATCAAATTTCTGACTCTCTTGATGTCTTTTATAAATTGAATAAGAATCATAATGCTTATCCCTAATAGTATCAGGTCCTTTCTTTAAGAAACATTCATCAGTGAGTTTCATCTTGGTTAATGGACTCAAGACAATTGTTAATTTCAAAGTATCATAGATTTTTGGTGCAAATGTATATAAAAATGATCTGTTGATGCTCATCATGATTAAATTATCAATGTTACCAATATGTGCAATGACTTCCCAAATTTCCATTGGAAACATGATGTCATTATCAGTCCCATTATGATCTGAAGCAGACTTATGAATATTGATCTTTGAATCTTCAAAATCCCTAGTTTCGTCTTTCTTTATTGGAGAATTAGTTACAATCATTGTTTTGATGCTATCAATCCATTCATATAAACAATTTAATTTGCTAGATAAATAATACCTTATTGGGAATGTTAATCTATCCAAACTCCAGAAAGGTCTATAAACTGTATTATAATATGAATGACGAATATAAATTCCACCAATACCTCTAGGATAACTTGTCCAAATTCCTAATGCTTCAAGAATATCTCTTTCAATAAATAAGATATGAGAAGTTTCGAGGATTTTGTTCAAAAATGATGTTATTGTTGCTATAATAGTACTAATCATTGTGTTTAGTGTCATGTTGTATTAGTTCTTAGTACTACACATTGAAGTGGAAGGAAATATGATTTTCGTCTATTCAAGAGGTATTTATATATCAAGTTCAAAACCAACTCAAAGAGACAGAAAACATAAAGTATAGCTCAAAAAAGAGCTCAGATCATAAGCTATACACCACATTATTCAACTCAAAATACATCTCAATTCGAAAATACTCTACAAAGAACCTCACAAAAACACTTCATATTTTCGATTACAAATTTATAAACAAACTTTTATGGATAATAGTCTTTCAAAATGAGCTCAAATTAAGTTCCAAAAACTTGAGATGTACTCTTGTGAGTTTGAGTAACCACTCTACACTAAATGGAATCATCTTCTGTACCACACAGTGCTTCATATCCTTGGCTACATACTTCATCAATTAATCATATACATTCTGAAAATAATTCATCAATTGTTGAAATACTTGCTCAAGTGAGATACTTGAGACTTGTAACTACATATATTGCTTACAATTCAATATAACATATAATTGAATACCATAAATAAAGAGTAAGAGATATTGATTTTGTAATTATTTTGCTTAAACGATAACTTGACGCCTACGTGTACAATTGAATATCAAGCACTACCAACTCTTATCTTTTTAACCTCGTAAATAATTGATTATCGCTGTCGCTGATTTATTTATAAGAATCAATTGAGGATTCAAAGTGAGTAAACTAGTAAAATCTGAAGGATCACCATTCATAGAAGCATTTTCGGTAAACTTTTTTGAAGCTTGAGGTTTACCATCATCAAATCCTAAGACCAAAATTGATGATTGGATATGATCAATATAATCATCATTCGACTTGATGGTTAAAGCTTCAAATAAATCATTCAAAATTCCATAAACTTGAAGTTTAGTTTTAAATTCACGATTTTGAATCTTAACACACGATTGACCAGTAACAATCATTCTAAAATAACTTACTAGATCAAGTTGCTTTGTTTTTCCATCAAAACAATTAGTCATAATAGAATGAAACCAATGGGATATTGGATTAGCCTTTTGAAAATTCTCTTGGTGCTTAAATTTACTCAATCGTCTTCTTAATATATTTGAATAAAGTTGACAAAGAAAGTAGATAAACACTCAACAATTCCTTAAAATAAACGGTATGTGGGAATAGGTCGTAAAGGTCAGTTTCAATAGAATCATGAGTACAATTGGTTTTGATACTTTTGGCAATTTTGAAAAATCTTGTAGCTTTGTCTATCAAAGAATCTTTCCATCTAACTCTATCAAAATTATCATCTAAAGGTGCAACATAAAGACGCCAATTAGATTCATGATCGATTGGATTGACTTTCATAACTGAAACATGTTCCTTCTTTTCTATTTCTTGATCAATCAATTTCTCTAATGATTCTACACCACTGGTTGATCCATTTATTAATGAGCTTCGCTTCATGGTCATAAGCTCATTAAACCCATCAAACACACATACATCAACCATGATTTCTTTAATAAACATCTTCATTATTGAATGTGGATTTTGCAAAATATTCTTTAAAATGAATCGAATATTCTTTAAATTCCTCACTTCAAAAGGTTGATTAGATCTTTCACCTCTAAGCCCAGATTTGAACTTAAATCTAGGATGTTTATGCTTATATCTATCTTTAGGATCAACTCCTTTAAAATAATCTTGATCATCAATTGAGGTATCCAAAGATTCATAATCAAAGCTTCTACTTTCTTCATGTCTTTCATAAATTGAATATGAATCATTATATCTATTATTAGCAATATCAGGTCCATTTTTCAAGAAAGATTCATCAGTAAGTTTCATCTTGGTTAATGGGGTCAAAACAATAGTCAATTTTAATGTATCGTAAATTTTTGGTGCAAATGTATAGAAGAATGATATATTGATGCTCATCAAGATTGAATTATTAAGTTTACCAATATTTGCAATGATTTCCCAAACTTCCATTGGAAATATAATGCCATTAGCATCCCCATCATGATTTAAGTCAATATTGATCTTTGAATCTTCAAAACCCTCATCTTCATCTTTCTTTATTGAGAAAGGTTTAGTAATTGACTTGGAATAATCAATCCATTCATTTAATGATTTCCATCTAGCTAAATAATACCTTATTGGAAATGTTAATGTATCCAATCTCCAAAGAGGTCTATAAAGTGCATTATAATATGATTGACGAATATCATATCTATCAAGACCTCTATGATGACCAAACCAAATTGCTAATGCTTCAAAAATATCTCTTCCAATATATAAAGCACGATAAGTATCAATAAATTTGTTCAAAAATGATGTTACTGCTGTTATACTAGTATTAATCATTATGTTTAGTGACATGATTTATTAGTTATTAGTGCTACATATTGGAGTGAGAGAAAAGTTAAGTCTTCATCCACCCAAGAAGTATTTATATATGAAGGGCTCAATAACAACTCATAATTGGACAGAAAACGTGAATTATATCTCAAAAAAAGAACTCAAATCATAAACTATATATACACCACAAAATTCAACTCAAAATACATCTCAATTCATATACTATATAACTAGTATAGTTTTCTTTGCTCAGGATCTATTGATTTCAAATCTTTATACATATCAAATTCAGAAATTGTCTTTGTATGTAGTACGTCTTCATCCTGAATCATCACAATAACTTTTTTTTCATTATTGAAATTTGAACCAAATTCAAATTTAATTAGTTCATCAACTTGTTTCAATATATTCTCAGCTTTTACTTGTTCATCTTCTTTGACCAAAATTATGAAACGATCTTTGAAAGTTGACATCAATTGATATTCTTTGATTCCTTGTTTTTCAAACAAATTATCAATATGAATCAATAACCTATGTATATAACCAACTTTACAAGATTTTAAACCATCTCTAATTATGTAAGGACTAACATTTTGAAGATTTTCTTGTTTCATGATTAAAGATTTAATAAGATCATGATCAATCCTCAAAGAAATGAATTTATAACCTTCAGGTGCAACTAATTGATCTTCAATCCCTTTACCAATATCAATAAAGTTTTCTAAAATTAGTTTATGAGATGCTTGGGCCACTGGGTCAGAATTTTCAAAAACTGAAGGTATAATCCATGGAAGAAAAATTGAAAGATCTTTTAGTTGAGAGTTTTGATGAATTAAGAAAGCATCATGACATTTGTTAAATTCCCATGAGGTTAAATTTGAATAATCATCAATTATATTTTGATATTCGGGTTTAACCGTGAGAATACCATTAATCCAAAGATCTCTATAATCTGTTTGATATTGTTTGCGATGAGATTCACAATCTCTTATGAATAAATCATGTGATTTTAAAGTTATTGAACTTGATTTTACCAGTGGATAATCTTTGAGAATTGAGTCATCAAGTTCAACTGTATAAGTAAGATTTCGGTTTCTTGTACCATTCTTCAAATGATAACTTTCAAGTGGATATTTCCCTAAAAATTTGATTCCTAATAAACTCACAATTTCAGGTGAATCTAATGTTAAATTGGCGAAACCGTTTTCCTTTCCAATGGTTAACACCCTATTATTAATATCTTCCAGTAGTTTTCGACTTTTATCGTCATTTAATTTATTGTAATCATCCCATTTAGATTTATTTACAATCATTTTATGGTTACCTAGCAGTTTAATACCTAAAAGATACTTGTGGAAATGTGGATTTGGTAAACATTTTTTCCAAAGATTTGAAAATACTCGATGTGTAGCTTCCACATCTTTAGCACAATAACTCATTGCATTTTGGAAATGTTTCACAACTTCTTCCTTCCCAGTATTTCCAAATAAATCTCTAATTTCTTTATCTAACTTTTTTCTTGTGACATTGGTATAAAGTTTTGAAAGCATATGAAATCTATTATTATCTTTACCCATTAATGATTTGGAATTGTTTTTATAAAATAATGGACCACGAATTATATCCAATGTACTGGGGGTTTTCTTACCAATCTTTGTGTTACAAAAGTAATGTAATCCAACAATGTCAATATGACAAGATTTAGAGTTTTTAAACAACATCTCTTCATAATCATCTTTAACCATAACTCTATCAAAATGATTATAATGACCAATAATCACTTTATCTTTATTCTCAGGATTTAATGGGATTAAAGTAGTTGGTTTCAATTCTTCACCAACTAAATAAGGTGAAACCCATCCATACCAAGCTTTTGAAGAAACAGCAGTAGCCAATGTTGGATAACGAGAAATCTTGTATAAAACTTCACCATCAAATGAAATAGCATCTTCTTCTGGGAAGGGGACTTTAATTGGTGGTTTACCTGGTTCATATTTATACCAACCTGATTGAAATTCCCATTTAGTAGGTGGAGTAGGTAGTTTAGCCTTGGAGAATTCATTTGCTTTGTTGAAATATGGTTGAGCTTTTCTTTTAGCTACTTCATGAACATAAGTTGTAATGTTGTTTTCATTGATTATGATTTTCTGTTTTTCAAGTCCTTTTGAAGCAGTTGAAACCAATCTGGAAAACCTGAGACTCATAATCCAGTTGATGATTTAGGAGTTTTAGATCTCAATTGACCTAATTGAAATTTATTGGAGTTCCACAAAAAATGAATTCCATGTCATAAGTTTGAGCTGTTTTATCTTCGAATTGTTGTGAAACATTAAAATTTGTGACAGGTCTTTTTTTTCGGAGACATCAATTAATATTATATGTTGTACCGGCACACATTATAAACCACCAAATTTGAGTTATTTTGGTAGTCAAGACATAATCAAAACATTATAATGATCACAATACGTATCTATATCTTTAAAATATACTTTCAAAGGATTTAAAAGGACAAAAAAAAATTTACTCAAAAATGTAAAAATAATGGATCCTAGGAGATTCGAACTCCTGCATCTTGCGATATTCGATCTTGAGTCGAACGCCTTAAACCACTCGGCCAAAGATCCGCGATTTTAACTATAAAAATTGCTGAAACACTAATATTTGTAAATCATCAAAATTTGCAAAAACCAGCCATTTTGAAGCCTTGAGCTATATTTTGAAGCAGTTAACAGGATCATTACTGTTATTATAGCAACTAGAACCTTTTTACAAATTCTTGTTGAAATTGGACGAATGGTTGTTGAGATATCTCAAGTTTTAATGTTTTACAAAGTCTTCCCAATACTGAAAGATTTGAGATCCCTGCCTAGAAAATTAGGCGGAGATAGGCAGGAACCTGCTTATGATTGTCCCCAGGGTCCCTTGCAGATGAACGTTTGAACTTTAAATGGATCTCAGATTCGATCAGATATAGATATGATCCCATTCATTAGATACGGTTAAACTCGACTTGAATATTCAGGAAGTACATCGCTACTATCTTTAATATATCCTTGGTAAAGATGACTAGTTGCAGAGATAATTTAAGGGCTCTGATCATCAATTGTTTAGGAAAGCTCTCATGAATGAGCTCTAACTAGTTTCCACTCATGGATCAGACAGGAAACTAGAAACAGACAGAAAACTAAGGATCCTATGATTGAAATCATTTTTTGACTATAAGAAGCGTATTTCTTCTAAAACTTTTCTTGACATTAGCTAGTTTTGTTTTAATTCCTATATAATAGTTCTATCATTATCACAAAGAACTAGCTAATTAACTAAACTCATTTAATTAAAACTATGCATATGAACTTAACAGATTTTCCAAAAGAGATATTCACAAATATCCTACGTTATCTAACTCCAGAAGATATCCATAACTTATATCAAATTCCCCCAATCAGGGGATATTTAAAAACTATCATATCAATACATACCGATGATGAGAAGATTCCAAATGTTATGGACTTGACTCCACGTGAACGTCAATTATTAGCTAAGTATTGCCACTTTATAAATATTCATGGCTCTAGTGTCAATAGGATGAAACATCTAATAAGAAGAAAACGAGTCAACATTGCACTTTTTGAAATTTATGAACTCTTGTATGATTTTGAATCATTTATGAATTTTGTTTATATGACCAATGCATCACCTAAAGCAGTAACTGTGTGGCATAATTTCCATATATGTATGAATTTCCAGAATGAAGTGATATCACCATTATATTCAAAACATAATAAAAAAGTTTTTGGATTAATTAATAAAGCTATTGGTGAACAAGGTATTCAAAAAAGTTCATTAAGTTATTTATGTTTTAAAACTTTAAAACATATTTATCTTACACATATCACAATTGATCCAAACTCTATTGATATACCTTTATTAACCACTGCAACTTTCATCAATTGTAAAAGTGCTGATGAGAAGAGTTTTTTCAAATTTAACAAATTGCAACATTTAAATTATCAAGGACCTAATTTTGGATCATTTGGAAAATCTTTAAATTATTCCACTCATTTACAGAAACTTGAATCATTAACTTTAGAAAATGTGGGTATGGTTATTTTTGATACTAAACGTCATTCATATTTCAAGAGTTTAAAGTCATTGATTATCAAAACTGATACAGAATTTGCTGAATTGAATGATCATGTTATAATGGATCTTTGTGATTTCCCTAAATTGAATCAATTGAATATCAAAATATTTGGTGAAGTGGTAATGGAAGGGATTGAAGCTCCTTTACTTGAAAAAATAAAAATTCATTGTACATATGGTAACATTTATATGAATTATGTAGGAGCTCATAGTGTGAAAGAATTTATACTTATATCTGGTGGTCAATTACCAACTATAAACAATGTGATGTTCAAAAGATTCCCATCTATGGAACTTTATTTTGAGAATAATAAAAATATTGAAAATTTGAAAGCACAAGATGTTGAATGGTTGAAATATGCTTCAGATTTGAAGACTTGGGAATCTTGTATTGATGTTTTACGTCTTGTTGATTTCAAATATTTGAAAACTTTCGAAATGGCTGAACCTAGACATTTCATTCCTCAAACTCAAGTTTGGTATAACCAAGAGATTGTCATTAATGCTCCGATACTTGAAAGTGTAAAATTGAATTGGAGGAAACATTCACTTGAAATGACAGAATTCAATGCACCAAGTTTGAAGAGTTTAACTTTGAATGTATGTCCAATTTTGACAAGTTTAAAACATCCACAATCACAATTCCCCCAATTAGAAAGTCTTATCATCAGGAATCTTAATCTTGATCATCATATTTCTCTTGATGATGATGGGTTGGTTTTACCCAGTTTGAAACAACTTGAAATTGAACCATCAGGATTTGAACCTATCAAATTAAAAAATTGCACATTCCCACAATTAACACATTTTACAATTCAAAGACCTAGAATCACCGGTGAACCATTAGATTATTTCCAAAGTTTGGATAATGAATTAAGTTTCACTGCACCAAAATTAATTGATCTTAGACTTGAAAAATTCCATCTCCATAAACTTGAACTTTTAGACCTTCCAAATTTAATCAACTTTAGAATCACACATGTTGATAATTTCAAATCCACCGTAATTGAGAAGTTAGAATATCTATTACTAAATCCTTATTCCAACAGAGTTGAGCTTTTATGTCCGCACTTGAGACATTTGGAGCTTACAGAACCGTTCCCTGATGCAAATTTTGTCTATGAATTGGAAGATAAATTGGGGTTCTATATTGGTAGAAACAAGGCTATTGAAAAGCGATATAATGACTTGAGATTTGTATACTCATTTGGGGTTCAAAGATGGAAGGGATGTAATACCGTGTGTAATAATTAAGCTGTGTGAAATTCCATGAATGAATGAATGAATGAATATTTTATGAAATTGACATTGATATTCTGGTAGTTGAATTGAAATTGTAAAGCCACTCACGTCCAGCTTATACATTTCTAAAGCTGTCGCGAATTTTGAGTCAAGTACAAAAGGGCTCAGGGCTTACTTATTTTATACTTACAATTAGCTATAATTCATTTATAAACTTATATTAATTCATGTGATTGTCGCTGATTTATTTATAAGAATCATTTGAGGATGCAAAGCTAGACAATTAGTAAAATCTACTTCATCAGCAAGATCAAATGATGCATTTTCGGTAAACTCTTTTGAAACTTGAGGTTCTCCATTGTTTATACCCAAGATCAAAATGGAAGATTCAATGTGATTTAAGGATCTATCATAGTTTACATCATCTGTACTGGAATTTGTTTTAACATTAGTTAAAGTTTTTATCAAATCATTTAAAAGTTCATACACTTGAAGTCCAGTTTTAAATTCACGATTTTGAATCTTAACACATGATTGACCAGTAACAATCATTCTAAAAAATCTTGCCAAATCAGTTTCTTTCGTTATTCTATTGTAACAATTATCCACAAGAGTATAGCACCAATGGTTTATTGGATTGGCTTTAAAGAAATTCTTTGGGTTTTCAAATTTGCTCAATCTTCTTCTTAATCTATGTGAATAAAATTGACCAGAAAGTAAATAAACACATAACAACTCTTTAAAATAAACGTTTTGTGGGAAAATGTGACGAAGATCAGATTCAATAGATTCACGAGAAGAATTAGTTTTGATGTTTCTGGCAGTTTTGTTAAATCTGATTGCTTTATCTTCAAGAGGATCTTTCCATCTAACTCTATCAAAATTATCATCCAAAGGTGCAACATAAAGTTGTTTGCATTCATTTGAACTAAGTTTCATAACTGAGACATGTTGATTTAATTGATTAGTTTTTTGATCTATCAATTCATCTAATGATTCATGGTCACTTATAGAGCCATTTATTAATGAACTTTGCTTCATATTCATAAGTTTATCAAATCCATCAAAAACACATATATCAATCAAAATTTCTTTAATAAACATCTTCATTATTGAATGTGGATTTTGCAAAATATTCTTTAAAATGAATCGAATATTCTTTAAATTCCTCACTTCAAAAGGTTGATTAGATCTTTCACCTCTAAGCCCAGATTTGAACTTAAATCTAGGATGTCTATGCTTAGATCTAAATTTAGGATCCATACCTTTGAAATAATCTTGATCAATAATTGAAGTATCCAAAGATTCATAATCAAATTTCTGACCCTCTTGATGTCTTTTATAAATTGAATATGAATCACAATAATTATTTCTGCTAACATCAGGTCCATTCTTTAAGAAAGCTTCATCAGTGAGTTTCATCTTGGTTAATGGACTTAGAACAACGGTGAATTTTAATGTGTCATAGATTTTTGGTGCAAAAGTATAAAAAAATGATTTATTGATGCTCATCATGATTAAGTTATCAATATTACCAATGTGTGCAATGATCTCCCAAACTTCCATGGGAAGTATAATGTCACTGGAACTCCCATTATGAGTTGATGCAAATCCATCAATATTATTGATCTTTGAATCTTCAAAATCCCCAGTTTCATCTTTCTTTATTAAAGGAATTTCAATCATTGGCTTGGTACTATCAATCCATCCATATAAATATTTCAATTTGATTGCAGAATAATACCTTATTGGGAATGTTAATCTATCCAATCTCCAAAAAGGTCTATAAACTATATTATAAAATGAATGACGAATATAAGGTCCAGCAAGACCTCTAGGGTATCCTAACCAAATTCCTAATGCTTCAAGACTACTTCTTTCAATATATAAAGCATGGAAAGTATCAATTATTTTGTTCCAAAATGGTCTTAGTGATGTTATAATTGTATCAATCATTGTGTTTAGTGTCATGATTTATTAGTTATAAGTTATAAGAATTTAGTACTACATATTGAAGTGAGAGAAAAGCTAAGTCTTCATCCCTCATGAGATATTTATATATTCAGTTCAATAACAACTCGAATAAAGACAGAAAACATAAATTATAGCTCAAAAAAGAGCTCAAAGATCATAAGCTATATACAACAAAATTCAACTCAAAATACATTTCAATTCATAAACCCACTAAATTAAAAAACCTCACAAAAACGTTTCATATGTACATTCAAACAAGTTTAAGAATAATCTTATGGTTAAAAAAATCTTTAGTTTGAACTAAAATTAAGTTTCAAAGATCAGCTTGTGAAGTTATCTGATACCCACTTTATCACCTTATTGTCTTATTGAAAGAATTAGTATAAATCAGGACGAGCGTATACTTTATGGAGTTTCATAATATATTATTATACATGGTGTGAGGTCAAAAAGAATCGACAATGGAGTCTTAACTTGTCTTAAATAGCGTTAATCGATGACTTATGCTTGATCCTTGATAGTATGTAGTGAGAAGTTGGGTTAACAAAAATTCGCGACAATTTCTTAAGTACTGGAAATCATTTTATATTAAACAACAAACTTTTGATCTCAGCGCCAAACTAAGGAACGTGAAAGGTGAAGGAAATCTATATATTTTGGTGAAATTGTGAGAGGTAGTGCTTGGGAATGCTACGTATGATGCTCTTTTGCGCAACCGCTTTGGGTGGGAAGTTTTCTACGCGTTGTTATTGTTATTGTTATTGTTATCGTGGTTAATAGATGGTTTGGATGTAAACAAGAACTTCTTTTGTTTCTTGAAACGTGATATTAATGGTGATTGTGATGATGATGGATTCTATTCAATGGTGTTCTGACAATAGCCGCTGAGTCTATCAGCTACAGGGAACTTTGGGGTGCTTGATTTGATCCATTTTTGTGTCAGAAATTAATTATCAATTACACAAAACACAAAGTCGACAAATTTGAGATCCAGAAAAATATAAATGGTGTTTGAAATCCTATTTTGAGATCTTCTTACCATTTCTGAGAGGTCTTCTTTTGAATCAACAGATTATTATTTTGCTATTTTACAAACATACTCATATACAAAATGATTCTAGCTAACAAATTACTGCAAACTTTTTATTTTTTACTCTTCTCATTGTTGGTATTCACACAATTGACTGCTGCTGAGAATTATGTGGTTAAATTGAAGAAATTACCATCCATTGGAATTACAAATTTGGCTGATAGGTTATTAGGAGGTGATAGTGAATTTTCATCACTTGATTTTCTTGGTTCTCAAATGACAAAAACTTTTTCTATTGGTTCTTTTCAAGGGTTTAGTGGTAATTTTACATCTGATTCAATAAAAAAATTGAAAAATCATCCATTGATTGCTGAAATTGTTCCTGATATGATTTTTGATGCTTTAGATGGTGAATCTAGTCATGAATATTTAAGAGAACCACCATTAACAATATCTGAATCAAATATTGATACTCATCCCAAGATTGTGAAAAAGAATTCCAAAGAGGAATTAGATAAAATTCATCAATTTCTTTCTAGAACTGGTTATGATGCTACAAGAAGTCCATTGGTGGTATTACCTAGTCAAGATACTTGCTCCTCATCACTGATCAATGACCTCAACCAGGAGTTAACCGATGAAATTTTTGATACGATTATCTCAAAAGCTGTTAAAGACATCAATTTCTGCTGGAATTATTTTTACTATTTCGGTCTTTTTTTGAAATACTCAACAAATAATCATACAGAATCCCCTTCTAATGGTTTGCAAATTATGGGTATTGATAATATGGTCACTGAAAGTTCCGAAGGCCATCTGGATTTTCCTCGTCATAATCCTATGAATTCTTTGAACCCAAATGGTGACGTTGATTCAAATGAACCACAATTAGAAGTTAATGGATTTATTGCACAACCTAATGCACCAAGACATTTAGCAAGAATTTCAAGAAAACTGAATTTACCAAAACATGATAAAGAACCCTTTAATTATTATTATGATCCTAAAAATACAGGTAAAGGTGTTCATGTATATGTTCTTGACACTGGTATTAAAAAAGATCATCCAGAATTTGAAGGACGTGTTGTTCATGGTGGTGACTTCACTGGTAGAGGATTTGATTCTGATCCTCATGGACATGGAACACATGTTGCCGGTATTATTGGATCCAAAACTTATGGTGTCGCTAAAGGGGTTACACTTGTTGAAGTGAAAGCATTAGATTTTTTTGGTAATGGTTCACTAACTTCTGTTATTTCTGGTATTGAATTTGCAGTTCAACATATGAAAGATCATAATATTGTTGGTGTTGCAAATTTATCTTTAGGTTCTGGTAAGAACAAAGTTTTAGATGATGCAGTTGAAGCTGCAGTTGAATCTGGATTAGTTGTTGTTGTTGCTGCTGGAAATAATAATAATCCAGCTTGTAATAATAGTCCTGCAAATTCACCTTATGCAATTAGTGTTGGTGCTATTGATGATCGTACAGATCATTTGGCTCAATTTAGTTCTTATGGACCATGTGTTGATATTTTCGCAAGTGGTGTTGAAGTTGCAAGTTTAGGTTTAAAAGATGACCAATATGAATCTAAAAGTTCAGGAACATCAATGGCTGCTCCAGCTGTTACTGGTATGGTTGCAATATTATTAAGTCAAGGTGTTGCTCCTCATGATATTCCAAAGAAACTTTTAGAAATGTCAACTGAAAATAAGATTCCAAAAAAGACACTCTTCTTCAAAAGTAACACACCAAATAAGATTTTGAACAATGGGTTTTTAGGTAATGATGATCAATTCATTTTAGAAACTGATCCTAGTACTCATAACAGAAGAGCATATTTGGAAACTTTTTGATATAAATTTAAATTTCATTCTATTATCCATGATTATTTCACTTTATTTTACTTACCCATTTCTAACCACAGATTTTTTTTAAAAGAATTCCCATAATTGTTGTCATACTATAAATGCATTGTTTCTTTGTTTCAACTTCTTTTTTTTTATAATTCTTCACAATTTCTCTTTAATTTCATATTCAAATATCTTGTCATGCATTGTCAATTTTTTTTTAAATATCATGAATTAACAAATAAACACACACATTGATGCTGTGAAACAAAATCATTTGTAGCTACGTCGGTTCTAATAATATGTAATTCGTCTAGTAAGTATATTGTATGTACGTTTAACGAGGGTTTTAGTATATTAACCGACTTATATGTTTTCCTCCCCATATAATACCAATATGGAAAAAAGTTCTCGACTTATACTTTTTGAAATTCTCTCAAGTTGTTGAAGCAACCATCTAATTGAGCTTTATTTAAAGTTAAGAGTCCACAAAATCTATTCTTTTCTTTTATTCAACGCAATTTACTGAAATTTATATTCAAGAATCTGAACTAAATTACAATGTTAGAATCAATCATAATTCATCTTAGAGAAAATTATAAGCTCTAATTAAGGCACCAAGCTGCAGTCCATTTGAAAACAATATTAACTAATTTTTCCATATGAATACAATATTTGGAACTTTTTAAAAGGGTTTAAAAGGTTCCACCTGATTTACTCATACTTATTCTTTGATAAGATGAGAATCAGATTTAGATTTAAATGAATATATATCAAGCTTTTGGAGCTTAATTTGACTTCATTTTAAGAGTTTATTATCCATAAGTTTGTTTGTAAATTTCTTTGGATGTATGAAGTGTTTTTCTGAGGTTATTTGTAGCGGGTTCGTGAATTGAGATGTAATTAGTTTTGTGCTGCATATATAGTTCATGAGTTCTTTTTTGAGCTATAATTTATGTTTTCTGTCTTTAGGAGTTGCTAATAAGCTGGATATATAAATATCTCATGAAATGATGGATATTTGACTTTCTTTTCACCCCATTGTGTAGTACTAATAACCAATACATATAATGACACTAAACACAATGATAAATACTACTATAACAACGATATTAACACCATTTTTGAACAAAATCATTGATACTTTCCATACTTTATATTTTAAAAGAGATATTTTTGAAGCATTAGGAATTTGGTCAAGTTATCCTAGAGGTCTCTGTGGACTTTATATTAGCCATTCGTTTTATAATACAGTTTATAGACCTTTTTGGAGATTATATAAAATAACATTTCCAATAAGGTATTATTTAGCTAATAGATTGAAATCATTAGGTGAATGGATTGATTATTCCAAGTCAAATATTAAACTTTTTTCAATAAAGAAAGATGAAGATGTGGATTTAGAAGGTTTTGAAGGTCCAAAGATCAATTATATTGGTAGATTTGTATCAAATCATAACGGGAATGCTAATGACATTAAGTTTCCGATGGAAATTTGGGAAATCATTGCAAGCATTGGTGACATTAATAACTCAATCATGATGAGCATCAATAAATCATTCTTCTATACATTTGGACCAAAAATCTATGATACTTTGAGATTCACAATTGTTTTGACCCCATTAACCAAGATGAAACTTACTGATGAAGCTTATTTAAAGAATGGACCTGATTATATCACAGCCAAGTATTGTGATTCATATTCAATTTATAAAAGACATCAAGAGAGCCAGCAATTTGATTATGAATTTTTAGATACTTCAATTGATATTGATCAAGATTATTTCAAACTTCTTGATCATAATGATACAAAAAGAAATAGACATCCTATATTGCTCTGGTATAAATCTAAGGGATTTACATTTGAAAGATTAAATCAACCTTTCGAAGTTAGAAGTTTAAAGAAAATTCAATTTATTTTAAAGAATGTTTTACAAAATCCAAATTCAATAATGAAGAAGTTCATTAAAGAAATCTTACTAGATGTCTGTGTGTTTGATGGTTTTGATAAGCTTATTACTATGAAACAGAGCTCATCAGTAAATCCGCCTATAAGCGGACATGAATCATTAGAAGAGTTAATTGATCAAAAGGTAAAAAATAAGGAAAATGTTTCAGTTATGAAATTGGTTAATACAGATCAAGTTATGCCTATTCGTGTTGTTCCTTTAGATGATAATTTCGATAGAGTTAGATGGAAAGATTCACTTGAAGGGAAAATTGTAAGATTTTTCAAAATTTGTAATAACATCAAGAACAAGCTTCCTCGTGCATCTATTATATCTGATCTTCGTCACATTTTCCCACAGAATGTCTATTTCAAAGAGATGTTATGTGTTTATTTACTTTCTGATCAACTTTATTCACATAGATTAAGAAGAAGAATAAGTAAATTCCAGCAACGTCAAATTAAATATTTTCAAAAGGCTAATCCAATAGAATACTGGCATCAAACTATCAAGAATAATGTCTTTGAAAAAACAACAGGTGTACTTGATAAAGATGGTCATTATAGAATGACTGTTACTGGTCAATCATGTGTTAAGATTCAAAATCGTGAATTTAAAACCAAACAACAAGTTTATGAAATTTTCAATGATTTGATTGAAACTTTGACCAATATCAAATCAAATGACAATAGTATTGATCCAATTGAAACATCAATTTTGATGTTAGGTACAAATGATGGGAAACCACAAGTTTCAAAAGAGTTTACCGAAAATGCATCATATTTTTACGAACACCTTCCAGATTTTTCTACTCTTCGATTGGAACCTCAATTGATTCTTATAAATAAATCAGCGACAATAAATGATCCAAAAGTTTGATGTGCATGATCTTTTGTAGCCAATGAAATATTCAAAAACTTGGTTTAATTTATAGTTGAAAATTACTTTTTCAAATGACAAAATCTGTATGCAAGCTTTTGTACACTCTAGATAATCTGTATGCGAATTAGTTTATTGATGAAATAACAACATAGTAGATGGGTATGTATACACACATTTTTATAATAGCCATTAAATTAATAAAGATTATTTAGTATTACCATCATACCCCCAAACCTAATAGTTGATAAGTTATTCCTTGAAAACCCTCATATAACACCGTTTCCATTGTTAGTAACACTCTGAAATGCATTCAAAATTACAAAACAATCGTAACTATGAGAAAACTCGCCAGCGATTCGCGAGCATTCTTGACTTCCCAAAATGGTAATTATAAAGTTTATTGATCAGTACTGTATGTTTATGCGCCTCTTACCGAAAACAGAAGCCATATTTTTTTTTTACCAATAGAAATTTATGTATAAATAAAAGTAATCAAATATAAGTAATCAAACAAAATTTACTATTAATTTCAATATTCAAATACAATAAAGTCATTCAAAGATGAGTGAGGAACAACCTAAATGTCCAGTTGATCATAGTGCTCGAGAAGTATGGTTAAAACAAGGTGGTGCTAATCCACATGAAGATATAAAATCAAAACCAAGACCACAAGTATCTAATGAAAGTGATAAATGTCCAATAGATCATGAAGCAAGAGCTAAATGGGTTGAAATAGGTAAACAACAAGAAAAACCAAAACCAACTCCAATACAGAAACAAAATTTTATTCAACATGATGTTGAAATCACATCAAATACAAATCATTCATCAGAAAATTTATCAAATGATCCACCAATTTATTTAACAAATACTCCATTACCAGAAGATCGTGAAATAAGTTCCATACCAAGAACAGGAGCAGATGCAAATTGGATATATCCATCACAAAAACAATTTTTTGAAGCTATGAAACGTAAAAATTGGGATCCAAATGCTTCAGATATGGGAACTGTTGTACCAATTCATAATGCAGTTAATGAAAGAGCATGGTATCATATTTTAAAATGGGAAGAAGGTCAAGGTAGTGACGAATGTGGAGGTGTTAAATTAACAAGTTTTAAAGGAGATAGTAAAGCATTAACTCCTAAAGCCAGATTAAAATTATTATTAGGTTATTCAAAACCTTTTGATAGACATGATTGGACTATAAATAGATGTGGTAAAGAAATTGATTATGTTATTGATTTTTATACTGGTAAAACAAATGCATTAAATCCTGGGATGGCTAGTTTTTATTTAGATGTTAGACCAAAATTGAATAGTTTTGAAGGTGTTAAACTTAGAGTTTTGAAATTTTTCGGATTGTAAAGAGAGTGTGTGGTACAGCTTGTATATAATTTAATGATTACATGGTTTTAAAATAATTGATTTTTATTGTAAATTTATTTTATATGTACAGAAATAAAAAGAGGTCATCAAAAGAGTAAACATAAGAATATCATAATGGTAAGTGTTGTGTATTTATCTACCACCAAAAGCACCACTTGAACCTAATTTTTGCATATTTTCACCAACTTTAACATTAACTTCAAAATATTTAGAAACACATCTATCAATACATAAACTTTCATTTTTATTAACATCACCTTCATTATATGATTTGGAAATACATTTTTGATGACAATTATCAACTAATCTATTAAACATATCTGTTACTAAATCTAATTCAGCTTCTGCAGCTGCGATTTTAGCTTCTGAAGGTTGAGCTGGAGCACCACCGAATCCTAAGAATGACATTTTGTAATTGGAATTGATATAGTCTTTCAATAGATTGTAATTTGATCACTTTTAATTGCCATCAATTTTGTTCAGTTTTTTTCAAGAACCGAAGAAAAAAAAATCAATTTGTTAAGAGAAGCAGCGGATTATGTAATGATTGTATTGTGGATTATGTAATATAATAGATATATAGAAGTATATATAGATCAAGAACAATTGATTTGGATTTAGATTTAGTTTTACTATTTGATGAATTGTATAGTGTAATGATTATTATTCTTTAAGATTGTCAATTGATTAATTAAATATCACAAACATTGATGAAAAAGGTATGATTGTATAATCACTTACATAACCATAGATTTCAACTGATATAGTACAATTTCAGGAACATTTGATGAAGTAGTGGTGAAAGTACAATCATAGGTCAACTATAGGGTAAATGACTCCAATAATCACAATAAACCAGTCTAATTAACCATTAGACTATTGCTTCATTAAATAAATAACATAATCAATTAAATAGATCTGATCCACTGGTTCAAATCGGTAAACACAACAAATTTTTGTTTATTTTTAAATTTTTTGTTTTTCCAGCAACGAAATTGAATTTTTGAAATCTCAAAATTTGAAACAATTTAAAACTTCAAAAACTTGTTCAAATTCAAACAATTGAAATTCAAAACAATTCAAATCAATTGAGATTTTCATTGAAACAAAGATGGCTACCACAGGAAAGAGACATACAAAGACTCAATCTTCATTCGTGAGTATTTCCTATTTCAATTGGAGTTTTTTGGGTTTGATTTGGATGTGTTTTGATGGATTCAAAGTTTAAGCGCTGTGAGATTTGGTTTACTATGTATAAGACACTATGGACAATTCAAAGGGAATTAAGATCCAAGGGGTATTTTGGGGTGAAGAATACGATGGTGATGATTATTCAGTTCAATTGTTCATAGTTTTATTGACTTTCATTGGTTTTTGTTGATGTTTAATTGGCTTCTTGTTTGTTCTCCTTAATTTCGGTGTGGTCCAATGCGGTTTGTTTTGTTTTGTTGTTGGGAATTGTGCGCACGCGTTTGAGAATTGGAAATTTATAATTCTAGAATTACAAAAGAGAATGGAACATTGAATATTGAACATTGAATGTTGGTGGATAGATCAGGGATGAGATTGTCTATTCATAAGATTGACATTGTTGACATTGTTGACATTGTTGACACTGGTATTGACACCGATCTTCTCACTGGTCTTGGCTTGAATCTCCATTAATTAACCCATTTGGTAATAATAAGATCTATTTACTAACAAATATTCACAGGCTTTTGAAAGCACAACTACATCTGTTGCGGCAAGTCAAATGCGTAATGCTTTAAATAAATTGGCTGATACTGTTACTGATAAAGAACAACAATCAAAATTCGAAAATGAAATGGATTCATTTTTTGCTTTATTTAGAAGATATTTAACTGATAAAGCTGCTGGTTCAACTTTAGATTGGGAAAAAATTAGATCTCCAAATGATGATGAAGTTGTTGCTTATAAAAATATTGAATCAAATTCAACTGCTGATAATTTAGATAAATTAGCTGTTTTAAAATTAAATGGTGGTTTAGGTACTTCTATGGGTTGTGTTGGTCCAAAATCTGTTATTGAAGTTAGAGATGGTAATACCTTTTTGGATTTATCTGTTCGTCAAATTGAACATTTAAATAGAAAATATGATTCTGATGTTCCTTTATTATTAATGAATTCTTTTAATACTGATCAAGATACTCATCAAATCATTAGAAAATATGGTGGTCATAGAATAAGAATTAGAACTTTTAATCAATCTCGTTATCCAAGAGTTTTAAAAGATTCTCTTTTACCTGTCCCAACTGATTATGAAGATGATATTAATTCTTGGTATCCACCAGGTCATGGTGATTTATTTGAATCTTTACATGCTTCAGGTGAATTAGATGCTTTAATTGAACAAGGTAAAGAAATTTTATTTGTTTCAAATGGTGATAATTTAGGTGCTACTGTTGATACCAAAATCTTAAATCATATGTTGGAAACTAATTCAGAATACATTATGGAATTGACAGATAAGACCAGAGCTGATGTTAAAGGTGGTACTCTTATCAATTATAATGGTCAAGTTCGTTTATTAGAAATTGCTCAAGTTCCAAAAGAACATGTTGAAGAATTTAAATCAATTAAAAAATTCAAAAATTTTAATACAAATAATTTATGGATTAATTTAAAAGCTATTAAAAGATTAATTGAATCAAATTCAATTCAAGTTGAAATCATTCCAAATGGTAAAACTATTACTAATAAATCTGGTCAAGAAATTAATGTCTTACAATTAGAAACTGCTGTTGGTGCTGCTATTAGACATTTCAACAATGCACATGGTGTTGTTGTTCCAAGATCAAGATTCTTACCAGTTAAAACATGTTCAGATTTATTATTAGTTAAATCAGATTTATTCTATTTAGAACATGGTGCATTAGTCTTGGATCCTTCAAGATTTGGTGCAAATCCTTTAATCAAATTAGGTTCACATTTCAAAAAAGTTTCAGGTTTTAATTCAAGAATTTCTCATATTCCAAAAATCTTGGAATTGGATCATTTAACTATAACTGGTAATGTTACATTAGGTAAAGGTGTTGTATTAAAAGGTACTGTGATCATTGTTTGTTCAGAAGGTCAAAGAATTGATATTCCAAATGGTTCTGTTTTAGAAAATGTTGTTATTACAGGTAATTTAACCATTTTAGAACATTAAGGAACTTGTTTCAACATTATTAAATACTTTTAATTATTATTATTTCACTTCCAAAATAACTATATTCCAACAAAAAAAAATCTGATTTTTTAGAAAAATATGTTTCCTTTGCTAATTATATTAATTCTTGCTTTTTTCAACACATCAAAAATATTCAAAAAAAATTTAACCATCATTTTTGCACAAAGTTTTAATCACATTCTTAATTAATTTAATTCAATTTTCAAAAAAAAAAGGGGGTTTTGATTTTTATAATTTCATAAGGAAGAATATATGATAAACCATTGATTTGGATATTTTGATTAAATTATTTCTAAATGAAAGAAATTCGTAGTTGGTTGGTTATTCTTGATTAATGCTGGCATTTGGTTTGGATTTATGATCGATTTGGTTTGGTGAGTTGATTGGTTGATTGGTTGATTGGTTGATTGGTTAATGACTACATCAATTAAAAGAATTATTGCAAAATTAAGATTTATTAAAGCTAATTAAATATTGAATTGAATTAATGGTATGATTTTTTGGTGATTTTTTTAAATTGGAAATTGCAATGATAGATCGAATCGATCTTTAAATTATAGCTGTTGATATTTATCAAAGTTTTGAATCATAATTAGCTAAAGAATCTCTTAAGTGATCAGAAGTTTCTTAAAAATATATTGTTAACATAAATTTCATCCAATATTCAAATAAATATCAAGGTCAAAAGGTGATGCTGATATAGCTATGTTATCAATATGGTATCTAGGTTGTGTTATACCAGCATTAACTTGGTCATCTCTCATTATACCTAATACAGCATTGGCAAATCTCAACTTGTAAAGTGGATCTCTTAATAAATTCTGAACAACATTACGAGAAAAACGACCACCACTTTGATTTCTCCATTTGATTAAACTCAACTCATATTTTCCTAATCTTATCCATTCTTGAAAATTTGGATTTTGAAAATCATCATTGTTCCCGTGGATTAAATGGTTATGTATATGATTTGATATTCTTTGCTCAACATTGAATAACCGTTCTTGAGTATTTACAAAATAATGAGCTAAACAACCTGTATAATCTTCCATGAATTCTTGGAAGCTAACAAACTCTTGAAAATTTGAAATGTTTATAAAATTAGAAATACTTTTTCTTATTTTTCTTGATACTATTGCAGCATGATTTTGATGTAACCTAAATTTTCCTCTCCTACGTATATCAGCTAATTCATCTCTTGCATATGTGTAATAAATTTCACTTGACAAAAAGTGGCTCAAGAATAAAGTACTTCTATTGAACCTGAATTCTTGAAGAGTCTTAATTGGAAATGATTGGGGTGGTATGATAAGTTCAACTCTCGGTTTAGCAAATGGATTTTCTGGAACCAACTCTAAATACAACACCAATTGCATCACAGCAGCTAATTCAAATAGGATAAAAATAAGAAGAAAATTGTCCATCCTTTCAGATTTGACATCATAAACTAACAAGTTAAGTAATGTTAAAAAAACCATTATTAATACAAGACCAAATTTCCTAATATTGAGTAACATCTTCAATAAGTTACAAGCACCAAAGTATCAAAATGACAATTTCTCTGTTTGTGAATGGATTGAAACTTGAGAAAAGTACAAAATTTATTTAATCCATATTTCATTAGTATATAATTTCCATTCATCACTATGGAAACCGTTTACCACAAAGATCTTACTACAATCTGTTGTAAAATATGTTCATATATGAGAATACAGTATACAAGGTGATTGAAATTTAAAATGATCTGTGAAGATCGATTAATCTAATACTAATCAGTTGAATTTGCATGGTTTGTTAATAAGTATCATTGACGTTTTAAAATCATTTAAATATCCAGTTTCAAAATCTTTAACTGATATATACTCAGTTTCAATGAACCCATTTATTAAAAAAGATGTTGAAATAGAATCACCACAGGTATTATTTTGATCAATCATCGATTCCATAATGAATTTTAATGTATTCAAAAGATTTTTTTCAGAAATGAAATCTCTATTCTTGATTTTTATATCATGACATTTATCAGTGGAAATTTCATTCATTCTTTTATAATTAAGATCTATCCCATCATAGTATATGTCAATTACTTGTTCATATCCTAGTTCATGCATCGAATTTGCATAAGTTGACATTGGATTCTCATTTTCAAAATCATTCAAGTTTGAAATATCAGATAAAGATAAACGTTTTTTGGAATAAATATAATCAAATTGTTCAGCAATAGGTAGAAATTCACCAAAATATACATTATTAGGGAAAATTTCATTAGCTGGTTCATAAAATTCTTTTTGGAACTTGGCAAAACTCCATAACACACTATTATATGGAGTATTCCATCTACATCCAAGAAAATCTTCATGATCTTTTTCTACAAACATCATTGGTGATTCATATGATAATTTTGTTACATTGGAACTCCTTGAGACTAGTTCTTCAATTGTGTTTTGTATGAATTTATTCTCTAAAAGCTCTTCTGTCCCATCCAAGATTGTTAAATCAAATGAAATATTTCTAATACTTTTTCTTAATAAAGACTTTGGATTGTTTAAAATGGTTTTGAATAAGAATTCAATCTGTGACAATGATGTAACAACAATAACATCAGAATTACCTTCTGAATTAGTGTAATCTTTTGTGGAATAGACATCTAAGGTTTCATATCTATACTTTGAACCTATAAAATTTCTTTTATATATACTAAAATCTTCATATGGAACGTGTGGGAAATCTGGACCAAATGATAGGAAATTAAAATCATTTTTCCTCATCTTATTAGTACTACTTATAACCATTAATGCTTGAATGTTTCCAAATATTTTGTAAAATCTTGGTCCTATTTCCCTATAGAATGCTGAGTTCAATCTTGTTAATATTTTCCCATCAGCCCCGCCGATAACCATTACATCTTCCCATATGAATGCAGGCAATGGCCCCATTTTGTTAAATGTAAGGTTTGCAGGGTGTGTTAAGCTATTATCTTTGGGCAAAAGGGATCTTGTGTATTCAATAAGCTCTGTTGAATTCATTGACAAATAGTTATAAATGCTATCCATATAGGTTGTAATATAATATTGTATTGGGAATATTAATAAAAGTTTGAAATATGTATAGGCTTTCAAAGTTGGTCTAACGTATGATAGCAAAAAGTTTTCAAATATGACACGCTCTCTCGTACACTTAGAATGAAAGCGTAACACTTCAGTACCGGTATTATATTTCATTCGACGATATATCCTATAAATGTGAAATAAAATCATAATCAAAGTTTGTAAAGCCAATATTCCAAGATAAATCATTGGTATGTATGAATAAAAACTCAATATCACGAGGAAAAAGACCCTCTTCCATGTGTTTAAAAGCTGCTTGCGTAACATTTCAAGCATCATCATGATGGATCAGTATAGCAATTAATAGAATATTGAAATGAATTTTTGTATTATTATAAGTGAAAGATATTCTAAATTAAATTATGACTATGAAGAAGAGAAACGTTTTAGTTTGAAGGATTTTTATATAAAGTTTTTATATAATAAATATTTTCCAAAACAGATGGCTGAATTTTCTGTTTAAATATTAAACCTCTCTTTTTTTTTTAGTTTATAAAAATGTCTATTGATAAATCGGTATATCTCGTATAACTCGCTCTGTCATGAAAATCGGGTAATTGATCTACTAGTATATTATGATCGCACTATTTTATATAAATCTTAGCATCTAAATACCTCATCTTCTATTCAATAAAGTCATTTTTGGTTTGAATGTCGATAAATTTTCAAGGGTGCTTTTACTGCTTAATTTCACTCCGTACAGGCTGACGTTGAAGTTACTAGAGTAATTGGATGTCAAGGAATTAGTAAGAATTAATAAAGTTAATATAATTGCATAATTGCTATACTAAGTCTAAGGAGAACAAGGGAGCCAAGTTATGTACACATAATCTATACATATCAATATATTTCAGCTAACTATATTCACACCTGGCAGCTTTTTCGTCATACAAAAATAATAAAAATTTCATCTTATCATTCATCTTATCCGACGTTGAGCTTATATATAAACTAAAAGAGCTTGATGTTGTACTATAATCTTCTAAAGCTTCTTAGTAAACTCTTTACAAAAAGCTTTGTTTAATCTTGTTAAGGTATAAATATCTGCCTTATCATAATCTGTAATCCTATCCCAGATTTCAAAAGGAAACATATCACCAAAAGTTGAAGGTAGCTGATCTTGTGAAATTGTTGTTTCTATAGTTGATGACTTTGTGCTCTTCAATTTATGAAGAGAATTGTTTATCTTTCTGAGCCTTATACCAATCCATCCAATTTTATTCGAAACCCAAAATCTGACGTGATATAAGAATACTTTGACTCTCCAAAATGAAATCAATATTGGTCTAACTTTAAAAGTCATGCCATCTTCAGGATTAAAACTATCATTGTACATCCAAGTATGAAGCTTTGGGAAATTTATTTTAAGAGTCCCATAAACTAAAGACAGCAAAACCACAAATATGAGATAAGGAATCCAAACCATCTTGATGTCGATTCTGATCAATTAACTTATGTATAATAATTTTTGTTATCCCACTTAGCTGCACTTTGTGTGAATTATGGTTTACCACTTATCTTTGACAGATATATCAAAACAAGGAATAATACACATAATAGACAAATGGAAGAAATATCTTTGAATTTAAATACTTCTCCATAAGAGCAAAATGTTTTTTTCGGGTTGATGTTAATTTATAACTCATCTCTCTGCTCGTTATTGTATCCCTCACCCGAGTTGGGCCTATAAGAATGAGAGTTTATATAGAGAATAATTAACTTCAGAATTGTTCGTCTAAACTCAATTACATCTTTGACCTACCTAATGGCTTCCAAAGAGTGATTATTTCAAGTTTTATTGTGAATTTATTTTTACTGATGGATATAAAAATGTCTATTATATAGTGTCTCCTACCGATAGTCGTTAAAACGATTATATAATCAGTATAAACATCTTGATCAAATTTAATCTTCAAATTCAACCTTAACCAACTTAACAATGCTTCCTAAACATCCACCATAACATTTCATATGATATCAATGGGTTTACTACAGGAAAAGTTATTTCATAAAACGGTTCATCTCGCTAATTCCTGACTGTTCAGCCTCTCATGATTAAGAAATCTCCCAAATTGACCCTGAATTTTTGAGCTCTTTTCCATCGGTATATACAATTGATTGAAATTATTTCAAATTAATGCTCGAATAAAATGAGTGCTTTATTAAATTGAGCTGGTTTTCTGTTCTTAGTTATATTTAACTCTTACTGTTTTCTGTTCAATGATATATATTGTATTTAAGTTGGATATGGTTCCCTCTTTTTCCAAACTTAACATATTTTGAACTCTTCAGTTACATTGGATATAAATTAAAGTCATAGAGATTATCAATTTTATACAATTAAAACTTTCGACAAATAACAGAGAGCAAGTTAACGATATTAAACATGGTCCAAGGAAAACACATTAAGATTTCTTGTCAGGTCTGCATCAAAGGTCATAGAACCAAAGATTGTAATCACAAATCTATTATTGAACCAAATGATCCCGGTTACAATGGTTCAAGAGGTTGTTTAGAAGTCATTTCTAAGAAAGGACGAAGAAAATCAAGAATTCCTGATCAAATCGGTGGTGTTGGACTGGGAAAGGTAACATTAAATCCCAATAATGATAAGTTTATATTGATTGAAGCTAAATTGGTTCCAAAACTTAATGACTGGTGTCCAAATAGTAAGAACTTTAAATATGAATGTGAGTATCCTTGTTGTAAGAAAAAATCAAAAGAGCTATACATTAATGAGGAAACTTCTAGTTTTCTAAGAGTTCCACAATATTGTGACCTTACTTCAATTGAAGATGCTAAGAAGATTGGTACACCTGTTAGTTATAAAGATTTACCAAGTGATTTTTTGCATAATGATGTGAATTTCCATTCTATTGCTCAACTTTATCCTGATAAATCAGATTATTCAGATCAAGATATTAATCCATATGCTGGAATAGTTTCTAATCCAAATCCACAGTCATCTAACAACTCACCATTGCCACAAAACGTCCAATCCAAAAACAACGCCAAACTTGCTACATCACTCAATACCAATTCGATAATTCCATCTTATAGTGCAGAATTGAATTATCAAGTTCCTAGTGCTACTAATACTTCCCCATTGAATTTCAATTTAAATGGTGACACTAATCAACAATATCATAATAATCAAAACAACAATCATTATCAAAACAGCAATCACATTAACAATCACTATAATAATCGCAATTACTCCAATGTCAATAGTAGCATCAATCAGAATCAAAATCTCATAAATCACCAAAATCCATCCTTTTTTGGCGTGAATGGTTCAAGCAATCCTACCTACAATAATCATTTAGCACATAACAATCAAAACTTTCAAGAACTGGAATTCATTCATGAGCATCCATCTAATATTCATGACGTTGAAAGTAGTGATAATGAAAGTGGTGATGACGATGACAGTGATGAAAGTGGTGATGACAATGAAAGTAATGAAAGTGATGGAAGTGACGAAGAAAGTGAAGAAATTGAAAGTGGTGATGACGATGAAAGTGATGAAAGTGATGAAGATGTTGAGAGTGAAGATGAAATTGAAAATGATGATGACAATGAAAGTAATGAAAGTAATGAAAGTGATGAAAGTGATGAAAGTGATGAAGAAATTGAAGAAAGTGAAAAGGGGGAAGAGAATGAAGATGATAGTGATACAATTGCAGTAAGTGACGATAGTGATACAATTATGATTGATGGTGATGAAGACCAAGATGATGAAGATAAAGGTAATGATATCTATACTAATAATAGTCAAAGTGATGAAGATGATGAGGATGAAGATGATGATGAATTTGAAGATGAGGAGGATTTGCCAAAATTTTATATAAGCCCTGAACAACAGAGGAAATTAAATCTTGCTAGAAGATTTAGACAACTTTTAGAAAACAAATCATTACTTCAAAATCCTTATTCAAATGATATTGATCTTGAGTTTACGTCCATTTATGATGTCAATAAAGAGATTCGTTTGGTAGAGGAGAGAATCGAAGCTACAAAGAGAAATGGAAAGAATTACGACCAATATTCAAATCATGTCATTTCAACTACCACAAGCGTAACTAAATGCAACAACGCTCAGAACAGTAATGGCTTTAGATGTGGTTCCATGCTTTAAAGTCAAAGCGGAAACTCAAACCGTGCTAACCACGATTTAAATAAAGTATATTCATCGAATTACACAAATTCTTACCATTATAATGTTAATAATAGAAACAGCTTTCAACAAGATGCCACAGAAACAAATGATCCTTCATATGATATTGGATCAAACTATAGTTCTGATGATGATGATGATGATCTTTGAGTAGGATTACCTATATATACAAATGACTATACTTACATATAGATTTACAAACACCTAAATAAATTGAGCTTTAATATTTGACCTTAACGTAGATGTGTATACCCGCGAACTTTCAAAAGTAAACTTTGAAGGAACCATAAACAACAAATTAGTTTATAATCAAATAAAGAGGCATCCCATCTGGTAGATGGATTGACAGGATAGCTAAACAAGATGTTGATATAAAAGATACATTGTCGCTGATGAGGTGCTTTTCGCTGGAGGTATTACTTTGTTTGTTCTTGCCTCAATTTCATCGGTTTCAACATCAAGGAGTTCTGGTATATTACTGATATCAAGTACTAGTATGCTATATCAATCAAGTAGAGGATAAAGTTTATTTCTAAACTGGTTACATTGGGCTTTCAAAGGATGATAAGTTATGTGTTATTTCTGATATAAATGTGGAATTTTAGATTGACATCATATTCATATTTCAAGGTATTTTTGGCTTGCTTTTGTGTCACAAATTACAGTCATGATATTGGGTTAATCAGTTCCGGTAGCTGCATGGATATCAGATACCATACTTGCACAAATTTAGCTATTTTTATTTTTAGTTACATTGCTTTTTTACAGGGAAAAAAATTTTGTGTTTCGAGTTCATTAGTTTTAAAAGTATCTAAACATCATTTTGACATCATTGGTCCATTTCTTCATGTTATTCTCATCACTGGGTACTCAGAATGTCTCCATTATGAAGTCTATTTATATTCAAGATTCATGACTTCAGACTTCAGAGATCACCAGAGTTTTACCAATAAATATACCTTCATTCATCATCAGATTTTTATAATAATTTAATGAGCTACAAATTTGAAACTAATAAGCGTATACGGTTGTATCTCTTCTTGAAGTAACTTGAGCACTTCTTTTGTTGATAAGTACCATGGAAGTCTTGAAATCTCTTATAGTCTGAGTAAAACCTCCAAAATGGTTTTCTAGATTCCTTTCTGGAATAAACCCATTCATCAATAAGGATGTTGAAATATTCTCACATTCATATTTTTCAGATGCCATCATTCCCATAATATAGTCTAATGTGGACAAGACGTCTTTTTCAGTTTTGAAAGCTCTCCTTTTGATCTTTATGTCATGACATTTGTTTGCAGAAAACTGATTAACGATTGAAGGAAACGTATTTCGATCAACTCGTTGTAAAGTTCTTGAATAATTTGACATTGGGTTTTCATTTCTAAAAGAGTCCAAATTAACAAATTCTGATAGCTCTGATCTTTTATTTGAATGATAATAATCAAATTGTTCAGCAATTGGTAAAAACTCACCAAAGTAGACATTTGTAGGAAAAATCTCATTAGATGGCTCACAAGGTTCTTTGGAAAACCTTGCAGTGCTCCATAGTACACTATTACCATTATTCCATCTACACCAATTAAATTCCTCATGATCTTTTCCTATTGACATAAGTGGAGTGTTCATTTCCAACTTTGTTACACTAGGATTTTCTGAATTGATATTTTCAGTTGTATACTTTATCAAACTGTTTTCAAATACTTCTTCTGTTCCATCTAATATTGAAACATCAACAGAAATGTTTTCGATACATCTCCTTAGAAGAGAATCTGGATTTTTCAAAATTTCCTTGAATAAAAACTCAACTTGAGAATAAGATGTAACAATCACGGAATCACACTCTGAATCTTTGTATGTTTTGGTTGAATAGACGTCTAAGACTTCATATTGATATTTTGAGCTGATGAAGTTTCTTTGATAAATACTAAAGTCTTCATATGGAACTTGAGGAAAATCAGGGCCAAATGTAAGATAATTAAAATCATTTCTCCTCATCTTTTTTGTAGTGCTGATAACCATTAGCGCTTGAATGTTTTGATACTTCTTATAATATGTTGGTCCTAGCTCTTTATAAAATGCTGAATTTAACCTTGTTAATTCTTTCCCATCTGCACCACCGATGACCATTACATTCATCCATATAATTGCAGGTAATGGACCCATATTATGGAAAGTTAAATCTGGATTTCTTGAGCAGAGAAAATTCAAAATCGTCGAGTGTGTAGACCTGAGCTTTGTAAATACTTGTGAAAGAAAGAGGCAAATGTGATCATGGATAACGGTGATATAATACTGTATTGGGTATACTAGCAGAAGCTTAAAGTAAGCATGAAGTCTTAGAGCAGGTCTGACATAAGCTAATAAGAGATCCGAATACAAAACTTGCTCACTTTTGATCATCATTAATCTTATTCTATCTCCCTTCTTTCCACGATATACTCTATAGTAATGGAACAAGACCATAATTATGATTTGGCCGAATAATATTCCAAGATAGATTATGGGTAAGTAGGAGTAAAAACTTAATATTATGAGAACAAGAACCTTCTTCCATACATTAATGAACTGCTGTTTTAATATTTCTCTCATGTTGATTTGTTGAAGTTTAATTATGTTTTGTGCAAGTTGTAATATAGTCCACTGGTATAATGAATGTACTAATTGATGATAAAGTAAAGAAAGAGAAATAAAGAGCTAAGTCTGGATTAGAAGTACTTTTATTCTTTTGAGATATTTATTCTTCTCTTTTTTAATTTAAAATCACTCAAGACGAATTTCTGTCTGTCTGTCATGAGAATCGGTTTTTTGAGGAAGCGCATATATAACTTGAGTCTTTTACGTCAATAATGAAAAAAATACAGTAAATACATTTTTGAACATCATATTTCTAATACGAACTTTATATTAAATTAAAAATTAAATTGAGAAACCAAACTTAAACACAAAAACTTAAACAAACTTTATAGACGGTTAATGAATTTTCTTTAATTAACCCATTTTCTAGCACTACGGAATAATCTAACCCATGGACCATAATTTTCCCATAATTCAGCTTCTTGGCTTGGATACCATGAATTAGCTTCTAATCTAACAACTCTTTCTGGATGAGGCATCATAGCTAAAACTCTACCATTTGGAGTTCTAATACCAGTAATACCATTTGGAGAACCATTTGGATTATATGGATATTTTTCAGTAGAATTACCATAATTATCAACATATCTAACTGAAACTAAACCTGTACTGTTTAGTTTTTCTAAATCTTCATCAGATTTAAATGATGCATGACCTTCACCATGAGCAACTGCAATTGGTAATCTTGAACCTTTCATACCGTTCAAGAAAACACTTGGTGTAACATCTGAGTTTTCCACAATTTCAACTTCACAAACTCTTGCTTCATATTGTTCACTTGTGTTTTTTTCGAATGTTGGCCAGTTTTCAGTACCTGGAATTAATTCTGCAATTCTTGAAAGGAATTGACAACCATTACAAGCACCAAATGCAAATGTATCATCACGTTCGTTAAAGAATTTATAAAATTCTTTACGAGCACGTTCATTGTATAAAACAGATTTAGCCCAACCTGAGGCAGCACCTAAAACATCACCATATGAGAACCCACCACAAGCAGCAAACCCAACAAAATCATCTAATGTAACACGACCACTAATAATATCAGTCATATGAACATCAACAGAAGTGAAACCAGCTTGTTCAAATGACCAAGCCATTTCTTGTTGACCATTAACACCTTGTTCTCTTAAAATAGCAACTTTTGGTTTTGATTCTAATGAAGAAATTTGTAAATCATCAGTTGGATTATAAGTTAATTTATATGAAAGACCTGGATCTAAATTATCTTGAATTGCTTGGAATTCTTGATCAGCAGATTTTGGATTATCTCTTAATCTTTGAATTTTATATGAAGTTTCAGCCCATGATTGTTGTAATGAAGCTCTTGAACTATTCAAGATTTGTTCACCGTTATAAACAACTTGAATTGATTGTTCTTTATTGAAAACTGGTTCACCAACAATTGAAATTAAATCAGCTGGAACACCAGATTCAACCAATGTTGAGACAAATTCTTCATATCTTGATTTAGAAACTTGGAAAACAGCACCTAATTCTTCATTAAATAATGAAGTTAATGAATCTTCATTTTGATTGTTCAAATTAATGTTCAAACCGGATCTACCAGCGAATGCCATTTCTAATAAAGTAACAATCAACCCACCATCAGATCTATCATGATAACTTAAAACTAAATCAGTTTGATGTAATTTAGTAATACTTGTTAAGAATGATTTTAAGATTGAAGCATCATGAACATTTGGACTTGAATCACCAACTTGATTATAAACTTGAGCTAAAGCTGAACCACCTAATGCCTTGGAGATTTTGGCAGCTAAATCAACTAAAACTAAAACAGTTGGTTCTTCAGTCTTAATTAATTGTGGAGTCCAAGTCTTAGATGTATTACCAACTGGACCGAAAGCAGTAATAACTAAAGCTAATGGAGCTGTAACTTCTTTATCATCCCATTTCATCTTCATTGACATGGAATCTTTACCAACTGGGATAGAAACACCTAATTCTGGACATAATTCTAAACCAATAGCTTGAACAGCTTCATATAATTTAGCACCTTCACCAGGATGACTTGCTGGAGACATCCAATTAGCAGATAATTTAACAGCATCTAAAGATTTAATATCAGCAGCAAATAAATTGATTAAAGATTCTGCAACTGATAATTTTGCTGAAGCACCTGCAGAAATTAATGCAATTGTTGGTTTTTCACCCATAGCTAAAGCTTCACCTGTTGTAACAACAGTTTCACCTAATGAAGTTGCAGTAACACCAACGTCTGCAACTGGGACTTGCCATGGGCCAACCATTTGATCACGATCAATTAAACCAGTAACTGTACGATCACCAATTGTAATAAGGAATGATTTTGAACCAACAGCCGGTAAATGTAAAACTCTTTCCAATGCGTCATTAAATTTAACATCTGGTAAAGAAACTGGATCTAATTTTAATGGAGCACTCTTGGTAGTTCTTGACATTTTTGGTGGTTTACCAAATAAAATTGACATTTCTAAATCAATTGGAGTTGATTCTAATAATTTATCAGTTAAGATTAAACGTTCTTCACTTGTAGCATGACCAACAACTGCATAAGGAGCTCTTTCTCTTTCACAAATTTCTTTGAAATTATCTAAATCTTGTTGAGCAACAGCCAAGACATAACGTTCTTGAGATTCATTACACCAAATTTCCATTGGTGACATACCAGGTTCTAAACTTAAGATATCTCTTAATTCAAATTTAGCACCAAGACCATTATCATGAACTAATTCAGGTAAGGCATTTGATAACCCACCAGCACCAACATCATGGATGGATTGAATTGGATTATTACCACCTAGGGCAACACAAACATCAATAACTTGTTGAGCACGACGTTGCATTTCTGGATTACCTCTTTGAACAGAAGCAAAATCTAAATCAGCAGAACCTTCACCAGATGCAATTGAAGAAGCAGCACCACCACCTAAACCAATCAACATTGATTGACCACCAAGGACAATTAATGCAGCACCTGGAGTGATACCATGGTTTTTCAAAGCAAATTGAGGTCTAATAGCACCCATACCACCAGCTAACATGATTGGTTTATGGAACCCTCTAATTTCTTCTTTATCTTCTGCATTTTTAACAGATGTTGTTAAAGTTCTAAAATAACCATTGATAGCAGGACGACCAAATTCGTTATTGAAAGCAGCAGAACCTAATGGAGCTTCAATCATAATATCTAATGGTGAAGCAATATGATAAGGTTTACCAATATTTTTCAATTCCCATGGTTGTTCAAAATCTGGAATTAATAAATCTGAAACTGAAAATCCAGCTAACCCACATTTTGATTTTGAACCTCTACCAACGGCACCTTCATCTCTAATTTCACCACCTGAACCAGTTGCAGCACCTGCGAATGGAGAAACCGCGGTTGGATGATTATGAGTTTCCACTTTAATTAAAGTATGAACTTTTTCCTTTTTAGAAGTCCAGACTTTAGTTTTTGGATTTGGAGTATATATATAAGCATCTGGACCTTCAAAAACAGCAGCATTATCACTATAAGCACTGATAGTATGTTGTGGGTTTCTTTCTTCGGTGTTTCTAATCATTTTAAATAAAGTTAAAGGTTTTGTTTCACCATCAATTTCCCAATCAGCATTGAAAATTTTATGACGACAATGTTCTGAATTAACTTGAGCAAACATGAATAATTCAACATCAGTTGGATTTCTACCAATTTGATTAACAAAAGCATTAACTAAATAATCAATTTCACCTTGATCCAAAGCTAAACCAAGGATTTTATTTGCAGTTTCTAATTTTTCTTTTGGTTTGGAAGTTAAATCAACTTCAACTAATGGTTTTGGTTTATGATGACTGAATAAATCTTCATTTGTTGGTGCAGTTTCAATGTATAAAGATTGAGTCATTCTATCATAAACTGAGACTAATGAAGAACCATCTAATAAATGATCTTTTAATGGGAATCCACGACGAACTTTAACCAAAAGAGCTAAACCTCTTTCAATTCTATCAATATCATTTTCTAAACCACAAACATTTGAGATATTTGTAGCTTTTGATGACCATGGAGAAATAGTACCAGGTCTTGGTAAAATTCTAATAATATAAGAATCTTCATCTTCAGATTGTAAAGTTTCTTCAGAAGTGGAAATTTTAATCAATTGTTGAGTTAATGGATCTTCTAAATCTAATTTTTGATCATATTGTAATAAAGTTTCTAATAATTCAATTTTTTTAGAATCTTTTTTAAATTCTGAATCTTCTTTTAAAGAGACATAATGAATAAAAGCAGAACGAATTGAAGTAACAACTGAAGAATTAACAGCAGTGTTGATATCATTGATCAAAGTAGAAACTCTGAAAGGCGACAATGCCTGAGGACCAGGAAGAATCAGAAGCGACATTGTTTCTCTATACTGTGATGATGATTTGTTCTAAATTTTGTGGTTAGCATACTAGATCTTGACGTGATAAGGAGGCCATCAACCAAACAAAAACAGCCATAAGCTCCCATCTTATACTCACTCTTTTGGACAATTGTGTAGTGCTCTCTCTAAGCAAAAGACTAGCCAATATACCAAACAATAACAACAACGTTCTGAATCAAAGAAACAGAAAAGTATTTAAACCGCCAAAAAGTGTCATTTACAATTTCTTAATTTCTTTAATTTACAACCAGATTTTTTCTTTGCAGAAGTCAAAAAAAAAAAATAAAAAAAAAAAACTGACTCGCGAAAAAAATCAAATTCGCGGAACTTTCGCGAATTGAAAATAAAATTTATAAACTTATTTTTATTTTTACTATGTGAAATCTATGAAATTTACAAGTTTTATTACTTTTAACTAAGTTTCTATAGTTATAATCATATCAAAATGCCTCAAAAAGCTTTGAAAGTCAAACCAAAGGAAAAAAAGAGAGAGAGAATCACTAAAAAGCAACAAAATCCTAAGAATTATGCTCCAAAAATAATTAAGGCTAAAAATCCAAAAGTTGCAGCTATGGATAAATTAAGTAAAGTTCATTCAGTTACTACTTCAACTGAAAAATTAATTGCTTCAAGAGTTGGTCATTTAGAACTATTAACTGGTAGTAGAAGAGAAATTGAAAGACAACAAAAATTAGAAAAGAAAAAAGCTGCTGAAAAGAAGAAATGATTGTGTCTCATTATTATAGATAGGAATCGGATTGATTTTTTAGTTATTTTCCATTATATTGTACATTAAGGGTTAAGGTCTGCATATTTATTTGGTTTTCATTATATTTTAATATATACAAGTTGTAATAAGATCTTTAAATCTGTAATTATTAGTTATCTAAATTTTTTTCAAATAATGGAATTGAATCATTTGTTGCCTTTTTATAACTTAATCTATTTTCTGGAATATAACGAACAGGTAAATAATAATCTAAAACCATATTTTGTACACCAGAAAATGCATTTGAACTTATCCAATATAATCCCATACATGCAGGAGCTTGGGTACAAACAGCCATCAAAAAAACAATCCCAATTCTTGAAACACTAATTAAAGCATCAAATGCCGTAGGTCTTAAACTTCTTTTTTTAGAACCACTTTGATTTTGTAATTCTAAAGTTTTGGAATTCCATTCAATATTCATTAATGCTAAAGATCCAAGTAATATTGGCATAACACCTGATGGATCTGCTATAGTTAAATCATTAATCCAACCAAAACCCTCGGTAGTTAATGTTGGATCCAATGGTTTTGATGTGATATCAGTCCATCCACTTAAATTTCTAAATGTAAAACTCATCAATATCCATAATGGGATTTGAAACATTGGTAATATAAAATTTTTATATGATTGACATCCATGTTCTTTAAATAATAATTTTTGTCTTTTAGAAACTTCTTTAACACTCAACATCATAATTTGATCTGAAGTTAATGAAGCAGCTCCAACATTTATACCTTTTGCAGCACTATCAGATTTTAATCCACCTGTTTTAGCTAATTGTTGTTGAGCCATTTGTGCATTTTGTGCTAATTTTAATCTTAATATTGGACCAGTGGCATTTAAAATTGGTTTTAATTGAGATTGTTTTTGAATTCTTTTCCTTTGTAATATGGCAAGTGGTAATGTCCATACTGTTCTAAAAGTTATTGTAGTTAATGGGATTAATAACCACCATGATAAATTTGTATATTGATGAAATTCTTGTAATGAAGTTGTCATTAAATCAACTAATTCCACTGGTGATATATAAGTTCTTTTGGAAACATGGATTGGTGGAGGTTTGAAAGAAATGACATTTTGTCGTATTATCTGGGGTCTTGTTATTATCCTTGAGAACATGGCTAGATCTTGGTTGAGTCCAATGTTTTATCTGATCTATGTTTTCATATATGAAAAAATTTATAGGTATTAATTTTTTTTATGGGCTAAGAAAAACTCGGAGATGAGATTTTTGAAAAATTGATATACTTAACTACAGATTTCAAAATTCTAATTTGATTTCTTAAAAATTCATTAAAAGGTTTACTTTTATGTGGCTTCATTATTTAAGTTGTATAAATAATTATATGCTTTGATTCTTGTTAAGCATGCTTGTTTCCTGTGCTTTTTTTAGCTCTAAAATACAATAAAATTGAGGTTTGAAGTAAACAAACTTCAATTTATATGAAAATGAATAAAATGCTGATATTTTCAATACTTTTCAAAAGTCTTATCAATCTGTAGCAGTACCATCTCTTGGTCTATAATAAGGTAAAGTTTCAACAATATCTTGAGGTAATCTACCCATAACTTTAACAGCATATAATCCAGGTAAATAAGTATTAACTCTTAACCATTTAGCAACCCAAGATTTATCAGGTTCACCTATAGCAACAAGACCTTCAAATGTAGGTGATGTAGTAGAAAGACCAACATCTAATAAATCAACACAATTTGGACAACCTTCATCTTGAAATCTCTATTGAAATTATTGTTAGTGGATGTAATATATCAATTATTATTATATTCAAACTCACTCTTGAAGACTCCACTATCCCACATAGCATACAGGCTCTATTGGATAAGGAACTCATTGTATATATTTATGCCTTTGGAAGTAGTTGGTGGTATTGTTCAAATTAATCAAATGCAATTCAAATTGATCAAATTGATCTTTCATTACAATCAAAATAAGAATACCAGTGGACTGTGCGAACCAGACACTCATACTTTTGAGTGTTACCCTCTTTTCTTCTTAACTAGTAATCCTGGCAAACACCACTTTTATTAAATTTCGAAGAATCCGATGTAGTGTAACGGCTAGCACGGTCCGCTTTCACCGGGCAAACCGGGGTTCGACTCCCCGCATCGGAACACTTTTTTTAAATGATCTTTATTCGGGCGATTTTCTAATTATTTATTATAATTGCATTCCTCTTTTTTAATTTTAATTCCAATTAATCAATTTCAAATTTTGATATGATGAAAAATTTGTCCTTCGTATTTATGATCGACCAATTTTAAGTGTCGTCTGATGAATACCAAACCAAATATTCAACCGACTTCCCTTTCTGATAAAAATTTGAAATTATTGATTGATTTTTTTTGGCAAAGGCAGCTTATCATTATCTTAAATAAATCATATAGCTGTATCTACGTATAATACAAACCTATTGGGATTATAGCTTCTTACTTTAATATGGTTTATTCTTAATGGTTCATGTTATGAATTTAGTATATAGATGAGAATTTCGCGAGTAGTTTAAAATTGACACAAAATAACACAAAACCATCAAATATCACGAGTGCCAAACCACCAGAACCTAATTTGAAATGGAAACGATTTAATGATTTTGATGATACTAGACATTGCTCCATAAAGATTGAATATAAACATTTGGTGTTTCTATAACTAGTTGAATAAATAGCTTTGTGGTTTGTCTTTATACACGCGAACATCTGAAAATAAAATTTCAAAACAATCACGTAGTTGATAATCAAAACAAGATCATATTGATGTACTTTTTGTTGAAGATCTACTTTCGATTATTCTGGTCTTGTGCTATTATGAAGGGTTCAATGCGGTATTTGATTATTGATAACTGAAAACTGATAGCTGCTAGTATGGTATATTATTCAAATAGGGATATGTTAACATGATATTGATTAATCCAGTGCTTTTATTTAAGGTTTGTTTTAAGCTTTGAACTTTGAATATCAATGGAAAGTGGACAATCATAGAATATAGGTTATAAGAAATTCAACCAAATTTAAATTGAACTATCAGATTCTGGATGATTATTTAGATTGTATTATGATCTCAAGTATTGACTTTAAGCTACAGGGTCAATCACATTTAGATTTGAGTACTTACAGCTCCTTTTTCATAAAATTATTTCTAACAAAATCAACAACATCAACAAGAAGAAGTCAATGCTCTGGATAAATGGTGACTATAAGAAAAAGCTGTGGTATATGACTATTTGACTACATATTTTGGGCAAGATAAATTTATGATTAGATTGAAGTTAATTTAAAATTATTAATGGGGTTCATAGGTGCAGGGTTTCAACTAATTCAACATTTGAATTCCAAAAAGTATCATTAGTATCATTGGTATTATGAGGGAATATGGCTCACTCTCTCGTGATATATTTACATATTATCATACTTTTCAAGATACCAAACTCAAGTTACAATACCTCTAAATGATTATCAAAAGGTTCAATCGCTTCAAATATACAGTCTAGGTCAAATTAGCTTTCATATGAGGATGAAATGCCTACAGGTTACAAGAGTGATTTAAAATCAAATAATCAATGTACATTAGTAAATGTACATAACAATATAACATTTCAGGAATCCCTAATTGGAAGTGATCCAATTACCTTACCTTATACCTGATTATTGGATTTAAATCACGACATTGGGAACTAAAGAAAGCTATAGAGGTTGTTAAAAAACTCAAAACAAAACTCGAAACAAACGGAAACATATAAAAAACTATAGAGGTTAATAAAAAAATCAAATTTGACGAAAACATAAAGAAAACTAAAGACGTTGTTAAAGAATCAAAACTGAAAATATAAAGGAAAGAAAGCAATAACTGTTAAAAAAATCAAAACTGACGAAACATATTGAATAGTTAATCTGTGTGTGTTTTTGGGGGTTTTAATATATAAAGTGAAATCAAAAAAGCTGTTAAAGTTAATTCAAAAAAGTTAGTGTTCCAAATATAAAGGGTTTAAAATATGTTTTTTTGGCTTACGATAGGTTTCTAATATACATACTGACATCAGCCAGTTTGAACACATTATGTATGTGCTCTAATAAGATTTGAAGTACTTCATTTTGAGCAATCAATTTTCTTAATTAATCATTGGTTCAATACCTTCCTCTCTTGCAAAAGAAAGTTGACCTCTTCTAGTACTCAAAAGATAATTCATAGAAAGATCTTGAAACAACTTATGTTTCATTCTCAAAGCTTTCTTACTCATACGAGTTGAACGAGCATCAATATCTTGAGCAAAGATATGATCAGTTTTAATTGTAATTTCAATACTAAATTCTTTATCAGGAACATCTTCAAACATTTTAACAACTTTACTTTCAACTTTAAAAGTACCGATAACATTCTTACGATCGAGTTTCAACTCATCTATAATTGATATCTCACCAACAATAGAACCCATTGGAATTCTTTCTTGAGAATTAGCAGTACCATTGGTTTTACCATTCTTTGAAGAAAGACCATGACGACAAGCAGAGGTACCTGCATAGATAACACTTGGGATTTTATAATCATTGGTGTTAGAATCAGATGAGTATAATTTGAAGTGATGAGTTGAAATATTAGACTTTAAAACCCATTTTGTACGATATTCAGGGAAAAAACCTTTTGAAATTTGGTTATGATCCCTAGAACCTCTGAAATGGACATCAAGACCTTCAAATTCATCATTTGAGTCAGTAAATAAGCTAGAAAATCCAGGCATTGTTATTACGATAATATACTACTTAAAATTAATTGATTACGAGTTGATTTAGATGTTTTTATGATGATTTTGCTATTGTTTCAATAGCTTTTCTTTATTGAAGAATGGTTTTGGTAAGAAGTTAAGTTGAACTTTTTGGGAATTTTTTTGCTCTTATATAGTAATTTGGGAGCCAGGTAACATCTCACCAATATGACTAATTTGGATGCAAAAAAATGTGAATGAATGACCAAATGAATGACCAAAATGACTAAATGAATGACCAGAATCCTGATGAATGACCAAATGAATGACCTGTTTTTTGAACCAGCATTTTATTGATTAAGCTGGTTATGTTATCTTATCTTAATCTTATTCGCGAATCCATGGCCAGCCAGCTATTTATCCTCAAATAGGTAGAACATCAACATCAATTATTACCTGATTCTGATAGATTGTGTAGTGTGTAGATAAAGAGAGGAATAGTGAATAAAGCTGTATAAGGCAAAAGGTAAAGATCATGAAGAAAAACACGTGTAATATCATGACTTATCAATCAATTGCGCGAAGTTGCATAGATAAGAGCTTATCATGACAATTTGGAGCGTACATAGTACATACGTTTAATAGAATTATCGACAATATTATTAAAAGAACTAGTTATACTTGTTAGCTTTTGTTATGTGATCAGAATTGATTCCTTTACTTACACAAAAAGCCCGACCATTGGCCACTTGTTAAAGGACTTAATTATATGGAAATAAGGTGGTTTTGGTGATGTATAGCCAAGTATCACGTAGTATGTTTCCAAAGATTTTGCCACTGTATTGGATAAACCAAAATCTCAACAACAAGTAATTGTTATTGTGATTAGTCATATGTAGCACTTCTATCATGTAATCATTTCAACTGCGAACGTACACAAAAAAGTAAACAACTCTTCGTGAAGGCGTGAAGATGTTCATAATCAAAATTACATTAGCCCATGAATATGGCAGTGGTATCTACAGAAGTGATATACAAAGGATGAGCATTTAAGATTTATTGAGCTCTTTAGATGCTTTTTGTTGAAGATCTGCTAGATTATCATAAAGGACTTACTTTTGTTTCATGATAAATGATAAATGTGGGATTTTGAACTAGTCTGTTATGGTATTGCAGTTTTGTGTCACAATCACATTGAGATAATTTTAATGAATCCCATGCATATTGAATAACAGATTATGCTGTGTGTTAAATCAAATTACACAAAAATAGAAATTTTTGTGCATAATTTTGTGTTTTGTGCAATTTAGTTTTTGTGTTTTGGAAAATAAAAAAGTATAAAGACTTCATGTTCCCTTTTTCATTTCCAATTTTCTATTTCCCTTTTTGATCTTTATTCAATCATTTATTCTTTATTCAATCATTTTGTTCAGGGGTTGAATCTCCGCTAGATCATAGTTGATTTATAGCTCCAGAGATTACCTGCTTGTTGTCACATTACCTTGGGATTATCGGCTGATTCTGATTGTTTATATTCAAATTTAACATTGACCAATTAGGAGGTGGCGCTACTTCTTGTGACGTGTGTTTTTTGATGATTTTTCAAATTAGGTTGAATCTGAAACGTTTTTGGGAAGTTCATGTGGGATACCAGTTGAATGTAAGTTAAATGTTTTGTGAAGTTGTCATTAAAGTTTATTGATCCGACACCTATAGACTTTAGAACATAAACTATCACATTTTTCAAAGGGAAATTCATTGTACGGATACTACTATTCTACTAACTTTTATTTAGGATTACAAACTTTAAGTAAAGCATAATATTCTGTCAAAAGTTGAACTTTTAAATTGTGAGTATAAGATTTCAACAATTAAAATTTAGTTGTCATTTGTTTCATAAAGAATTCAGAAGAAAGAGCCATCACCTAAACGGGTAGTCTTTTTGAACTCAATTACAACAATGAATATTGTTTGGGGCATAGATGTTGCTAATCCTTTGCTACCTTTAGATTTTTTCTAAAATAAATTCCTTTGCAAATTATTCATAGGTTGTCATTAGCGTATCATCATACATGATATGCTTTATGGATTTCTGGCTCTTAAAAAGGTACACAACACTGCTGGAAGAAATGTACAACAATGGATATTTTTCTTAAACCAAGTTTTGATCAAAATTATCACAAAAATTCATATATCGACGAACTTTTATCGTCTATTTATATCCAAATGACCAAAATTAGATGGTGAAGTCAATTCAAGTTATGATAAGCTTACAAACTTTTTGGAAAGGTGTGGGATATGTCTATTAGACAAAAATACTAGATTACCCAAAAATTAAAGCTGGATATCTAGAATTTATAAGGATTTCTGGTTAAAACATAATCACCAATTCCACCTTTAACATATCTAAAATGGGTCTAAAATTGGAGCTCTGGTACCATGTACCCATAATCCAGATCAATATCCAAAGTTATAACCCTAATTGGAGTATGTCCTCTAGGAAACTTGGGCTCATCAAGTAAACAGCCTCAATTTGGGGATAAACAAACAATATCCATATTTGGTTTTCGCTGTTGTTGTGGTTACTTTTGGTGAATTTTTGAAAGTTTGTGTAAATCAAGATCTTGATTCTTTACCACAAAACCATAATATGCTGTAGAGCGGCTTGTTTGCATAGTTCATTTGGTTGTTGGAGAAACCTAGTTCATTATAGGTATATCCCTTGGTTCCAAGGTTTAACCAGGTGTTTTATTGTCCAAACGTACTTGTGTGAAGTTAAAACTCATTTGATTTTTAGCTGGTAATTATATATGTTTGTATAGGATACGTAGCTCGTCTAGTTTTTAGTTTATATAGCTTGAGTATATAAGAGTAATCATACATCATTCATCAACAGACACATCTGTGTTGTTACATTTAATAACCTTTCAAACCTCGTACTTGGTGCTTTTTGCCTGCGATTGAATCAATATATGGGAAAATCCGAGACCGACCGATTCAAAGTGACACAAAAAGACAAAACACCGAATACCAAATTACACTTTTCTACCAAAACTATGTCATTCTACAATACCAAGTGTTACACAAGTGTTTAAATTTCAAAGGAAGTTATATTGTAATTTTGGATCCAGGAATCCAATATTGGAGCTACTCATAAATACTTTACACTTAATGGAATTTGAGATTTGGATTAAAGCAATCTATAAAATCCGAGACATAATATAATATTATTATGCATCTTCAATTAATTATTATGAACTATTTTTGTATGACGAAGTAGTATATATAATATATTGATAAATTCTCAAAACAAAGGGCTTTCATATGAGTGTAGTTTTATAGATATAAAATGGTTTTGAAATTTTTGATTTTTTCAAATATATTAATTTTTTAGCCTTATAAATTTTATTTTTACTTTAAAGTCAAAGTAATTATTGAAAACACCTAAATATATATATTAATAATTTTTTTGATTTTTTTATGCTTTAATAGACAAATCAGTTAAGCCATGAAAGAGAGAAATATTACTGTTAAATTACTTTTAAACCACTTAACATTTTTATTAACATTAATTTAATTGTTAATTACTACTTGATTATATAAGATCATACGCGATGTCTTAATTAAGTATAGATATACGCCACAGTAAAGCCAATATAATCAGCAATTAAAAGTGAAAGAGAGAATCAACTATTAGAATATCTAGTTTAATCATGGTGATCATGTGGCTAATATTATATGAGAATATTAAGCATATCCGTATGGATAATTTATGAGCCGTGAGAGAACATTTAACTAGATATATTAACAAGATGACTTTAAGAATGAGAACATTATTGTATATAAATAAACGTCAGTATTCCCATGAATACTTGGACTATAATCTGTTTACAGAGGTCAAGTCGTTCATACATTCAATCATACTGTATTCACTACATTATTATCAATCATGGCACGCACAACAAGTAACTCTAATAGAACTGCTATTAATGACAATGGTTATACTCCTGCTAGACGTGTTAGACGTCAAAATGCTCAAGTTCCTGCTCCTGCTTCATCAAATGCTTCCAATTCAGGTGATACTAATCCAGTGGGTAATATGGCTGTTAACCGAAATCAACATAACCACTCATATTATATTATTTACTTAATATTATAATTTTTTTGTGCTTATATATTCAAATTGTCATTCCCCTTCAATAACCGCCATTAACCGTCTTTTTCCTTTTTTAAATCACTGATAGGGAGAAAATCAAGAAAACGAAGATCTTAAAAAACCGATAAACTATTTAAAATGTCCACAGTGATCCACAGTTTTGAAGACTTTGATAACTGAGATTTAAATCAAATCAAATTCATACTTTATATTCATTCTAATTCAAATCATATACTATAAGATTACACCATGACCAAACTAAAAATCCTTGTTATTACCCATGTTGATAAAACAGATTTAGCTGATGATATACCAGAATTCAAGAAATTACAACAAGATTTTGAAGTCTTTATTGAAGTTTTAACAACACCTGAAGCATTTTTACATAGTTTGAAAACAAAATATAATGATATCTCTGCAATTTATTTAACTTTTTCAATTTTCAAGATTGGTGGATTAAATCCATTCATTGATTATTTACCATCAACTTTAAAAATTGTGGCAATTTCTTGGGTTGGTCATAATGCTATTGATGGTGCCAAATTAAGAGATCGTGGTATTATCTTGACAAATATTGGTGATGCTTCAGCTAAAGATGTTGCTGATATTGCTTTATTCCTTTCAATTTCAGTATTCAGAAATACTTCATATTTGGAACATTCATTAAGATCAAATAATGGTGATATTACTCAAGCTCGTGAAGTTTTAGGTGGTGAATCAATTGATCCTGTGACCAAAGAACCATTACCACCAACAGATCCATATCGTAAAAATTTAGCTAAATTCTTAACTATTGGTGGTAAAGAATTAAATTCTCCATTTGGTAAAACTGTGGGTATCGTTGGTTTAGGTGGTATTGGTAAAGAAATTGCCAAAAGATTAAATGTTATTGGTTTAAAAATTAAATATACCAAAAGAAAACCATTGACTGAAATTGAACAAGAAGAATTAGGTTTCCCAACTGAATTTGTCTCAAATTTTAATGAATTATTACCACAAATTGATTTATTAGTCCTTGCAGTTCCTCAAAGTCCAGAAACTACACATTTAATCAATGAAGAAACAATAAAATTAGTTAAACCAGGTTTAAGAATTGTTAATATCGGTAGAGGTGCTGCAATTGATGAAGATGTTTTACTAAAAGCTTTAGATGATGGAATTGTTAATTCTGTTGGATTAGATGTTTTCAAAAATGAACCTCATATCGATCCAAGATTTGTGAATAGATGGGATGTTACTATTTTACCTCATATGGGTTCATTTACTGTTGATAATTTTAGAATTTCAAATGCTACATTGATTAAAAATATTGAAAATGTTTTGTTACAAGGTGGTGAAGGACTTTTCCCTGTTAATTAATCATATAATACATATTTATACACCTTCTAGACTTTTTTCTAATTCTTGAATTGTCATTCTTTGATTTGGATCTTTATCTAATAATGCTAATAATATTTTAATAAAATTTTTAGGAATTGAAATAAATAAATCATTTTGATCTAATACTTCATTTGGAATTTCAATAAGATCATTTATTATTGAATATTGTAATTGGAATATAGTACCTGAACAATTAAATGGTATAACTCCAAAAAGTAATTTATAAATCGTAACACCTAGGGCCCAAACATCTAATGGTTTACCCATGATCCCCATGGATTTAGGATTTAATGAATGTTCACATAATTCAGGTGAATAATAAGCCGGTGTACACTTGGGTATCTTATCAATTGGCCTTGTATCATCAACATTTTCAATTGATGAACCAAAATCACATATTTTAATATCCCTTCCATTGGGTAATAATAATACATTTGATGGTTTAAAATCTCCATGGATTATACCCTGGTCATGCATGATTTTCAAACCTTGAGTTAATTGGACCATCCATATTAAGACATCTTGAATTGCATAACGACGAGTGTCTTGTATGTTATCAGTACCTAATGGATCTCCACCATATTCTAATAATAAATAAATTGAAGTACCATAATCCACAAGGGAAAAAACATCGATTGTTCTGGAGTTTTGTATTTTTTTCATCAAGTTATATTCTTTCCTGATTATATCAACTTCTTTGAGTTCAAGACCTTTAAGTTTTTTCAATTTAAGACATTCTCTTTTCAATGGAGTTTTAAAATATTGTTTGGAGATGAATTTATCACCATTGACAAGGACAGAATTCACTGAACATTTTGAATTTCGAGATATTGGTTCAATGATTTCCCATTCTTCAGGGTTATCCATTGTAATTGACGTAGCTTTAATCAACAATAAGATCTTTGTCTATTCATGTTTGATGGTTAAAGTACCTTTTTTTCTTTTAAAGACGATAAAGCTTATTTAAATCGATCTCGGAAGTTGCTTTTTTTGGAGATCTTTAAAACGGTTTTTACGAATTTTTGCTTTAATGACGAAATTAATTAATACCCATGGAAAAATAAATAAACATAAACTCATAAGAAGACAATGGTCAGATGTTCACTAAGACTATTCCAAAAGGCTAGTAAAACCACACAAAATCAAAAATGGATTTCAAGTTTATTACCAGTTTGTAAAACCCCAGATCAGGCAAAACAAGAATTAAGATGGATTCAAATGGAATTACCACAAGATAAATGGGACCAGGCAATACAGGAAAGATCTAAATTCATACCATTACAATATATACTGGGATCACAACCATTTGGTTCTCTAGATATTAAATGTCGCCCTCAGGTTTTAATACCAAGATGGGAAACTGAAGAATGGACTTTGAAAATAATCAATAAACTACGAGGTATATCAAGTTTAAAAATTTTGGATGTTTGTACTGGAACTGGTTGTATCCCATTACTCATGGGTCATAGTTTACCCCATTTACAGATAAAAGCTATGGATATTTCATCAGATGCTTTAGAATTATCAAATGAGAATAAAAAAATTCATGGTATAACAAATGTTGAGTTTAAATATGGAAATGTGTTTGATAAAGGTTTACTTGAGGGGGAAGAATTTGATTTAATAACTTCAAATCCTCCATATATATCTGAATTGGATTATTTAAACGGAGAGACTGAAGAATCTGTGTTACAAAATGAACCTAAATTAGCACTTGTTGGTGGATTAGAATTTTATGATGCATTGGTAAATAATGTTGTGCTACCTTCAAAAGCTACTGGATTTTTCTTTGAACTGGGTGATTTAGAACAAGCTTTATATACACAGAGTTTACTTAATAAGGATTGGTGTACCAAAATTTATAAAGATGGGGCAGATAAGATACGATGTGTTTATGGTTGGAAAAAAGGTTCAAAAATGCAAGTATTGGAGTTTATATAATATTATACAAGACTATTTATTTCTCAAACTTTTGTTTCTTTTTCAAACCACGTCCTACTGCTGTTACACCTTCTTCAACTGGATATACTCGAAGTGCAGATAATAAATAACCACCACCACCACGCATAGTCATCATTGGATGTAATCTTCCAGGAATAGTTTGATATGGTCTAGCTTTTGATTCATGTAATGCAGGTGTTAAAATTCTTAAATCATTCATAAAATCTAATTGTGTTTCAATTAATGGTTCTTTAAATTGTGAATATATAATTATTGGTCTTGAACCACCAACTGATTCAATTAATCTCTTCATTAAAGTTGGTGTATATAATGTGGTGGCAACAATTAATGCATCAAAATCACCTTTTATAGCATTATCTATAGCTTTATTTGTATCTATAGCATTTTGTTTACGACGATGATAATGTGTTCTTTTATTTGATTTTAATTCTTTTAATTCTTCAGTTGAATATTCTTGAAATTCAACTCTTTCTGATTCTGGTTCGAAAAATTGTAGTAAATTTAATGAATCAATCATTTTTTGTCTAATTTCAATTGGGAAATTTGAATGATCTAATGCACTTATATTTGGATGTTCATTTTCATGTAACAAAACAATTTCTCCTGAACCTCTCATACGTTCTAATAATGCTGCAATCAAAACACCACTTGTTTCATCAATAACTAAATATCTACCACCAGATTGAATATTACCTAAACTTAATAATAATCCAAGAGTTTCTTCACTCATATCTAAAACTTTAGAAGCTTCTTTTTCTAAATAATATTGTAATAATTGTGATGAGCCTAAATATTCCACAGTAAATCTTCTTAAGAATTTTTGTTGTTTTCTTTTTAAATATTTTTCTTGAGAATGTATAGTTTTTTTATTAAAATTTGCATGACTCTTGATTAATTTATCAATAATTGCTTCACCAATATTTGCACCTTTAGAAGTTTTTTTCAATGTTTCAATTTCTTCCATTGTTAAAGCTTGTGATCCAGCACCAATATCTAATAAATCTCTATTAGTTTCACTACTTTTAACATCTAATCTTTTTAAATAATCAATTTTTTCACCTAATGTTTTTGGTTCTGGTGTGTTTTCTTTACTAGTTTCATCCATGACAACATCAGAAGCAGCAGCATCAGCATTGGCATCAGCTGTTGGGATATCTTCAGGTTCTAAAGTATCAACATTACCATAAGTTGTAGATTTAACTGCACGAACTTTTCTTTCATCTAATACTTCAAATGTTTGACCAAATGGGAACCCAACAATCCCGGATAAATCAAACGTACCAAATTTCCCCAAGTTAATTGAGCCTCCTTCTGTAACATGTGCAACTTTTAAACCTGATGAGGGTAGTTTTATCAATACATGATGTCCATATTGAATTAATGTTGGTTTGACAATGAATTGATCTTGATCTTGTTTGATTTCTGACATAATGAGCTGGTTTTTTTTGGCGAATAATTGTATCTAATACCAATAAACAATATCCTCGACTTGATACAAATAATAACCACTAGATCACTTTGATAATCACCAATTAAACTCATCAAGACATATTCATTTAACTAAATATTTCATTTCCGTATATAAAAATTTCCCAAAACCGGGTAAATTCCGAGCATTTCATGAAAAAATTAAATTCCGGGGGCTCATCGCTGACGTAATCAATTTAGAAATCAAATTTTTTTTTTATATACAGATAATAGAAAAAGCATAGTAAGTAATGTCTTGATACTTTTCAGAATATATATTACAGATCCAATAACAGATAATTAAATCATGGGTAGCAGACGTCATAAGAACAAACAAGGAGCTCCACCTTCATACGAAGAGTTTGAAGCTAAAAAGAACAAGAAGGATCAAAAAAGAAAAAGATCAGAATCTGTTTCTGAACCTGTTAAACCAAATAAAAAGAAACCTTCATTTGATAATGATAAAAAATCTAAAAAATCAAATGTTCAAGGTAAAAAACAAAGAAAACAAGATGATGAATCTGAAGATGAAGATGCTATTCGTAAAAGACAATTAGAAGAAGAAAAAAGTTTACCTCAAGTTGATTTAGAAGAATTATCATCTGCTAAAAAATCATTATTTGATGATTCTGAAGAAGAAGAAGAAGAACAAAATGATGAATTTGATCTTGAAGGTGAAGAAGGTGAAGAAGGTGATGAATTTTATGATTCTGATGAAGAAACTCGTGAACGTCCAATGTTTTCTGATGATGAAGAAGATATGGAAGCTTTAAGTGCTGCTAATATGGAAGCTTTATCTGCTAAATTAGATGAAGAAGCTGCATTAGAAGAACAAGAAGCTGAAGAAGAATTATTACAAACAAATATCGTTCAACCAAGAGCTCAAATTTTACCAACTGAAGAAGAAGAAGCTCAACAAAGTTCAGGTCCAAAAGATGTTAATATTTTACGTACAAGAATGATTGAAATTGTTAAAGTTTTAGAAGATTTTAAAAATTCAGCTGAAGAAGGTAAATCAAGAGTTGAATATACAAATAGATTAATTCAAGATATTTGTGATTATTTTGGTTATACACCATTTTTAGCTGAAAAATTATTTAATTTATTTTCTCCATCTGAAGCTATGGAATTTTTTGAAGCAAATGAAATTGCAAGACCAATTACTATAAGAACAAATACTTTGAAAACAAGACGTCGTGATTTAGCTCAAACTTTAGTTAATCGTGGTGTTAATTTACAACCAATTGGTCCTTGGACTAAAGTTGGTTTACAAATTTTTGATTCTCAAGTTCCAATTGGTGCAACACCAGAATATTTAGCTGGTCATTATATTTTACAAGCTGCTTCATCATTTTTACCTTGTATGGCTCTTGCTCCACAAGAAAATGAAAGAGTTTTAGATATGGCTTCAGCTCCAGGTGGTAAAACTACTTATCTTTCAGCTTTAATGAAAAATACTGGTTGTATTTTCGCAAATGATTCAAATAAGGCAAGAACAAAATCTTTAATTGCAAATATTCATCGTCTTGGTTGTACAAATACAATTGTTTGTAATTATGATGCACGTGAATTTCCAAAAGTTATTGGTGGATTTGATCGTATTTTATTAGATGCTCCATGTTCAGGTACTGGTGTTATTGCTAAGGATGAATCTGTTAAAACTTCAAGAACTGAAAAAGATTTCATTCAAATTCCTCATTTACAAAAACAATTATTATTATCTGCAATTGATTCTGTTGATGCTCATTCACCAACTGGTGGTTATATTGTATATTCAACTTGTTCAGTTATGGTTGAAGAAAATGAAGCTGTTGTTGATTATGCCCTTAGAAAACGTCCAAATGTTAAATTAGTTGATACTGGATTAGAAATTGGTAAAGATGGGTTTACAAGTTTTAGAGGTAAACATTTTAATTCAAAATTAAATTTAACAAAACGTTATTATCCTCATACTTATAATGTTGATGGATTTTATGTTGCTAAATTTAAGAAAATTGCTTCATCACCTCATGATGTTAGTAAAGCTGGTGCTTATGAAAAAGAAAGTTTAGCAAGATCTGAAGCTGAAGAAGAAGGTATTATTCATGGTGATTTCGCAAGTTTCAATGATGATGAAGATAAAGATTTAATAGAAAAATCTAAAGCTCGTAATTTAAAGAAAAAGGGTATAAATCCAACTGCAAAGGGTAAAGCTGGCAAGAAATAATGTTCTTTTCAGTTATATACTTGAATAAAAAAAATTAGCATCATATATAATAGATTAATTTTATGTATATTAGCAAATAAAAAAAATGAGAAAAACAAATAAACTACTGTAATATATTGATCGTAAAAACATAGCATTGTCTAATATTATACAAAAATTTTATATTATAGGTTTTCAATGTTCCAAGACATTAACATTACCTAAATTATGTTCTTTAATATAATCAGCACCCATTTCTTCATAATCTTGTTTACTTAAATAAGCATTTTCAGCTTGACCTGATTTAACCCATTTAGCAATCCCTTTCCAAGAATCATTTATTGGATCCTGGGCAGTTCTAACATTTAATGGAGAATCAGCAGGTAAAAATGATTTATATTCATTAAATAATCTTTCTTCAAAATTTTGAAAATGTGCTTGACCACCTGTAATGAAAATATCTTGAAGAGCATCATAACTATCACCTGAAAAACCTTTACCCGATAATCTATTTAATAAAATACTTTCCCCAACTTCAATAATACCAGCTTGATCAACACCTGCAATGCTTGGTTGGAATAAAACTTCAGGGATTCTAATTCTTTCAACATTTAAATGAATTTGATGTTGTTCATGAGAATCTTCAGAATTAAAAGGTCTTGGCCCTCTAAGGAATAAATGTGTTATACTTTTCCTCCAATCATATTGAGCATCTAAAGTATCTTCTATAGTAAAATTTGGATCATATTCTAATAATTCTTTTTCAATTTTTACCAAATTTGCTTCTTCTTCTTCCAAAGCTTCTTCATCATCAACATTTGCAATATCTCTATATATAGCCCAATCATCATCATTTGCACCAAAAGTATCATTTGGATCTTTATCTATTGTAGCAGCACCTCTTTTTCTTTTTGATGAACCACCACCACTTGTTGAATTTTCATCTGATGCTAAAGATGCAATATTTTTCATACGAATTTGTGCAGCATGAGATTTTCTATCATTTAAAGCTTCTTTTAATTTTTGACGTTCTTTACGAGCTTCAAATATTTTGGATAATTTTAATCTTCTATCCTGGATCCATTCATTTAAATTTGATTCTCTCCATTCATCATCTTTTTTTTGTTCTTCTAATAATCTTAATTTTTCTTCTTCTTTTTCTCTTTTAGCTCTTTGACGTGCATCATAATTTGCCTTGAGTAAACGTTGTTTTCTTTTTTCTTTAATTTGTTCTTCATTTAATTCTTCATCTGCGATTTCTACTAATGGGAATGAAGGAGGTTGTTGATCATCTTCACCATTATCTTCACCAACATCTTGTTTTCTTGCCTTTTTCAAAGATTTATCTAAATTTTCAATATATTTATTAAAATCATCTTCACCAGTGAAACCTTCTTCTTTTAAAGTTGATTGAGTAAGTTTTTTATTTAAAGTTGATAATTTTTCTTTTAAATTTGTATAATATTCAAATTCTTGTTCTTTTTGAATTAATTTTTCTAATCTTTTCTGTTGAGCTTGTTCTTGTAATCTTCTACCACTTTCTTTTCTTTTTTCAGCTTGACGAGCTAATTCTTCTTCAGTTTTTTGTTGTTGAATAACTTCAGTAAATGGAGCTTCTGCAATTATATCAGTTTTTTCCAAGATATCTAAATCTAGTGCAGTGGATAATTCTTGTTCATAATTCTTAGAAACATAACAATAATCTTTAACTAAATTGTCAATTTGATAATTATTTATCTTTGTTGGGAAATAAGGATATTTTAATTGTAATAAAGAACCAAGATAATTTGAAGCTTGTTGACCACCCCAATTGATTCTCTTAGTTTCATTTAGTAAACCTTGACCTTTCAGCACGGGGATTACATGTGTATGTTCATGACCAGTACCTATAACAAGACCATTTACACCATTATTTTGATAATAAGAAAATAATGAATCTATACCAATAGCAACCTGGGGGACATTATAAGTTTCATATAATAATTCATAAAAATTTTTCCTCTGTAATAAAGGAGCAGCTGGTTTTTCTGTCAAAATGATTGGATTATTAACACCACCCGAAGAGTTAACGCCTATATGATTAAAAGTATAATCTAATATAGTTTCAACATAATCCCAATTTGTTATAAAAGAACCATCATATGGAGATTTAGCCTGGTTTTTAATAGAAGGATCCAAAAAAACATCATTCCCTATATAAGTCAATGTCTTGTTTAGCTTTCTATCTCTATATTTTGATATTAAATTAGCATAATTATGAGCAGGTTCTTGAACAGATGTTAAGCCAGCTCTTATTCTTGAACCACCAAAATCTATACCGATGGGGACACCTTGGGCGTAATTTGAATCGAATTTTTCAGCAGCAGTGGACTCTGTGTAGTCTCTTAAGTCATAGACCTTTCTCTTGGGTAGTTCCTGGTCCCTAGCACTCATAATAACCTTGATTGACCTGGTCCTTCTGTAGTCTTTTGAGCTTCTTTTTGCCATTGAATTTGTTTTGAATTCGTTGATTTAATTTAAATTTGAAGAACTGATTACGTCAGAAATTTTGTAAGCATTTGTTTATTTCGCGAATATCAATTCCACGTATAAACTCTGAGAAATTTGGAATTTAGAAGGAAACTTTGGAATATTTGGTTATTTTACTAAGGAATTTATATTCAATTGAATTGATTTGATTATCATAGTCATCACAGAATATTCACAATGACCGACACAAGACCTGAAAAGTTCACAGAATTGTTTGATCGGTGAGTATTGATTGATTACCCCTATATATGTCTCACGGTTTCACTAACATCATAAGTCTTGAAAAAGCAACTTTTGCATTGGAAAGTATTGTTCGTAAACATGATGATCCTTCATCTGCTACAATTGATAAGAAACCATCGTTATCTTCCAGAGCTTTAAGTGATGTTGATATTGTTCAAGTTGGTGATTTAGAAGCAACTAATTCCCCATCTATTAAAGCATTCAATGATTTCTTAGAATTATATATTGATCCTTTCGTTTCATTATCTGTTGAAACTAATCCATTGGTTGGTGAACAAGCTTCAAATTTTGCTAAAGCTTTCCAATTCCAAGCTAAATTAATCACTGCTGCTTCAAAATCTTCAAAACCTGATTTTAGTTTACCTCAAAATGTTGCATTATTAAAACCTTTACAAGATGATGTTCAATTAATTAATCAATTTAAAGATGATAATCGTCAATCTGAAGTTTTCTCTCATTTAAATGCAATTGCAGAAGGTTCAGGTGTTTTAAGTTGGTTTTTAACCGAGACTCCAGTTTCATTTATCCAAGATATTAAAGATTCTTCAACTTTTTGGACAAATAAAGTTTTGAAACAATTTAAAGATTTAAATCAAAGTCATGTTGAATGGGTTAAACAATTCTTGGGGATTTTCGATGGTTTAAAACTTTATGTTAAACAACATCATACTCAAGGTTTAACTTGGAATAATAAAGGTGGTGAATTATCTAATAATTTACAACAAATTGATAGTCAAATTCCAAATTCTGAAAAATCACCAGCTCCTGTTGCTCCACCAGCTCCTGTCCCATCTGCTGGTGGTCCACCTCCACCACCTCCACCACCTCCAGCTGATGTTTTTTCAAGTGAATCAACAACAACTCAACAACAATCCAGTGGTGGTGGATTAGATGCAGTTTTTGGTCAATTAAATCAAGGTGAAAACATCACCAAGGGACTAAAAAAAGTTGATAAATCTCAAATGACACATAAAAATCCAGAATTACGTAAAACAAATTCAATTTCCAGTACAACATCATCAGGTTCCAAAAAATCACCACCAATTAAACCTAAAAAACCTCAAAATCTTTCATTAAAACCCAAACCAGCTCCAATTGTGGAATTACAAGATTCTAAATGGATTATTAAAAATGTTGAAGGTGATCATGGAATTGTTATTAATGGTGAATTAGATCAATCTGTATTTATCGCAGATTCCAAAGATTCAACTATACAAATTAAAGGTAAAATTAATGCAGTTTCAATTAGTTCAACAACAAAAGTTGGATTAGTTGTTGAATCATTAATTTCAGGGATTGATATTATTCATTCTAAGAAATTTGGTATTCAAATTTTGGATAAAGTTCCACAAATTTCAATTGATAAATGTGATGAAGGACAAATTTATCTAAGTAAAAATTCATTAGAAACCGAGGTTTATACAAGTTCTACAACTGCATTAAATATTAATGTACCAGATGATGAAAATGATGATTTTAAAGAAATTTCTGTTCCAGAACAATTTAAACATACTTTTAATAATGGTAAAATTTCAAGTTCAATTGTGGAACATGCGGGTTAATCTCATACAATAGCTTTATTTTTTTATATACGTTTGATTTATATTTTAAAATTCTATATACAAATTAACAAATTTCTGTGTTGTAAATCTAATCTCTCTTACGTTTAACTCTATTAACATACCACATATAAGCACGTTCATGAACAGATAAATCAAATGGAGAAATAACTTCAGAATAACCAGGATAAGCAACAGGATCTCTCATATAAACAGCATGACAAGTTTCAAATGAAATTTCAATATGTGCAGGTAAAATTGCAAATGGAGCAATGAAAGGTCTTATTTTCCATGGTGTGAAATATTTTTTTTTATTTTCAAAACGACCAAATAATCCTGATTGAAATGGTAATTTAATTGATTTATTTAGTTTAATTTCATCTTCTTTTAATTCATTAAAATTAATTTTTTCATGATATTTTAATTTTTCAGCCCATTTTGGATCATATGGTAAATTATTTGAATTTGGATCTAATTTCCCAGCTTCAAAATTTAATCTTAAATCTTCCATATGAGAATTTTGTACAGATGCAGTAATTTGTCTAATTTCACTAATTTGTTTTTTTTCAATTGGATTTTTTGATGTTTTGGAAGATGCAAGGATTATTGTCATTAAATTTTTAACTTCTTGATATGGTTGATTTTTTAATTTTTCTAAATTTAATTTTGGAAATTGAATTAATTTATTATATAAATTTAATGAATGTTTTAATGCATCATTTGAATATAAATGTTTAAAAGTATCCATTGAAATTGTTGATTGATCCTGGGATAAACCAGTTGTTAAGATTGTAGTTAAAGTTTCTGGTAAGTTGGAACTTGATCTTTGTGCATTCAACATTTTTGTTTCATTTGTTTTATTAATTTCTTGAATTCTTAATTTTGTAGCTAATTTTTCTTCTTCATTCAAGTCATTTTTTCTTTTTTGTTGCATTTCTTTCCAAACTTGTAATGGTTGCGCTTTTGCTCTTTTAACATAATCATTCCATTGTATTATTTGAAATTTAGTAACATCAATAGATTTTTTTAAACCTGGTTTTGTTGAACCTAATGCTTCCAATACTTTTTCAGGTTTAACATGGAAAACATCACCAGCTTTTAATTGATAATTTGGTTGAGTAATTTTAACATCATTAACGAAAACATTACCATGTAAAATAAATTGACGAGCTTGTCTCACAGATGAAGCAAACATTGCACGGAACAATGCAAAATCTAATCTTTTTTCTAATACTGCATAAGTTTGTAATAAAACTGGAGTATCTGCACTTTGTTCACCTCTAAGGGAAGCATCTAATTGAGCAACAGATTCTAATTTTTGTGAAAAAAAATGTTTCCACCTACCTTCAGTTAAATGTTCACCATGATAAGCTCTTGTTTCTTGTTTTGCAGTCCATTTTTGTTGATATAAATTTTTACTTTGGAAAGATATTCTTGATTTCTTGTATAAGTTGAAAAGATTATGTTTGTTCCACGAGGTACGTATACGCCCTCTTGTTAAGGAATGGAGTAGTTCAGCTCTTCTAGGCATAATTCCTTTGAAAAGAAGATCAATAAACTGATGATCCAATGGTTATTTCAATATTTATGTCTCTGCGTATTTTGAATAAATTTTTCAAGATTTCTCGACAAAATTTAAAATGCAAAAAACATCCGGACATCAAAAAAACAAAATTCAATAAATAAACAATGAAATCCATCAACATTTGAAACAATTGAACAGGAATATCAAGTTGATTTCAAGTGTTTTTAGTTAAGATGGCTCGTGATTGGGAAATGTGGGAAGAAGTCACACTCTTAAGGTCTCTGTGCCGATTTAAACCGGTTGGTAAGTGTCAATATTGGTGGAGTTATTGAAGTAATTAGTTGACTAACGATTCACAGGACTTCATAAACATTTCCATATGGTTTCTATATTGAAAGTGCTTAATAGTGAACGTTCCAAGGATAGTGTAATACTGGCGAGTGAAGTGTGGGAGAAACTTCGAAGTTTTTATGATTTAGAAGAGATTGAAAAATTGGATCAAGATAGTGGAAGTGAAGATGAAAGTGATGAAGAAGAAGGTGATCAAGAGGAAGAAGAAGAATTACCCAAAGATTTTGATCTTCCATGGGATGATTTTGGACCATTGATGGTTAGTAGAGCTAAAGATGGTGAAAAAAGTGAGACTTCAAGTCCAGAACCAGGTGAAGAAGGTGAAGATGGAGAAGAAGAAGAAAACGAAGAAGAAGTTGATGACGATGAAAATGATGATAATGATATTGGTAATGAAACTGAAGAAGAGGAAGGTGAAGAAGGAACTGGAGAAGAAGAGGAAGTGGAAGGTAGTGAGGATGGTGAAGAAGGTAGTGAAGAAGAAGGTAGCGAAGAAGGTGAAGAAGAAGAGGAAGAAGGTGACGAGGAAGAAGGAAGTCAAGAAGAAGAAGAAGAAGGAAGTCAAGAAGAGAATGAAAATACCAAAACATCAAGACCAAGCTCAAGAGGACGTGGTAGAGGACGTGGACGTGTAAGCGTAAGTGGAAGAGGTCGTGGACGTGTTGGAAGAGTAAGAACAAGATCAGATCCAGGTAAAGAAGAACCACCAAGTAAACGAAGAAAAACAAACAAAGATGATAAATCATCAGGTAGAAGAAGACTTCGAACAAGAACCCAGGATTCAACAGAATCTAGATCAACAAAAGGATCAAATAAAACACAAACTAAAACCACTAGAAGCTCAACAAAATCAACACCAAGAAGATCTACAAGAAGGAAATAGAATAATTCATAATAATTGTATTATATAGCCATAATAGACATAGCATACCCCTTAGTTAATTTTTAATAATTCAACATCGAATAATAAAGTAGCATTTGGTGGAATTAAACCTGGGAAACCACGATCACCATAAGCTTTAGCACCTGGAATAGTCAAGATGGCTTTTTCACCAAGGGATAATTTTGGAATAGCTTCATCCCAACCAGCAATAACATGACCAACACCAATAACAGTTTGGAATGGAGAATTACGATCTCTTGAAGAATCGAATTTCTTACCATTTTCTAAAGTACCAGTATAATGAATTGTGACTTTATCACCCTTTTGTGGGAAATTGACACCATCACCTGGAGCGATTCTTTCAATTTTAACATCGGACATTTTGTAAAGAGTAGAAGAGAAGTGACGAGAACAATTAAATTGACGTTGAATTGAGTTCAATTGAGTCTTGAAATTGGATCTTAAAAACATTTAAGAAATTGTGGTTTTATTAGGAGATTTTGAATTTAATTTATATGATTTTTTTGGTTTTTGGCCACTGTTTTGGGAAGCCGGGTAAATAAATTGGAAATCAATATAAACAATAATGTCTCATTGGAATTATTATAGAGAATCACTGGGAATTACTGGTCAATTGAGACTATTAGAAGACTATGGAATCTTATGACACTGAGTACACTGCTCACTTGAGTCCATTGGTACTTGTCCAGGGGATTGGCCAGGGGTTTGACGGTGGTGAAAGTAATGCTGGTGATGGTAATGATGCTGGTATTAATGGTGAACTATTATTCAGGAAACAAGATCAATTGAAAAGATCACCTGCTGTTAAAGGGCTAGTTTCCTCTTGGAGGAGATTACACAATGAAGATTTGATTTGGGACTCAACAGCTATCAATTCTGATCTATTACAATCTGATTCTTCAACAAGCTCATCATCAATTACTGATAAATTTCATTTTAAAATTGTTGATAAACATTATATCCCAAAAGTTAAAGATCTTGATGATTCAAATACTCATTTCCAATTACCACAACTCGTGTTAACTTCTCAATGGATCCAAAAATATAAATCTATATTACCTTCAACTGTGGTATCATTCTATGAATTAAATCATAATTATACTGACTTAAAAGAAATTGAAAAAATTGATTTGGAATTAATTTCTGAAATTAATATGCTTCAAACACAATTACAACATAGACATATTAAACCATTGATAATATTAGTTTCCTCATCATCTTCAAATGTTGAAATGGGGATTAATGAAAGAATTTCCATTATAAGGAAACAAACTGGTTTAAATAATAAAAATTGTTTATTATTATTGGAATCTTCAACTCCAAAAGAAACAAATGAAGTATTCCAAAATTCAATCCAGTTTATTAAAATTTCAAATTTAGAATTTTTTAATCAATTAGAGAAAAAATTCAAAAAGAAAAGATCAACTTTTTTAAATTATTCAAAAGATGAATTTTCTAAAAATATAATTGAAGCTCGTTATTCATTGAAAAATGGGTTTATAAATGAATTCAAGAAACAATATCCACAAGCTATCAAAAATTTCCAATTTAGTTATGAGTTTTTATTGAAAACCTTAAATACAATATCATCAAAGGAAAATTCAGAAATTTATATTCAATATAGAATTTTATTAGATATAACAATGTTTCATATTATAAGATTATTTTTTTACCAAGGGCAATTTAATCAAGCTTACAAGAAATTTGATTTACATTTACAAAGTATTATTTATCAAATTAAATTACAAAAATTTAAAATTAATTCATTTAAAGTTTGTAATTGGATTTCCTCACAATTTAAAATTTTAGCTCAATTATCTGATTTGGTTACTCCAAATAATCTTGTTCCAATTGATCAACCTTTTTTATCAAATGAAAAAGATCCTCATTCACCATTGGTACTACCACAATCTGGTTATCTTTATTTACAAGCTTTTAATTTATTGAAGAATGGTGGAAAGTATGGAGAAAGTGAAGATGATGATCCATATCCAGTGATTATAGAACATGATAAGACATCAGAATACATTAATTTATTAAATTTTTCTAAATTATCATTTCAAAAAAAAGATAATTCATTTTTAAGAAGTATTTCATTTATAAATTTTCAAATTGCAGAAGAATATTTTGCAAATAAAGAATATGAATCATCATTAAAATTTTATGAAATTTCATTAGATGCTATTAAAGATTTTAATAATTGGGGATTCATATCAAGTAAAATTTATTATAAATTATTAATTTGCTTTTTAGAATTAGGGAAACATTATGCTTTTATTATAAATTTAATTGAAATTTCTTTATTTGATAATCAAATTCAACAATTAAATAATATTAATGATATTAAAGAATTAATTAATAATGAAGAAAAATTACCAAAAATGTTACAAAATGTTAATGAAGATAATTTATTAATTAATTTATCAACTGATGAAACTTTTGATATATTGGTTGGGAAAGTTTGTTTCCATGAAAAAATTATAACTTTATCAAATGAATTAGCATTCCAAATTGAAATTCAATCAAATTTAAATGAGATCTTGGGGGTTGTTAAATTTAATGAATTATTAGTAACATTCCAAGGTAATAACTTAAATGAAATTTTAATAAAACATGATGATTCAATAAAATCAAATTCAGTTTCTTATTTAAAATCAAATGATAAAACTGATGATAATATTCCAATTTTTTATACAAACCTTGAATTCAATCCATTTGAGAAAAAAGTTTTCCAATTTAAATTACCAACAAGGAAAATTGGTGTAAATTCATGTATTTCAATTTCATCAATCTTGGATTATAATAAACTTTTCCAAATAAAATTAAATATCCCATTGAAAAATTATAATAATGATAATATTAATAATTTAAATTCTTTACATAAATGGTATCATCAGGGGAAATCATTGAACAACTACAAGATTATTTCAAATTTAAATCCTGAAACTTATGAAGTTATACCAAGGATACCTAAGACTAAGATTAATATTGGCGATATTGATGATGATGAATTTGGTATTGTTGGAGAGGTTTTCAAAATTCCGGTAAAAATTTTAAATAATGATCATGAATCTATTGATTTAGAAATGGAAATTAGTGCAAAGATTGGTGATGAAGAAATTGAAATTAAGTGGGATGATCAAGGTGATGGTCAATTAAAATTGGAAGATGTTGAAGTTGATAAAGAAATTTTAAAAAATATTAATTTAAAAATTCCAAATTTTTTCACAATGGAAAATTCAATAATTTTAATTAAATTGAGTTATACTTTTTATGTTTCCAAAGATTATGAAGTTCCAATAATTAAACACCTAACTAAAAAAATTAAAATTATTGATCCTTTTAAAATTTCAATTTCATTTTTACCAAGGTTATTAAATGAATCATTACCAAATCCATTTATTATAAACTCAGATGATCAGGCTATACCAAAACCTTCAAGATTTTGGTTAGCTAGTTTAATTATATCAAATACATTACCTTTAGATTTGGAATTGATTGATGAAACTATAGTGTTTAAAACTACAGATGATGATATGATGATCAATGAGTTTAAAGATAAACTAGTAACGTCCAGAGAAAATGATGAAAATCAAGATAAATTAATTTCAAATCATTATATTGGAACAAGTATAATCAAAGATGGAACAAATTATAGAAATATAAATTTTAATTCAAATTTAGTGGTAAGATATAAAAGATTAAATTCAGATACGGTACTACAAACATTTAAAAATAAAATATGGAAATTTTCATTACCATTATTAGATCCAAGAGTATTATTAGATGTTGAAAGACCAACAAATGAAGATAATAATATAAAATTAATATTTATGATTGAAAATCCAACTTCTAGAATTTTCCAATTTCAATTAACATTGACAGATAATTCAAATTTCCAAATAACTTCAGGTGTAAAGACACAAAATGTATCAATTTTACCTATAACAAGACAAAAATTTGAATTTAATTTAATTCCAATGAATAATGGGTTGTTGAGCTTACCTCAATTAACAGTATATGATTTAAATTATAGAGTTAATTTACCAACTTTATTAGTTAGTGATGAAGTCCAATTGAAGAATAAGGAGATTTATATAAATATTGAGTGAATAATATATAATCTAATAATAAAAATAGCATATAATCTATAGTAGAAATAACCTATAATAATATAAAATTGTAGAAATATAGTATTTAAAATATCTCATTGAGACATAAATCAAATTTAGTTGCACCGATGTGCTCGGTTAATTTTTTTTTGCGGAGACAAATATAAAAAAGCACAAAAATCCGTTGAAATTGATCAAAATTATCACCAAAACCATCAAAACAACCATTCAAACAACCATTAAATCAACAGCCAAAATGACTTTCAAACATATCATCACTTCAACTCCAAGAACAGGAGTCTTCCAAATCACTTTAAACAGACCAAAAGCTTTAAATGCTTTAAATTCTGCATTGTTTACTGAGATTTTAACAGCTCTAAGAAAAGCAGATTCTGATATTGATCAATATGGTGCAGTTGTCATTACAGGTGGTGATCGAGTATTTGCAGCAGGTGCTGATATCAAGGAAATGTTACCAATTGATTCTGCTCAGGCAATGTCTCAAGATATGTTATCTAATTGGAAAGATTTCAATTCAATTGGAATCCCTATAATTGCTGCTGTGGAAGGTTATGCCCTTGGTGGTGGTTGTGAATTAGCTATGAATTGTGATATTATTTATGCTTCAAACAAGGCTGTTTTTGGTCAACCTGAAGTTAAATTAGGTGTTATTCCAGGTGGTGGTGGTACTCAAAGATTAATTAGAGCTATTGGTAAAAGTAGAGCTATGGAATATATTATAACTGGTGATAATTTTTCATCAATTCAAGCTGAACAATGGGGGTTAGTTTCTAAAAATTTTGAACCAAAAACTGTTATTAAGAATGCATTAGATTTAGCTGAAAAAATTGCTAAGGGACCAAGATTAACTTCAAGATCATGTAAAAAAGCTATTAATATTGCAAATGAAACTAATTTACAAAATGGGTTAGATTTTGAAAGAAATATTTTCCATTCACTTTTTGGTAATTATGAACAAAAAGAAGGTATGAATGCCTTTGTTGAAAAAAGAAAACCAAAATGGTCAAAATTATAATTGCTACTATAGCTACATTGATTTTATCCCAATATTAATCATATATTATTATATTATGTTATGCCCTTATGCCAAATAATGATAAATTCCTCTATCATCTTTATCTCTTTGTAAATATTCCCTTTCTAATAATGCTTCAATTCTTTTTTTAATAAATTGTGGTGATGGTTTAAATCTTGTAATTTGTTTAACAGTTTCCACAATTAATTCATTATGTCTTAGTGTTTTCCTACTTTTCATAATTCTAACAATTGCTGCATCTAATTCAAATTTTCTATCTTCATCAATTTTTTCCATTGTTTTATTTCTTTCAGAATCATTTTCAATTTTATTTGCCACTGTTAAAATTTTAACTTTTGTCATGGGGGAACTAAAAGAATTATTAAATTTAAATAAATCATTTGGTTTAATATCTTTGGACATTGGTTTCTTGGTCAAGATTCTTGTTCTTGGTGCCACTGCAATTGATTGTAAACTTCTAATTAAATCAGATTTTGGTATTTGAGTTAATGTTTCAATTTGACTAAATGTTAATTCATCATTTTCTTCAAATAATAATACGATAATACCACAATATATTGACATATTTAATTCATGAATTTTTTTATCAAATTTAATTCTTATATCAATTGAACCAAAATTAAAAGACCAATTTAAATTTCTACCATTATATAAATTTAAATAATAATCATTAAATTTTCTCTTAAGGGATTCTAATTGTTGAGGTAATATAATTTCTTCATTATTTGTTGTTGGTTGAATAGGCCAAAAAGTTTTAGTTAAAACATTAATTTCAAAAATCTTGGAATTAAATTTTTTAGAAACTTCTTTTGATAAATTTATATCTCTAAACATTCCTTCTAATTTTGATGTGAATGATGAACCAATTTCATTTTTAATCTTGGCAATAACAACTCTTTCTAAATCATTTGAATTTTTCAATAATCTTTTGGCTAAATGATTTTTATAATATTTTTCAAATAAATCTTTATCTTTAATAAATCTAAATATGATTATTGATTTATTTAAAATTATTTCAATTTCTTCTTCTGATTTATTTCCAGATTTTTTAATTAAATCATCAATAAATAATGATAAATATTCAGATAATTTAGAATTTTTATTTAAAAATTCCACAAATGAATTTTCTATAGTTTTTTGTAAATTCAAATCATTGTTTAAACTTTTCAAAATTAAATCATATTTATCTTTTAATTTTATAATTTTTTCAATCCATAATAATGCTTGTGATGTTGTTGCCTTTTTAGATGAATTTTTGTTGTTTTTGTTATTGCCATCACCTGGTATTGTTTCCACTATATCATTTGATTCTAATGATGAACCTTCTTCTAATATAATTTCATTAATTTGTAATTTAAATCCATCAAAATAATCAACTCTTGATAATAATTTATACAAGAGATTTAAATCATCATATTTTTCATTCAAGATCCAATTTTTTAAACCTTCATTATTAAATTTCATAACTTGATCAATCTTGGATGAAATTAATATTTCATCAATTAATTTAATTAATTTTGGATATGTTATATTGGGTAGATATAATATAGATTTATTTTCTTCATTTATAATTAATTCATTAATCATTTTTAAATATATGGTACCATTTTGTAAATCCAAGATTTCATTACTTTGTTTTTCATAATATTCAAAAGTCTTGTTTAAATAAAAAGGTTCAAAATATTTTAAATAATAATTTTCACCTAATTCAATGTTTTTTTCATCTTCAATTAATGATTCAAACATATTTATAATTGATTTTATTAAAAAAATATCAATAATTAACCCATTTCGATTTGAAGTTATTTCATCCATTATTAACATATTTAATTGATTACCAATGGTATTTGAGTTAAATTTTATTAAATTATCACGAAATAAATTTATCCCCACATCATAAATTAAAGGTAAATGATTTTCTTTAGCATAAACTCTATCCAAATACATTAATACATCACTAATCATTCTCATTGCAAGAATATGATCTTCCCATTTGTCTTTTATATCTTTTAAATAATCCAATTTATTATCATTAGTTAAATCATATTCTTTGTTTAAATGATCTTTTAAACCTAGTAAATAATCACCAATCAATAGTTTAACAGATTCATATAATTGTTTCCCATATTTCCTTAATACCAAATTATAAGATTTTCTATATAATTCTTCAAATGAAAGTTCATAAGCGTTTTTATTTTCAATTTCTCTTATGGCAGCGGCTAAGACAGCCCATGATTTTTCAAAATCCACTTCATTAGCAAGGTTCTGATGTGTGTTAGTCTTTGGTCACCATTAATCATTGATATTGATATATCAGTGTATCAATATATCAATATACCACTCAATTGTCAATTACTCACTTTCCTTGGAGCTCTGATCTTCTTCTTGCGACTCCCGTTCGACAGCATAATACCAATTACCAGTCAATAACCAACAACTTTCAGACAATAACCAAACAATAACACTTTACTTTCTTTTTATCCAAATACTTGTGTTTCTTTGATTTGATTTAATTTGATTCAATTTAATTTAAAAGATCAAAACAACCGAAAACAAAAAACGTCATAAAATTCGCGAAAACTAATAAATTATGTAATCATTCGCGAATTCAAAAGTGAATATTGGAAGAAAATAAACAAATCTATTAAAATTAATGAATGAATCAAGTATTATCAAGTATTGGTTATTATTTAATTGATTTATTGATTTATTTATTATCTATCATGTCCTCTGATATCCTTGACGTGCTCAACATCCAACAGAGAGAGGCTCAGGCGCCAAAGAAGAAACAGAAACTAAACGAACCAAAATCAAAACGTATGTTTTGTACTCAGTAAACCATCAATATTATCACAATACTAACTTTTCCAACTAGAAACTGGGATCAATAGAGAACTATATAACCTGTTGGGTCAAAATACACCTCCTGTCGCGGTAAGAGGTCAACAAAAATTTAAAGATAGACTCAACACCTTGGCTAAACCTTCATCATGGAGTTGGACAAGTTTTACAAATGGTTCAAGAAATGATGATTTAAAATTACATCATTGGGTTAAAGGTTCAAAAGAAATTGTTGAAGCAACTGAAGTTCCATATAAATTTGAAAAATATAATAACACTTTAAATATACCTAATTTCACGGAAGATGATTATAATGAATTTATTCAAGATGATCCAATTGAAGGTGAAGAAGAACAAGGTGAACAAGATAAAGATAAAGATGATGATGAAATTATTCCAGATGCTGATTCATCAGAGCAACAAAAGGAATCAAATGAAAATGACAAACAAGAAGAAAATAATAAATCACCAGTTAAAGAGGAAACTACAGATGATAATAAAATTGATGATGAGAAAAAACCAATTGAAAAACAAGATAAACCTAAACCTATACAACGCTGGGATTATAAAGAAACTCGCTATTTATTTGATCTAAGTATTGCTTTTGATTTGAAATGGGTTGTAATTCATGATCGTTATAATTTCATTCCAAATAGAAATCGTTCAATTGAAGATTTACAAGAAAGATTTTATAACGTTTGTCAACAAATATTAATTCATGAAAATGAAAAAGAAGAAAATCCATCAAATTCTCAAAATTCAAATTTAATAAGTAATTTAAATTTTAATAAAAAAAAGGAAATTGAAAGAAAAAATTATTTAAATAGATTATTAGAAAGAAGTCCTGCTGAAATTGCCGAAGAAGAATCATTATTAATAGAAGCAAGAAAATTTGAAGTTGCAGCTAAAAAGACAATTACTGAAAGAGCTTCATTACTTCAATTATTAGATTCTCCACAAGCAACAGGTTCCGTTGGTCAATATTTAAGTTCTCAAGGTCTTACTCAATTATATAATACTTTAATGACTGAAAAGAGAAAACGTCGTATTGATTCACCTGCACCAGAAAATCCTTTAACTGCATTAAATGAAAAAATTAAACAACAAAATATTCAAAGACAAAAACAAATTCAACAAGAAAAATTAGAAGCTCAAAAAAAGAAAAAGGAAAATCCAATTTCTCATTTATTTCAAAAACATTTAACTCCAAAAGAAGAAGAAGAATTTGGTTTGAAAATTCATACTGAAAAAATTTCTCCTGGTGTTGCATTAAGATCAACTAAAATTACTACATATAAACCTGGTGTTCAAACTAAAATTACTTCAATTTTAAATGAAATGGACTTGGGTAAAAAACCTGCTCTTTTAACTTCAAAAGTTGTGGCTAAACAAGAAGAATTATATAAAAAAATTAATACTTTATTAGAATTGAAAAGACAAGTTGATAAATTAGAAGCTGAATCTAAAATTATTGGTAAATAAAGAGCCATACAACAAACAACAATACATTTATATAACGATTTTAATGAATAATTGCAGTTTTAATTATATTTATACGTAAAGATCAAACTTGTATATATATGCTTGTATTCTATACTTTATGCTAAATAAATATATCCTCCACAACAGAATAATCCAATTCTAATTCATTTGATTCATTTAATAAATCACCAGATTCTGGATTAAAATTCATTTTTCCACAAAATTTTTCAAATTCTTTAATAAATTCACCTTGTTCAGTTTCAAAATTTAAATCCATTTCATTTTGAATAATTTTTGATTTTAAAATCATTTCAGATATCTCAATTGGTGATTGTATTAAAAAACCAGCTTCATTATCTAATCTATTTTCATTATAAATTAAATCTTTTGATAAAAAAATAAAAAAATTTTCATACAATATATTCATATCATTTGTACCTTCTAATGAATTTAAAATTAAATTTAAAATTTTATAAATATTTGCACCCATGATACAACGATATTTAATATAATTTGAATGTTTAAATTTTAAAATGAATCTAAAAATTTTTAAAGTTTTCAAAATACAAAATAAATCAATTTGTGACAAATTTTTTAAAGTTTTAATTGAATCATTTAATAAATTTGTTAATTTTGATAATAAAACCCAACAACTTGGAATTTTTTGAATTAATTCTCCATGAATTGAAATTAAACAACAAATTTCATAAAATGATGAAGATGAAATTTCATTTGAATTCAATAATTGTTGTGCTGGTTTTTCAATGAAAAATTGCTTTGGGTCTAATGGTTTTTGGTCTAAATATGATGTTAAAACAAATTTTTCCAAATTTATTAATTTTTGTGATATTGAAATCTTTGGTCTTTTATCAATTTGTCTTTGTTGTTGCTTCTCAGCATCAATTTCTAATGGTGATGATTTTATACCAAGTAATGATTTAAGTCTCCAAAAATCAATTAAACTAGCTGGGAAATCATCAGTAAATTTATCAATATGTTGAACAATATTATGTAAAAAATTTTTATAATGAATTGACCCTTTTGAAATTTCATATTCTTTTTTCAAATGAATTAATAAAAATGAAAAAACTCGAGATTTAAGATAATTTGTTTCATTAATCATAATTTTAGAAATTAAATCAATAGCAAATTGAAGTTTATGTGATTGAACTAAAACACCTTTGGAAGAAACTAAACCAGGATCAAGTTTTTCTAATTCCCTTATATATGAATTTAAACTACCACTGATCTTGAATGAAGTTAAAGCTTTTGCTAAAACTATTATAAATTTTTCCTTCTCTAATTGATAAATTTGTAAACCTGAATGTCTTAAAATATATGAATAAATAAATGGTTCATCTTGGAAATCATTAAAGTTTATTAAACGACTCCAATTCTCTAAATCATTAGAAATTAATTTCCCATTTATTAAACACCACAAATTAGCATGCTTGGAAGGATTTAAATCACTAAAATTTGATTTTAAAAATTCAAAATCTTTCCGATCATTCACATGATTAACATAATTTCTAATAAATTGAGAAAATGCTGTGATCACTTTATCTTCTCTACTGAAATAAGAAATTGCTTCAATTATACTTTGTTTGGTTTTTGCATGAAGGTTTTCATCATCAAGTGAAAGTAAAACTTGTTTAATTTGATCAATTTCATTGAAATTAACACATTTTTCTATGATATTTACCAATGGTTTAAGTTTAGAAGGGAACCCATTCCTATCATTAATTTTAATCATCTGTTCTAGAGCTCTTATCATTTTTTGAAGAATAATTTTATCTTTCACCTCAATGTTTAATAAAATTTGGTCTACCCTAGATTCAAAATTTTTTTTGAAAATGAGTGCAAGACAAAGTAGTATATTAACTCTGTTACAAAACGTTGGAAGTTCCATTTGTGTAATTTTGGAAACTGGAATAATTTTTTCAAGAAACCTTCCCGAAAGTGATGATGATTCTTTGCTGAATTCAATAAGCATATTGAGATATATATTCAACGCTGTATCTTTGTTTATTCCAAACTCTGAAAAAATTACTGGGTATGAATTCTCATCATTGAAATTACCAAATTTATTTGCTTTCAAAATCTCATAAATTATAACTAACAAATCTTCATTCAATTCCCATCCATATCTTAATTTGATGAAATATATGACTTTTATATCATTTCTAAGACCACCAGACGAATTAGATAATTTTTCCTTAAGAAGTTTTGTAACAGGCGACCACAATGGAACTGAAGGTTTGTATAGTTGGCAAATAACTGATAAAAATTGTAAATCTGGTAAATTAGAGTTTTCAAGAACTGAAGTGAAATTTTTTGAAGAAGAATGAATTGCTATGATTAGCGCTTGTGAAAAATGTCCATTTTCTTTAATTTTTTGAGAAACAATTGAACCACTAATGTAACACAATACTTCAATATATATGTTCATCACAAATAGTAATTTTGAGTTTAGATCATATCCCTGAATGTGATTCTTCTTGTAAACATATGCAACTAGATGATAAAATAGCAATGAAGAGCTCAATAGAAATAATTCTGAATCTTTAACTTGTCCCTTTTTCCTAATACTGGACTCAATCCTCAAGACAAAATCATCTAAAATAACCACTAAAGACCTGATATCATTAACAGATAAAGTAGAGCAAAAACATACAACAGCATCAATTTTCTCAAATAAATTGGTAGATAATTTAATACTTTGTAAACTTGATAAAATCTTGAAAAAAAATTGTAGTTGTTCAATTTGATCTGTTCTGTAATTGGAAAATGTTATGGTATTACCAGATAACGTGATTGAAAAGGTGGAATCCAATTTTCCGCCAGCTCCATCAAATAAAATTTTATAGCATGATGACCTCTTGAATACCCATTCAAAACCACAAAACAGATGATCAACAGTCTCAGAGGCAGTCTTCATAATTTCTTGGTTACCTGGTTGAGGTTGAAAGACATATCTAGTTGAATTATCAGTAGGTGCACCGATACCTTCATAAACAATTGTAGAGCCGGTATTTTGATAGTTTGATAAAACTGGATTGACCCATAAATTTGTCTTTCTCTGTTTCTTGGGAGGTTTATCAGATTCCAGTGTTTGTGCAGCCTCACTCCTTGCCACTGAATTACGATCAATATTTTTGGACAGAAGTTGAATTCTAGAAACTCTTTTAAGTTTACGAGTTTTATCTTTTGGCTTTTGTCTTTTTCCTATATTTGAATACCGAGAAGTAACGTGTTGACGACCTTGTAAATTTCTTGAACTTTTATGTTGGCTATTAATTGATCTGATTGTCTTTTTAGAATTAGCGCTTTTTGATAGCATGACATCTATGAGGCCAGGTTCACCCTGAGTTTGTTTTGTATTTTTGTTGTTGTGACTTTTTCCTTCCATAAAGAAATCACTTTCAGAGCTAAAATCAGCGTTTGAGAAGTCATAATTATCTTTCCTTGGGAACCCTTGTACTTCTCTTTGTCCAACAAACATAACATCATCTTCAACTTGGAATTGTTCAGCTTCATCAAAATCTTCATCAGTTTGATCATAATCATCAAGGTACCGACCATCATAACGAGCAGCCACCTCATCGACATCATCCAATTTAGTAGTCCCCGAATTTGGGTGCTCACGGTCATATTTGCTATACTCTAAAACATCCACATCTTCATCATTACTTGACACTTCAAACTCTTCTTGATGTGCAGTAAAATTTGACGAATCCAATGGAGTTGTCTCTTTCAGATTATTATCAGTAGTGAACATATTACCATTATCCAAAGATCCAGTAGATGGGGCAATCGATCTTTTCTTCTTAGCAACACCAGCTCTTTGTGTCACTTGATTGTTTTTACCTCTCTTTACGGGTTGGACATGTGTAGAGCTCTTCATTGAAAAGAATGACTTGGGTAGCCCTGATGCTCTGGAAACAGCATCCAAATCCTTATATTGTCTTCCACGAAACACAAAAGTTGTTTCTTTGGTATTTTGTTCATTGACATCTTCTGAATCACTATCAAAGGACGAATCAGAATCTGAGCTTAATGGATCTTTTTCTAGATCATTTTGAGACAAAACTACATCACTTTCTTCGGATGTTTCTATGGGTATTTGTGAAACGCTCTTCTTCGCCCCCTCAGGTATTTTAGGCTCTTTTGGCTCATCCAATTTGAAGCCATTTCTTAAATATTTCTCAAGTTTTCCTATATGATACATCTCAATAATCTCAGGCCTTTGTTTAACAAGCTCAGTGGCATCCTCCAATGATATTCTAAGTGTATACGACACAGAGTCAATTGTATAAATATGCTGTTGATAAAATGAAATATTTCTTCTTCTATTTGACCTCCTATAGTCTTGTATTGCATCTAAAGAGTAAATGGACGTGGTATCTGTGTTCAACAGGGGATTATGACTGTTTAAAGATGCCGATGCGCTTCCTTCAATTGTCTTTGGAATGCTAACAGCTTTTAGAAATGCATTATTTATTGATCTGCTTAAATGCGAGCTCAAGGCACCCTTAAAATTTGTTAATAACTGTTTTAAGTTTTGATGAAATATTCATTAATCATACATACAGTTCTTCTGGGTATAAATGTATGATGTTTCTGAAGTTTTGAATTTAAAATCAAATCAAGCTTTGTATTTGATAAGGTTAATGTCTCCAGCTCTTCCTCTGAGTCTGAGACGTTTGGCGAAGTCATTGGAATTTCAATATCATCAGGATGAGAATTGTTCTCTTGGGAACTTAGCTTCATATATGAAGGTGATCACACTTGTTTGAAAGAGTCTAACTAGTCCGCCTAATTGTTTTTGTTTAGTCTATTAAAGATCAATACTAGTAGCATCGCGCGAGTCGCGAGAATACAAGTCGGGTAAAAACTACGCGATTTATCATTTCAGCGCCTACCACGACTCGCGCGCTCTTCACAGAGACTATCGCGCTTCTATTCTGTTTTTCTAGCCTGCGATCAACCTCTTAGGGTTTTTGTAGTTCAAACTTCAGTGTAAACAAAAATACTTGAGGAAAAGTAAAAATTAACAAACTATTCAACGTTACAATAATTTAACCATTTTGTTCTTCAAAGTGCTTTCACCAAAGGTAAAATGTCTGGTCCAGCACGTTCACCCTCAAAAAGGCATTCTGTAAGTCGAATATAGTTAGATCATGTCAACTAAGAAACCTCAACTAACCTAATTTCAGATGAGTACTATAGAGTCAAGTGTCACCAGATTGTTGGTAGCAACGAAACATTTGTTGGAAAGTTTAACTCAATGGGCAAAGAAATCAGCTAATGAAAGCGATATATCTGATTCATATGTTCAATTGGGTAATGAGTTTAAAGTTGCCTGCAGAGCATTTTCAAATGCTGGTGTTGATGTATCTGATTTGGGAGACGTTCCACATTCATTGAGAGTTGTTTTAGAAGAAGCTCTTTGTGAGCCACCATCGCAAGAAAGCCTGGATAAATTTCTACCTACCATAAGGGAAATCATTGTCACTTTACTGCAAAACTTGAAAAGCAAACAGGCCATGGTACGCACTTTGAGATCAAATCGACCAGATGATAGCAGAACATCAAGCATAACCGATCATGATACGCACAAAAGGTCAATATCGAGTTCCTCAAGTTCATCTGCCAGACCAGCAGTATCTAGATCGAGCTCTAACAATTTACCTAAACAACGCTCCATATCCCACTCTGGAATAGGAGTATCAAATTCCAAGGAAGAATCCCCAGTTGAACAAAAGAAGCCTGAAAACTCAAAGGAGAACACAACCAAAGGCCAGAATAATGCACTTCTACAACTTCAAAAAGGTGATTCACTCCAACGTCGTGCATCAAGAAGATTTTCAGCTTACCAGTACGCCAAACTCACAAATTATTCACCAGGAAGAGATCCAGAACTACCAACCGCTCGCTTACAGGATGAAACTCGTAAAGCATCAAATTTAGTGCAAAGTCAGGCAGGATCACCACTGGCTCAAAAGGTTATTCCTAATCAAGAATCTACACTGACTGTGTTTTTAAAAATTGGGGATAAGGTTAAGAAGACACTGTTACCTCTACCCATCACATTCACATCGTTAAGACTGCTTTTTGTTGAAAAGTTTGCATATTCACCTGGATCTGGATCTTTTCCCGATATTTATATTGATGATAAATTGAATGGTATCTCATACATGCTTGAGGAACATTTGTTCCAAGATATCCAAGAAGGTTCGGTTATATCTTTAAAAGTTTCCGAGAAAAACACTACGACAGAAGATTTGAAAAAGACCATACAAGATCTCCATGAAAGCTATCACTCAAAGTTTGAAGAGCTAACAACCCAGACAAGACTTCAAATTGAGGAATCACAAAATAAATTGCTTGAAGTTATACAGCATAATGGTATACAGAGTACCGACACTAGTAAAAAACCACTGGAAACAAAAGAAGTTGGTGCTTCAATGAATAAAGGTACAAAAACTACATCTCTTTTGGATGATATCTCAGACATAACTGATATTCGCCATGATGTCTCTGTCATCAAGCAGATCAATAACAATAACAAGGTCAATTTTAAACAATCGATTGAAAGTGTTTTAAACAAAGTTCAAGAATTCAAAGCTTTATCGTTAGATACTTCAAAATCCTCCAATAGAACATATATGGAGGAATCAAATCAAAAATTATCCAATACCTCTGATGCGTTGTTGACCAAATTTGATGATTTACAAGATATAATAGAAGCCCTTCGAAAAGATGTCGCTCAAAGAGGTGCACGTCCAACTGTTAAGCAGATTCAATTCATTTCTAAACAAATATCAGATGCCACTTCAGATTTGGATAATATGGTTAAGTATATTTCCACTGAGAAGCCAAATTGGAAGAAGATCTGGGAAAGTGAATTAGATACTGTTTGTTCGGAACAACAATTCCTAACCTTACAAGAAGATCTAGCACACGATCTGAAAGAAGATTTAGAAAAGGCCACCGAAACTTTTGATTTGGTGAAGCAATGCTGCGAGGAACAAACCAAGAACCCCAAAACAAGAACAGCAAACTTACCTATACCTGATCCCGGAAGTACTGGAAACTTAAGAGATGCTCTACTCTCTGAAGTAGAAGCTTTGAGACCAAACCACAATGGCCGTGTTGAAGCTATAGAAAAAGCGGAAAAGTTGAGGCAAAAAGAGAGACAGCTTACTATGCTGAGTGGATTCGAAGAGGAATTGGGTGGGTTTGTTGAGAACTCAAAGCTAAAGAAAAGTGGTGGTGTAGAAGAGATAGACAGAGTAAGAAGAATGAAGGATGAGCAAAACTTGAGAAGTAATTTTGCTCCATTTTGATATTACAGCATAATTATATAATACAAAATAACAATACACTTTATTCTATGTTGCATTTTCATGAATACACTTTTGAAGATACTGTATATGTCCCAAGAATCTTGTATTTTTTTCTTCAAAATACATTAGGAAGGCAGAACAAATGATAATTTTTAAATCTGATATATGAAACCCTTTATGATGTTTACATCCCAAACCATTTGAGGCTTCTTCTATCAAGTCCTCAAAGAATCTCCTGAAACTCATTAAATCAGGAATCAAGAGTGCTACTGCTTGAACATATGTTTTTGCTGACGAGTATACCAACTTAAATATCTCTTTTGTCACTACTGACTTATTGTTAACAGATAAATCAAATGTGTTGTTCGATAATCGATTTCCAAAGATCCATAAAAGTTTCCGGGTGAGTGCTTTATGTGACTCTGTATTCAAGATATGTATATCTTCAAATGTCTTCGTGATCTTAAAGTCATCAATGTCTATATCAAACCCACAGAAAGTGAACTTTGATTCCCATTTGTTGTGAAGATTTGTAAATGTTTTCTCTTTATTTATCACAGCACCAAAATCTGGAAATCCATTTTCTACTTTGGATTGAAATTTAAGAAGTGCACTCTTATCGGTTGATAAAATTAAAAAATCATCAGCCAGTCTCAAAATCAAGCTATTTGGTTTAGTCACGTCACTGAATTCACACTCGATCATTTCGTCGTATACTATATCACAAAAAACACTAGATAGATGTAGCCCTTGGAATATACCTTCTCTTCTTCTATAGGTGTTTTTACCAATGATAGTGTAACTTGAGTCAAGTTGGTTTTCAATGATTGAAAGAATTTCATCACCGCCCATAGAATATGTAGCTCCACTTCCAGTTTGTATGCTTCTGAAGCTGTGCCTATCACCTTCCATTTGAGGAGTGATACTTTCCATGGTGAAATGTCTTCTCCTTCTTTTCACGCTTGATGACATATTTTGCTCTTCGTAATGATTCACAAAGTAGATTTTATTTGTTTCAACAAGCTGTTTTGATAATTTAAATATCAGATCTTTTGGCAAATTATCGTAGCAATCCTTCACGTCAAACTTTAGATAATAGATACCCTCATATTTAGTTCCAACCTTATTCTTGTAATCTTTTAAAATGAGTGGAATGTCTCTAGATGAAGCTAATTTAGGATATGGAGACTCCTTTGACATCCGCAAGTGTGCTAAAATATGTCTTGTGGGTTTAATCTTCTTCTGTAAAAAGATCATATAGTTATCTCTTGATTGAACGTCGTTACCCTTTAGTGGTTTATTAATAGCTCTAAAACTATCATTCTTTTTAGGCATAACTGTCAGTTTGGTGTATAGCCCGTCATCATATGATGGTTCAGTATCCTCAAGCTTTGAAAGCAGTTCAGTTTTGTACTGGTTTACAAAAGGCCTTGAAATTTTACCCCAGGTCAAATGAACATAATAGAGAAGCTCCTTGGACGACGATATATTGGTAATATGAAAAAAAGACCCCAGTAAGCGACAAAAGAAGTAATTGAATAACCACACCTGAAAATCCTTGAACAGTTTATATCTTTTCTGAAAGTCTTGCTTGTTCCACTTCAAGCCGGGTCCCTTTCCAAGCCAGCAGATGTGTTTTAAAGAAATATTTTTCATCAAATGATAATCTTTAATGTTATCACCCTTTTTCCCCATTATAAGTAACCCTAAATTTCTAAGTATAACTTTTTTGTTTTGCTTTGATCCATACGTTTCCACAGGAAACACTTTCTCAAATACAATCGTGCAGAATTTGAAGACTGCTGATTTAGAAACCGTATTTTGAACATTGTGAGATTCATGTCCCTTGTTGTTACAAATATTTGATAATATATTGAAATAGCTGATACTTTTATGATTGCACTGAATTTTTGAGATAATGGAAGAGAAAGGCTTGTGTTTAGACAGGAGCTTGCTATAGTTGGCATTATTATCGAACTCGTCTTTGAAAACAGCTTGGAAAAATTCTTTTTTTGAATGTGGAATAGGGTTCATTTTAGAGACATCACCAATATTCGTATATAATGATGAATTCAGATTAATTTCATTCAAATTATAGTTTTTTGAATTGAAGTTTCTAATACTGAGCTTTCTTCCAAATATTTGATGTATTCCATAAGAATTTACCACAAAACAATCAAAATTCAATAGCAGATAGCACATACTATCATTTCCAACCACCGAATGAAGCCTTCTCCATGTTCGACCTTTCAACAACGTACAAGCACCATTTGTAGCGTCCGAATAGGTACTTGAACCAATTGATGAGTCTTTTGCAACTTTATATCCATCACCCAACAAGAAACACCTAGGAATATGCTTAACAAAAAATTCTCTGCATTGATCTATTAATTTATCAAACGACCAATTGTTTTTAATTTCCAAAGTTAAGGGCATAGAAGTATTCAATTGAACATAACATGAGTCCAGCTCTGTTATTTCAGCCTGTGAAAGAAGGATACGCAAGTTTTCTTTTGTGATACTCTCCAACTTATCAATTAGAAGCTCAATATTATCACACATAACCCACTCTTAACATCTGAAATTTTGAGTCTGTTTTAAACTAACAAAATCCGTTCAAAGCATAAAAGTTCGGAGCGCAAATAACTTTGAAAATACTTGAAAAAAATAAAAAATAAAGAGTAAATAAACGTCTTCGAATTCATTTCCTGCTCCAACTGACAAAACTCTCCATCTCAGATAGTAAAAATATTTTATTTAGGCCATATGGTGAAAAAGATTAACAATAAGATTAAAATCGATTATGAAAATTGCATATTAGAGAATTCTCTACTTCAGATCAAGAATAAGAAAAATGTTAATAATCTCGAGTTGATCGAAGCATGGTTAATCGATATAAATCCTATAGACTCGCCCAAAGTACTAGGACTAATAAAGGGGTTGTCGACTAATGATAAAAGATCTTTGTTACATTTAAAGAGACTTCAAAGATTTGGAGAGCAGCTGACTGTGATTTTATGCTCTACAGATTATCTTGAAGAAAGTGAAATACTTTCGAGCCTGGAAACACAATCGTTCACATACAATAATCTCAGAACTAAAAAAGTCCCACATCATTGCCCCGGAACAAAAGAGCTTTCGTTGAAATGGAGTAGAGAATACTGGCCTATTATTTGGAAAGGTAATCCTAATGATCAAATACTAAATGATGTCAAACTGGATATTAATATTGTCAAAGAGCATTTGAATCAAATTGCTGAAGAGTCTAATAGAACTACTGGAGAAACTTTACCAATTATAACGTCTATTGTTGATCCAAATACCAATGAAATTGTTGCTATTTCTAAAGACAACCGTGCTTCACATCCACTACATCATAGCGTTATGCGTTGCATTGATGCTGTTTCTGAGAAAGAGAAAGAAAAAAAACAAAAAAATCAGAATTATGATACACATTATCTTTGTAACGGGTTCCATGTTTATACAACACATGAACCATGTTCAATGTGTTCTATGGCATTAATTCATTCAAGAATTTCCAGACTCATTTATTTAACAGCCAGTCCGTCAACAGGTGCTTTAGACCCTGAAAGTGGAGATGGACATACCATTCATGATCATAGTTTGTTGAACTCAAGCTTCGAAGTCTGGAAATGGGTAGGATCTGATCATTATAGATTGCCATCTTTAAAAGAAGAAGTAAATGCATAAACAAATCATTCTTTTAGTAAAATTTGTAATTCATTGCTTATATCACCAATCGTAGAACTCCCACTGAATTCTTCAGATGTATCATTTTCTATGTTTTGTTCATTAAGATTATTGGTAATTGATTTGAGCTTCAAAAGCTCCTCTTCGCGTTCTTTCGTAATTCTTTGCAGTTCAACGTCAATTATACTGTCAAGATCATTTAAATTTTTGATAACTTTCTCTATGTCTTCTGTTTGGCTAAATAGGCTTGATGGCACCTTATTAAGATTTGAATTTGACTTATCTTGGGTAATCACATTTTCAAGGTTTTGTCTATTTCTGTGGTTTATTCTCTTTAAGTGTTTGTAAACATTTTTAACTGCAATCTCAGAGATCCCTTTAGGGAACATCTTTTTAAATCTGGCAAAACTGATGCATTCTTTAAAATTTGTTCGATCAACCAAGAACTCCTTCAAGAGCTCCATTTCCGTGAGCGAAGTCATTTTGTTTCAAAGGCCTGAATTCAGTAGGGGGTTTTAATAAAGTGCTAGTGTCGTCTATTGTTACTTGTTTGTTTTGATACTCTAACTCTACTCAAAAAAAAAACAAAAAAAAACACGCGATGCGAACTTGAAGTTAGAACTTAAAATCTACATCATTTAATCACCTAGATTTAATAAACTTCTAGTATTTAAATTACAAATTATGAACGTATACAATCCAATTTTCAATATATCAAGAAAATAGACATTAGCGGATTTCCAGATCATCATATCTTCTTCTGTAACTTCTTCTTTTATTAGAGCCATCATCGATTCTCATTGATTCCCTCTTTAGTCTTCTTATGTTTCTTTCCTTCTCGATTTCTCTTTTTTCGATTTCCCACTGGGAAAGTTCCTCAACAGATGGAACCCAAGATGCTCCTAAACGTTCATGATCAAGTCTGACACCTGCTTCATAACCAAATGCTGATTGGTTGTAGATTTCTTGTGGTAAACGACCATCTATACAATCTTTTTTTAGCTTTAGAATTGATTCATGTAATGTGTGTGCAATTGCTGGCAAGAACTCCAGAGATAAACCTAAATCCATGACCACGTATCTTGCAAATGCTTCTGGTGTTATTGCGTCATTTGTTAAATCCCATTCCACTTTATCTTCGTATAAATTTTTATCCAAATTACAGGATAATTCTATCACAACATGGATGTCAATATTTTTTGGAAGTTGAATGGTAACAAGATTGGTATACTCTTCTATTTGAGACTTTATTGAGTTTGCAATTTGACTTTGATAGGAGTTTGGAAGATCCATATCTTGACACGTTATTAACGCAAATTGTTCTGGTGTAATTAATGTTTCATTGAGATTCCACATGAAAAAGTCCACAATTCTATTAGAGTTATGTTCTAAGTTGATTCTTATTGGAATGAGAATTTCTTCATTCAAACTATTAAAGTTCATTTCATATTCAGAGAAATTCAAATGCTTTGTCTTGACAGCTAATTTACCTTGAAGTGTATTATTTAAAGCGCTATCGGTATTATTCACAGAAGCCAAAGAGTTATAATTGTTATATCCATCGTCAGCATAGTTGGTGTCATTCTCATCATCAAAGTTTAGATCCTCATACTCAGCATAATTGACAACATTTTTAGCTCTTTTTGTTGATCTTGTTGGTGCTGCCGATATATACAACGCGGTCTGGTCATTTTTCACCCTGTTATGAAAATTTGTTGAAAGCCCTTGGGGAAGCAGTGGTTTTTCCATAGTTGCTATTACTCTGTAATCTCAATCAGATATCTTTTTCCGTGGAGTTTGCTAATTAATGTTTGAACTAACCGATTACTATGTTCTCTCGATTTCAAAACAAAGAATAGACTTTATTAATTAATCGATCAAATTTATGAATTTGCTGATGTAATCCTTGGGTTTCGCGAATATATAATAATATTAACAGAGCGCCTATAATTTTGAAATTTAGCCGGTGAATTTAATCATCTGCGGGTAAGTTTGAGCACCAAATATTAAACAATTATTAAAAACCAAAAGAGCCCTAATTTTTAAATCCAAGATCTTACTTAACCGTCCGCGATTCGCGAATTTTATTTTTGATTCAAATTCGTCCATAAAAAAAATTTTCATTACTTTCTTTCTTCTTATTGCACTTATAAAAGACAACCAAATCACAATGTCATTCTCAGATTTCTCAAAAGTTGAATCAATTGCTTCATTAAACAGCTTTTTAGCTGAAAACTCATACATCCAAGGGTAAGTTACAAGTCAATTGAGTGTTTGTAAGCCATTTTGTTGTTGTCAATAGGGGGTTCCCTAATTGAACACATGGGTGGTTAACAAGTCAATGAACTAAAATCAATTATCCCTTCACACTCAAATTTTAATGATGAAAAAACTTGGTCCGTGTTTATGAGACGGAATTCAAGAGCCGTCATATGAGTATCAACCCATTCAAGATTTCACTTTCCTGACAATTTTTGATGTGAAGAGATTTTTGCAAAAAAAAAACATTCTGTTTTAGTTAATTGATAACAAACTTCATTCGAATGCATATCAGCAGATGAACTAACAATATTATTAGTAATGCTGCTACCCAAGCTGATGTCACTGTTTACAAAAACTTCCAAAAACAATACCCAGCTTTAACCAGATACTTAAACCACATCGCTTCATTCTCTGAAGAATTTGAAAAATTACCAGCTGGTGAAGTTCCAGCTTCAAAAGAAGCTGCTGAAGAAGAAGACGACGATGAAGTTGACTTATTCGGTTCAGATGATGATGAAGTTGATGAAGAAGCTGAAAAAATCAAACAAGAAAGACTTGCTGCTTACGCTGCTAAAAAAGCTGCTAAACCAAAAGCTGCTGCTAAATCCCTTGTTACCTTAGATGTTAAACCATGGGATGATGAAACTGATTTAGATCAATTACTTGCTAACGTCAAATCCATTGAACAAGATGGTTTAGTTTGGGGTGCTCATCAATTCATCCCAGTTGGTTTCGGTATTAAAAAATTACAAATCAACTTGGTTGTTGAAGATGACAAAGTTTCATTAGATGAATTACAAGCTTCTGTTGAAGAAGATGAAGACCATGTCCAATCTACCGATATTGCTGCTATGTCAAAATTATAAGGGGCTCCTTCCTTCAATTCGTTTCTATGATAAATAGATATTAATGTATTCCGTTATGTTTTTGTTTTAATTTTAATTCAAACCTATGTATAAAGCTGTAGTTTTTTTAGTAAGTACCTATTCATTAATTATTCTACGAATTGAATTGTTAAGATGCACATAGCATGTTGGTGTTTTTTTTATACAACCAAAAAGTCAATCCCAGATCCGTACCATTCTTTATTAGACAAAATCTGTTGGGATGTTTTTCCAGTCTTCCAGCATTCCTCTGCAATCAACTTGATTGATGTAATTGATCCCATGTTTGTCTTCTCGTACAAATCATCGATAAATTTGGTAAGTTTTAATTTTTGAAAATCTGTTTCACAATTGCAAGCAATAGTAAATATTGGCCATACCATCTGTGTTACATTTGGTAGCTCTTTATTCAAAGACTCATAAACGCTAATGAATTCGAGTACTATACCTGTTATAGACTCTGTATCTTTTGGTCTAATCAGTTTATAAATATTAAGAAGTGTTGCAAGTGTCCAGCATTGTGTGCACTTTAATTTTGAAATATTCTGTTCTTCGTTACCAGGGCCTTCTTCGTACACCACATAATCCCTGTAGCTATAAAGCTTATTTTTCATTTCTTCAAATGCCTTCTGTAGAGACGTATCACTTATAAGATCTTTTTTGATCTGTTGTCTAATCTCACAAAACTGCCAAAGCACCTTAAAAATTTCACCAGGACAGCCCATAACTTGGAAAGTTGATACTGTAGAATCTTTATCACCATACCATGATGGCTCACAGAATGGAAGCCTGCAATCGGCAGAAACAACAGCAGTTATAGTGTCAAACCATGATAGCCCCACAATCAAAGCTGAACTCTCCTCTATTTTCTCTAGGTATAATCTAAATGTTGTATCTTTGACAATACCACCAAATAGCTCAAAAAATGTCCTCACTAAAGCTGATCTTCCAGACTCGAGGACACTAAATAATAAATGAACATGAATAAGTAGTAGTATAACGAAAAAATTAGATCTTTGTTTTTCAAGTGACTGTTTCTTCAATTTTTTAATTATTTTCTCAATATCAATGATTCCTTCTTCAGAGTCAATACTGGATTTATCCTTTAGGTAATCTATCAAATATTCCATGGTATTATTTATATGTGCCATTCCAGTTTTATAGAACTCAGTTGCACCTTTGGTCTCGTATAAATGGATACATGATAATGCTATGAAGCAACTTTTAGCTACTTCAAAGTCACAATATTTAAGAGCAAGCTGTGGCCATGGGCTGCTTGGGTGTGCATCTAGTATTGGTAATAGCTTTTTGAAAAAATGTTTTAGCATCATGTTCTCTTCAAAATGTGACAGAGGAGGATTTTCGTTTGAATTGATAGAGTTGATAGCCTCCATGTCACTAAGAAATGAGGTTGGAAATTGGAACTGACTGTCAGAAGCAAATGATGGAAATATATCCTGAAATATTTGAAACTCATCCATAATACCAGTTTTATCAATTACAAATTCCTTTGGTGAAGTAACTCTTTTCTTAAAATCAGGTTTTGTGAGCTCTTCTATAGATAACATAGAACTAGTCTTAAGCTCTGCATCAAGCTTTGTTTCAGCACTTAATATGGATTCTGGTGAGCTGGGTGAAAGAGAGCTCTCCCGTTGCCCTTGTACCAAGTGTTCTTCTTTCTTTTGCCTTTTTATTACCTTGTTTTCGGGGAGCTTATCATTTGCACAATCTTCACTTGATGCTCTCTTAGCAAGACTTTCTTTCAACCTAGGACGGCCTCTAAAACCATGAACAGTCTCACCTTTTGAATTGCGCTTCAGAATCTGTGAATTTCTACTATCATCAACATCGAATGAAAGCCTTATACCATAACCTTCACATTCTTTCCCAGATTTTAAACAGTTATTACAAAAGGGCTTTCCTTCATCACATTTTCTTCTTCTGTTTAACTTCCATTAGTTGATCAGGTTTTTCTTTATCTCAATTCTTCCACTACATACCTTTGTTTACAGGTCCAGCAGCCCGTTCGTACTCTTTTGATTTTGGACATAGTTTGTTGAAAAGTTCTTGAGCCAATTGTTGCCTCTTTGAATTTATTAATACATGTATAGACGTTAGGACATTAGGACTAGTGAAAATTGAGCCCTTTATTTTACAACTTCGTTTAAACCCCGAGTTATAACATTTTTCTTATCGCAATAAACCCATTGGAGATGGAGGATTGATAACAGAAGTCAGGAAATCTGAAACTGATTAGGAAGAAAACAGCATCATACGTGGCCTAACCGTCTGACATACTAACTTCTTAAATTCAATTAATTTTTAAATGTACAACACAAACGTATAATAATTGAACCACTTACAAATTACCACAGATAGAAATCAAAATTCATCAAAACTACTTATATATTACGGGCTACTTTTATATCATGTCACACTGATCAATATCTTTTTTTGAGACTCGCCACAGGTGCCTTTTATAGCAGTTGATTTCACCTTCATTTAACTACATTGAATCAACTTGAGTGTTTCATGCAATTCAAGACTAATAAATTGTTATTAATAAAGCTTTTATCACACACATATTGATATAAATCATTATTGGCCTTAAAGGGCAACATATCTCAACGTTATTCATGTTAGAATTCGGTCTACCGTTTCAAAGATCTTTAGAACCAAATTATGAATTTTACTATGGTAATTTAAAATTATTTTGAAGTTGCTTGCCTGAACAAACCACTTAATCCAATAATAAACTGAAGTTGTTATGGTTGGTTTTGCTACTGGTACAGTAAAAGTAGAGGTTACATTCAAGAGCTTTGATCTTTGAGCTAGGAAACTTTTAAAGCTGTTGTTTTTTACTGGATCTGGATGAATGTACGTTTGTTGTTGTGGTCGACAAATCATGCAACAAAATTGTCCATATGAGTGCATTTTAGGGTGGGTAGACAAAGAGTAAAAGTATTGATATGTTGGCAGTTCAAACAGAAGATTCCAGGATCTTCTTCGAAGTCAAGGAAACAAGTAAGAATAATCAAATATTTGATCATCTTTCCCATCTTGCAAACCAAAACTCTAAAAGTGGCAGCGTTAAGAAGATCTTATGAAGTTAAATATAAGTCCTATACCTATGTTCCATTATAAAAAGAATATTTGGGTCAATAGATTTAGCACCTTATTACATCAGTGGAGCCAACGGTAGCTGGCCCGTTATTCGAGATATGTCTACTCTACAGCTCAGTCTAACCATAATGTACGCAATCAATCAATGATTTGATTTTTATAGCTAACAGATCATTTGTTGTCTCGCCTATCCTTTATGGATATATGGCATAGCGCCTTTATTCTTAATGATCTAGATTTTCACTCGACAAATGTGTATGTTTCGATTATATTGTCTATTGGTTTACACAGTGTACTAAGTTCGCCAGTTCCCTAATTACATATATAGGTCATGCATGGCCTGAAGCTACACATTAAAGGAGTAAAGTTATTGTTGGAGGTTAGATATCAATCCTACTATTGACGACATTTTCTAACGCTTAAACTCTATGTTT